TGTCAATTAAGAATGATTATTTCCATTCTTTTGTCTATACGATATATCCCGATGGGCTCGAGATAAAAGATACCACAAAGTGTGACACATTTGTTTCATATTTGGATATTTTACTTGAAAAAGACGTTAATGGTAATCTTACAACCACATTTATTGTTGAAAATTGTTCTTGACTGACCACTTCAGTTTGTTGTGGCTTTATTCTTAGATCAATCCAAGTATTTTGCAAAAATTCTTAACCTGATCTAAAGCATATTTACGTAACTTCTGCATTCTTACTCAGTCATATTCGTTTTTAAACATCAATCCCCATAAATGCACTACTTGGTAATAAAACATTTGCAGATTTACAAGATATTTTACAGATAGTTGCACTTTTTTAAATAATTCAACTGAAACAGATTGCACAAAATTGATTTAAATCAAAACATGCATGCATATTTTGTATATGGTGACTTATTTTTCACTTTATTTTATTTCCAAAAAATATGTTTCTCCGTGAACTTTTTAAAACAAACATTTTTTAATTAAACCTTTTTATGTGTAGTGTAAAATGGTGTGTGTTTTGTAACTACAATATTTTTTTGCTGCTTACATAATTCGTGCAATTGAGGGGGGGGGGGGGGGGGGGGGGGGGAGAGAAAAAAAATGAAAATATCAAAACTTGCATAAGCCGACCAGTTTTTTTTTTCAGAGGATGGAAAATTTATGTGGAAAAAATATATTATATCTAATATATCCTTCAACTTGACATTTGATCTTATTGAAGACAACTGACTTAAGTTACTAAGTATTTTCTAAAATAATTAACAGCATCCAAGCTCAAAGGTTCAACTCTCTCTCTCTCTCTCTCTCTCTCTCTCTCTCTCTCTCTCTCTCTCTCTCTCTCTCTCTCTCTCTCTCTCTCTCTCTCTCTCTCTCTCTCTCTCTCTCTCTCTCTCTCTCTCTCTCGATCTCTCGATCTCGAACTCTAACTCTCTCTCTCTCTCTCTCGATCTCGAACTCTCTCGATCTCGAACTCTCTCTCTCGAGCTCCTAAGGTCCCTGTCGAGCTCTATCGAGAGCGGAGTATGAGAGTTATCTTCTCCCTAATCCAATCAAGAGAAGGGAGTCGAAACGACATAGTAATAAGACTAGTAAAATAGAAAGGGAATTTTTTCCCTTTCGTTTTTTCCCTATCCTATGTCTCCCTTTCCCAGCATATTTTTTTTCACACCACTCTCTCCCTCCTTCTTACCCTCTCTTTCTTTTTTTGTTATTTTTCTGCTTTTTAACGATTCGCTAACTATTGGTCGTAAAAAAACTTAACATACGGAAACATTATTAAAAAGTAATAGTGTTTTAAGTCTGGCATTACTATTATCGCCAAAATTTACGGTACTGGTTGGTTAGATTCAAGCTAAATCATAACCAATAATTTCTAATTATGATTGTGAACGTTCTTGAAAAATTAATTTCCAAAGAAACATATCTGTTAATTTATAATCACGAAATAAACCATAGAAATTTGCAACGCATACAAAGGGGGAGAAGAGATATGCATACAAAAACGTTTACGCTAAAAATAGAGCTATTGAACCACTAAAAGTGCCATGTGCGATTCCCATTCCTACTTAAACATTGTATGTGTATGTCAGATTTTCAGTCAAAAATTGTTTTGCAACTTTTCTTGGTAATTTAAAAGACTTTGTACAAGATATAAACCTACATGATTATTCATGTATAGGTTGCAGATTTTTATTTTACTGTAATTTATTCATGTGATACATATAGGACAATGAATATACATGTAAAACTACATTAAAAGACGTATTTAAAAAGTTATATATAGACAGTGAACATGTCACTAAATGATTCTAATTCCTTTTATCGTTGGCGTGCATGTTTCTGGCCAAAGGATTTGATATATGTATTACTAGTATTTGGTTTACGCTATTGACGATTTGGTGTTCACAAAATCGCCTCTAGTGTAACACTGTCGCCTTTGTGGGATCTTTCTGAGTGGAGTGTTGGTTATTGGACCATGCAATCAATTATAGAGGTTTTTTAAATTCCAAGTCATTCTGTTAAGGACAGATGATACAAACAAATTCTTGTCAAAGAATTTGAAAATAACAATTTGGGTCATGTTTAAATGTATAAAATGAATAACTTTCACCGCGTAGTTTTTAATTTTTTATTCAAATTTGCACAAAAATGGAATTTAAAGTGAAAAACATTTGTATAGATTAAGAAGGATGGTTTCAGAAGGGCGGACTTTTGAACTTCACAGAAGGTCTACAATTTCTTTATATTCAAAAAATTTATTATTTGCATCATTTGCAATGAAATAAGGCCAAAAAATATATACCAATCCAGGCATCCATTTTTTTTGTTTTTATCATCTGTTAGTTATGGAGTTATGGAGAAGGTGTGGGTCAACATAATTTAAAAGAAATGTCTTACGGTATCCAGATTCAGAAGAGAAAAATAAAGTCGGTGGGTATGTGATATTGTTGCTGGGGAGTGGGAGGACGAAAGGGGGGGTCATACAGTCGACATTAAAATTTCATGAAACTAAGACTGCATTTTATAATTCTATAAATATGAAATATCTACATAGGCGTCGGAACCGGGGGGGGGCACTTTTTTTTCAAAGATAGACTTAATATAGACAACGAACATTGCTGCGTAGGTTTAGCCCCCCCCCCCCCCCCCCCCCCCCCCACTTTCCACAGACACGTTGGAGTTAAGGTTTAAAATTGGGAATGTTGTGCTGTTTGGAAAAAAATAATAGGATTGTCGTGTTTGGACAATGGACATCCCCCCCCCCGACCTTTTTTTTTTTTTTGCTTGTCAGGTTATTTTGGGTGGTCCAAAAAAAAGTTTTTCTTACACTTAGCCCCCCCCCCTTTTAATTTGCTTCCGACGCCAATGATCTATAAAGATTATAGCACATATGATACAATAAAAAAATCACTAAGAAATCCGAGGCAGATGCAAATTCTTTTGACATTGATTACCGCTATAGGTATGTGTCGGATTTCAAGGTATAATTTTTTAAACCAGGAACGTGTAGATGAAGAATAGTTAGTGATAAAAAAATCAAAAAAATCATGGAAGTGGTGTGCATCGTAAAAGGAGGGTCCTGTCCACAAACACCTGCGTGTACAGGCCCAGAGATGCCAATTACGACAACCTCGCCTCTGTTTACTTGGATTTGAATCAATTTTTCAGATAGTATCGAATCAAGCGCCCTCTGCTTTTGCTGACTATAAAATCTGCAGATCAAAGTTATTGTAGAAATAAATTATCTACATTAATAGTCTTTCCATCCTCACAATTTTAATGGTTCAAAGTTCAACAACCTAATTCTTGTGTGGTCCCCGCTGAAGGAAAAAATGGTAGGATGCTCTGATGGCCCCCCTTTCATTTAATTATTTAAGCTGGGTTTTTTTTTTCCAAATTTATGAATGATTATATTCTGAATGATAATTATTTTTTAATTATTCAAAAAAATTATATTAATAGTTCATAACTTTATTCTTATGTGTTAGTTATTTTGTTGAAGAGCCTTTTATCTAGGCTGAATTCCAGCTCCCAAAAGTACATGTGACCTTTCGTTTAAAAATAATTATGTTTACAAATAAATTTTATTTCACCACGGATGTAAGAGGTGTGTCGTGTGCGTTTACTTTAAGTTGCATGTACTCTACAACGAAAATTTGGTATCCACACTCATACAAACAGAACACTTAATTGGAAATAAAAAAGTTAATCCAAAGTTTTCAACTCATATTGAGAATTCTTTAACGATGAGTTATTTTATACAGTGTATGTTTGGAGTTTCTAACCAATGCTTACACATTCAATATTTAAGAAAAATTGATACAAGGGACCTCGGCCGAAGGGGTCTCCACGTCCCACAGTGGAATATTCGAACCCGCGACGTTTAAAAAAAAACAGAGAGAGAATTTATTCTAAGTAAAATTTTATTCTCAGATCTGGAATTGAATAAGACTGGGCAGCAGGCTCACCCTGTTTATAATGTCTTCTTGTGAAATATCCTGAAGTTTCAAAAAGTTTCCCAGAACTTTAGTATGGTTGCAGCAAAATTCTTCTATTACTTTTTCCAGAGATATAAAGAAAATTTTTATTTTGATAATTTCGTCTTTCAGACAAATAAGCACGCAAATAATAATCTTGTTTCGTCTCGTATTTAAAAAAAACAACATCAAATTGAAATATTTCGGACATTGAATTATTTACAAAGTCAAGAATTTGCTCTCACAATTAAATATTGTAGGCCTAGTTTCTGATTGAATGAAATGTGGAAGTTATATGCATTATTTTATGAAAAATTATCTAAATCATTCCAACCAGAATTTTTGTCGCAGATGGGACACAAGAGGACATTTTGAACATTATTAAAAGAGCATATCAAACATGCACACATTATAGGTATTTGAAGTTAGAATGCCGAGTTTTACACGGGTTACTTACCTTTGCAAAAGTATGCATTATTTAAATTGGATTGTGTCCCTTTGTAGGGTAAACCCCAAAGATTTTTACCAAACAGTGACAATCATGTGTACTGACTAATGTGATAATTTTACTATTTTACTTTTTTCATTGACAAACAGATTGAAAAATACAGAAGAGAGTTATATACCCGGTAATCTATAATCAATAAATAATAAATATGATGTAAACTTTTAAGTAATGTTAAAAAAAATACCATGCAGTAATAGACGAAATAGTACTGTTTCTTTTCTTTCCTTTTTTATGAAGAGCTGTGTTTTGGTAATCGGTTGGTTGGGCCTAAAGTACAGTCACCCTTTTGATTGCTGATAAGATAATTTTGATGCAAATATTTAAAAGCATATAACTTTGATTTTTCCGGATGATTTAGGTCAAATTTTATTTGGAAAAAAAAAATTAGAACGCTTTTATGATTTTGATTTTTTTCTCTTTTTTTTGCGTCATTTCAAACCAACACTATAAAAGGGTGATTGTTCGATCACAAAGTAACCGAGCATTTTACAGAGCTACTATAGATCTAGCGACATTTCATCATGGCCAGATATCTGCTGTTATTTGTGTTCCTGAAGGTTCTTCTACCAGATGTAGTCTATTCCACTCAGTGTTTTGAACCTGATTGCAACAAAGCAAAATTTAACTACAATCCTTTTAGCTGTCTCGGTAAGTATAAAACTTTAAAAGGGGTGGGACAGAGCAGACTGAAATTCCTTGCAATTGGCTAGTGAATAGGCTATGTATCATAAGGGCCGGGTTGACCATTTGATTCTAAGATGGAAAGGGGCAGGCAGATTTTGATGATAAATAAAGTACTGATTTTGAAAATAAAGTACTTGCTTGGCAACAAAATTTATAATCTGACTCGTAAATTTTGGTTATCCCCCCCTTTAAGAGTCACTGAAATATTCTCTTCCCCTCAGAACGACTTTTAAAAGACTTAAGAATTTTTTGTCAAGTAAATTTTAGTATGTACACACATAGCTTAATTAAAAACTGAACAAAAGTGAGTTCAATATGTTACATTACATTTATAATATAACCCTTTTGCACTGACATTGTGTCTCTGTCATTTTTCACATCTTCAAAGTTTTCTATCCAGTATTTTGGAAAAGTTAAGTTTCTGTGTTAATTATATATTTGTATTGAATTTAATCTTGATTTTTTCTTTCTTTAAATGTGGTTAAAATCTAAATTTGATGTAAGAACTTAAAAAGGTCCTGACAAAAGTATGCTATTTTTGCTGCAAGTACTTGCTTCTACCATAGGGGTCGGAACCGAGGGGGGGGGGGCAACTTTTTTTGTTTTTGTTTTTATCTAAGCTTTATTTTCATTTACTTTCTAAGCTCCATCATCCTGGGCTGCAATAACACCTTGCTGGTCTACATGTAACGGTCAACGACAATCTCCCGTCAACATTATCAGAAACCAGGCAGTCTTTCAGTCAAATCTCCAAAGCTTCAGTTTCAACATTGGAGTTCAAGACAGGTTTATGGTCTCCACTCATATTAAAGGCATGTTATTTTAGTATCTTTGATAAGGATGAAAATTTTAGTGTCTTGGCTTGAATTGGAAAATGATGTTTTTAAAAATTTAGCAAAGATCTTCCATTGCGTCTCGCAAGGACTTAAGATACAACGATGTAGAAAAATACCAAGTTAAAATTTGAAGGATCATATAATAATGCTTGTTCGTTTGTTTTTTAATTTCCTTTTGCCGATTGAGGACTGCAAATTTAGATCTATACTCGGCACTTAGGGCCTTAGGGACCCTTTTCGTGTCCTCGCCTACTGCAATACGACATACTTTTCCAAAGGACCGGTTTCGCGTGGGATTCGAACCCGCCATGTAACGTTAAGGTCCTATAACTCTGCGACTCTACAAAAAATATGAAATATTCCTATATCTTCTCTACTCAGGCGACAACTGCTTGTAATCAGATCGTAAACTGGGAGTTGATGTCTCCAATTTGATTCGATGCGCAAAAGCAATTTCTAAAACGAGACAGGAGATTGACAAAAATTTGATAAAACTAGGATATGAGCCGTTTCGTCAAAATTCATTATTCAACATTGTCGATACAATGACTTTATTCAGCAATTACAGTCTACCCTTAAATCGAATAAGGACTGACATTTTTCAAAGAAATTGTTAGCCCATTTATATTACATACTGAATTGTCTAAGGATTTCCCCTTTGTCCGATCATGACAAGGAGCGCAAGACGGTTTTTGGCCGGTCGACAGTGGATGCTTACTCCTCCATGGCACCTGATCCTACCTATGAGTTTTTTTCGAGGTCCGTGTTTGCTACAGAAGCTCAAATTATTATTATTATATTGGCTATCTATAAAGCTGTGCGTTGAAAAAGCTATTCAACATCGTTTAATTAAGCGTATTTTATCCAGGATTTAAGACAAGTTACAAAGTGGAGGAAGATGTAATTTTGTCTAAAGTGAACCAGTTTGGTCTTAATGGAAAATCGTTTAAGTTGGATTCTTTTCACTTCCACGCTGGGAAATTTCGTAGCAGTAAGGGATCGGAACATTCATTTGACAATGAATTCCAACCCTTGGAGGTAAGTTTACTCATTAAAACAAAAATACACTTTTATTCCTTCTTGTACCCTCGAATTTGGAAAGTGTTAATATAATCACAGGCAAAAGAACATTTTTTGCCGTTTTCTCACTATTTTTCCCCTCTACATTCTGTGAGAACATGTTTCTTTGTTTCAAAACTTTAACACTAAAATAAGATATTTGTCAAGGATTTTTATAATTTGTTGCGCCTAAAGGAAAGCTTGTAACATAATTTCACAAATAGATATGATTACCTTACATTTTTACAGATACTGGGGTATTGGTTTGTCTTCTTTTTCAGCTACATTTGGTATTCTACAACACAGAATACCCGGATGTTAAAACAGCTGCTGGTAATGCAGACGGGTTGCTAGTTATTGGTGTCATGGTACAGGTATGATTAAATGACATATATCGGTTTGTGCTGTTCCTCATTAAAAATACTGATTTTCCCTAAAATTTACTTGTCAAAAATTTGAATGTCTCACATTAATACAAAAATGAAAAAAAAAATAAAATAAAATTGTTTAACAATACTATTTTCACAGGTATATCCTGGCTTTTCGCTGACACCCTTCCCTGGTTGTGAAAATGATTATAAAAGGACCTTAAGTAACCTTATGGGTGAAACACTGTCCAGCACTGAATATCCTGGTAATCATTCTCTCTCTCTCTCTCTCTCTCTCTCTCTCTCTCTCTCTCTCTCTCTCATAAGACCTTCACCCACCCACCTGGTGACCACCCCTGTTCCGAAACACAAACTCACGTTTTATGCTTCTTTTTTTAGATTCCTCGAGCTCTGAAGAAACCGATTCCGTGGAATCTTTCACACGCTTAAAGAATTTATTGCCATCCAATCGGGGAAGCTACTACACCTACCAAGGATCTTTGACCACGCCTCCTTGCTCCGAGACAGTCACGTGGGTGCTGATGAAGTGTCCAATCATCGTCTCAAAATCTGTAACTATTTACGTCTTACGAAGACACATTCCTGCTTTATTTACACAACTAATATGTATATGCAGTATTGTATTTGATAAAACCAATTATATCACATCCTTCCAAACTTTGTTTCACTGTAGTTACTATAGAGAATAAACTACTGTAACTATATTTTATATATATGCGTGACAGGCACGTAGCAACAGGGGGGGGGGACGCCCCCCCCCCCCCCAACATTACTTTTACTATTGGAAATGTTCAGTGAAAGACTTGTTGCCCCCCCCCCCTCCCCCACTTTATACTACAGAAAAGTGATTTAAGGAAAATGTAGTGCTGAATATGAAAAAAATGGTACTGAGAGAAGTTGGCATTGAAAAAAGTTGGCCTCAACCCCCCATCCCCCCCCCCCCCAACGAAATAGGATTTTCGAGTTTTGGCAATTTCTTTCTTTCTTTTTTTTTTTTTTTGCTTGTCAACTTTTTCAAGTAAGTAAAAAAAAAATTTTCTGGCTGCCCCCCACCCCACTTTTAAAAACGATGCTACGTGGCTGCGTGAAGAAAAAACTTAGATCTGGAAAAAAAAAATTTGAAACTTGACCTTATTTGGCTTAAAACTTAAACCTTGCTAAACTATGAGAAAAATTGTTAATAGCAATTTTAAACTACAACTCGCTTGCTAATTCTTTAAGCTTATAGCAACAATTAGTACATTGATGCTTTGCAAAATCTGTAAATGATACAAAAACAATTTTTATCAATTATTACTCGATGTTGAGGTATTATACGAGTTTTATCGTTTTTAACAGGCGATGGAAGCTTTTCAACAACTCGAAATTTCCAGCACCGGAGAGCGATTGGGTGTATACGGAAACCGCCGACCAATACAAAGAGATCAACAGAACAAGCCTTTTACAGTGCTAAAAAACTTTTGATTTTGTTGTAGTTATCTTCATTAATATAAATAACACTTGAAATTAAACAGATTTTGATAAAGCAAAATAAATAGTCATTCACAAAATTGTCTTTTTTTTTTTATTTACAACACATTACAGTTTTAAATGAAGGGGGAGAGGTCCGAGAGGACTTATTTAGGCCATGCCTGATGTCCAATCCAGTTATGTAAATTGACTTTAATTAAAATATTAACTGAAGTTCAAACATAAGTTTGCAATACAGTGATCAGTATTTCGAATACTACATGGATCCTATATGCTAGAGCGACTAATTCTAATCTCAATATTTCGAACACTCGGATATCTCGATATTTTTCTTAACCATCGATTTGGAGATAATAAGATTTGACTGTGTGATTTCAAAATGTCAAAGTTGTTTTAATATAACACGTACACGCATATTTGTATGTTTCACTGACCATAGACGATAAGGCCACTCCAAGTTTGTTTTTCTTTTCTATGTTAAGCGTCCGCGTGCGCCTTGGTTTTTGACAATCCATGTGAGAAAAAAATAATTAAAAAAAACACGGAGTCAAAAAAATCGAGAATTCTGATCGAAATCTATGGATTCTGTCAAAGTCTCTAGACATTTGTCTACAGTATTTTATATTAGGTGTATTTTAATTAAGTATACTAGTACTTTTAAATACTTTGATTTTGCACACAAAAAATGATGCCACCTTTAAAAAAAGTGTTTGCTTGCCCTCTCCCGATTCAGGGTAAAATTACTGGGTCGGTAGGTAGGTATGAAAATACTTTTTTCCAGAAAATTTCAATAAATTTATTGATGGGATGAGAGGAATAAACAGGAATAGAAAAAAAAAGTTTTGAGTTGGGCCATTTTAGTCAGTCGGTCGGGAGAAGGCAACCAAACATTTTTTTAAAGGTGGCCTCATCTTTCTGCAAGGAAAAGAAATAAATTTCTTTGAATCATATTATATTTATGACTTTTTAAAATCTGTGTTTTATTTTTTGACTCGTGTGTATTTACTTTTCTATGAACAAATGTGGGTAGGTTTTTGAAAGATGAATGAACTCGTTTCGACAAAAAATGATCGTTTTCGCTGCAAGTATATTGCTTGAGTATGGAATAAATTGGGGCTCATTCAAGGGGGGCCGCAACGCTAACCTGAGTAACTTTAGCAATGCTGTTTTTTACTAGATTTCCCCCCTTTAAATGCCTAATGTGGTCCCACTCTACCCCCCGGGAGTCAAGATATGAGCAATTTAGAATCTGCACTACACAAGGATACTTCCATGCAAGTTTCAGCTTTACTGGCCCAGATTTTCTTGAGATTTTTCCTTTGTATTTCAATATAAAGGATTCTCTGTCATGGCCTCACCCTATTCTCTTTAAAGAAGTGGACAGGCTTTCGCCTACATGGATGTAGGCGAAAGCCTGTTCGCTTCTTTAAAGAGAAAAGGCCCCATCCTACCCTCAGAGGTCATGATTTGAGCAATTTAGAATCTACGATATCCCAGGATACTTCCACAGAAGTTTCAGCTTTTCTGGTCTATTGGTTCTTGAGAAAAATTTTTTTATTAAAACATCCACATTGGTTCAACTGTACTTGTATAATTAACAGATTTTAAAATATCCAATCAAGTTTAAGAAATCTTATTTCTCTTGACATTAAAATAGTTACTGGTAATTTCCACATTCTAGACCAAAAAACAACTGCAGCTTTGGTCTTCCCTTGTCAAGAAAAAAAACTAAACCCTTTAGAAAATTTTATTACTATGGTACATTTGTCCACCGAAAATATCATTACACAAACATTGCGAGAAGGAGATAGAGAAACAAAAGAAAAATGAATATTATAATTCTATTTTATATAATTATGCAAAAACCACAAATTTTTTGTACCATGAGCTTCAATGATGTTCAGGTGAGCAACAGATTAGTTCAATAACAAAAATTAAATAAATCATAAATATACAAAAACAAAACAAGAAACATGGTTTCTAACTAAATAATAAATTCATTTCACAGTCAATCAGTTCTATATTATATACATGTATTTGGTTTTTATTGTATTTCCTTTATTAAAATCCATGTTTTAAACTCCTAGAACCATACTTGAGAATGGACATTTCCAGGCAATGAGATGCTAACAACAACAACACTTAATTCATACAATGTTTAAACTCTTCCTGAATAATAATGGTAAAGTAAAACCATTGAATCTTTATGATTATCCCATCAATCTCAATCAGGATTTGGAGATTCATAAAACGTAAGCTACATTCCTTTAGTTGAAAATATGTCTTGACTGACCATATGTTTTAATATTGATTGTTGTTCAATGTAACGTGTATCACAGCAAATAACAAGACAAAGTCAGACTTCAACAGACTAACACAAGTATGTTGTAGGCAACTGGGTTGTTCCTCGTCAAAGGTCATCCCATCCGCTCTTGTTAAGTTAGAATGATATAAATATAAATCATGTTTTTTGTGTTTTTTCAGTTTCCTGAAAACCCCTCAGCTTCTAGACATTTGGCAATTGTGTTCAACTGAATGTTTGATGTCCCTTCATAAATGGTTCCTAAAAATGAAATTTCTATTACAATATAATTAAATTTTTTGGTTAAAAAGGTATACCCAGGTGTTGAAAGGAATAAGTATGGCACTGCAAAATTTTTCAAAGAAATCTTAAGGAATACTTGCCCACTTTGCAGTCCCGGTAATACTTTTCTATAGGATAATCCTTTGTAAAGCCCACCCCTCCCATCCACTCAATGCACTTAGATGTTGTTAGAGTGGCCAACTACAAGCAATCAGACAAAATAATTATCAAAAAGTTGTGCAATAAATGGTGTTTTAGAATAATAAATATTAATATAGAAAGGAATCAATTCACTATTAAAATGTGTAATTAATTTTACAGTACATATACCTCAGATGCATATAATTTTGCCATAGCAGCCTCCTTAAGGAATGGTTGTCCCGCCTCTTTCTTCCTGGCAGCATTATAAACAAGTGATCTACAGGCCTCAATCTGTGTCGCCACATGAGCTATCTGATGATGCATACCCTAAAATACGCCATGTGGTACATGTAATACATGTCTATGGAATCATTAATGAATGTGAAATATAATCTTAATTCATTTTCAATTACATCAATATCAATGTGATGTCATTTCCTGTTTGTTTTCAATGAGCCATTTTCTTAAGGTGGCATACCTGAAAATCAAATACTCTTTTTCCGAACTGTTTTCTTTCCAATGTGTAAGGAACTGTAGCATTAAAACAACCCTCTGCCAAGCCCAGCATCTAAAATATTGGATTTATCAATCAATTTATAATTGAATACTGAAAACATCACAGAAAATTTGTTTATTGAATATTGATTTTTTTTTCTACAATTGTTTTTCAAACACCTTAGATTTCTTCTGATGTACAGTAAAACATGCTTAGTATAACAAAGCACCAGGAACGACTGATTTTGCTTTGTTATATCTGTTATATTTTATGGTCATGGGTAATGAAAATTACTTCGCTGTAAGTGTCAATTCATTATAAGCTTGTTTACTTTATGTGTGTTTTACTGTATACTCACCTGAGAGGCAATCCCAATCCTTCCTTCATTTAACATTTCTATGGCATATCTGTACCCCATGCCAAACTCTCCAAGAATATTACTTGCAGGAACCTGAAGCATGCCACAATTACAGTACAATTCAAAAATGATCAAAGAATTTAAAATAAATTGTTAAAATCTAGACCAGTGATAAATGTATTTTCTGAAACTTTCTTTAATATGGTGATTATCAACAAAAGGGTGAAGATATGTGGATGCTACTGTAAGTAAATGACCTTGACATTGTCTAGATGTACAGGACAGGTGCTTGATGCCCGGATTCCGAGTTTGTCCTCCTTCTTCCCGATGCTCAGCCCCTCTGTGTCTCTGTCCACTAGGAAAGTGGTGATTCCTTTGTAACCCTGGAAAACATTTCTATAGGTTTTGTATCCTTTCCATAAATCAACAAACCAGTTCATGTGCATACTGGCCTCCAGGTACTTTAATAACAGTTAAATTAAGGTTCTTTGTTACACTGACAAGAGAGATAACTCTAACAAATAAATGACTAGTCTACTATTTCTTTATTAAATTGTTAATTTAGATGGCAAGTTTTGTCAAAAGTTTAAATAAGTGAAGAGATGATGGATCTTGAACCTTAATAAAAAATCTCTGTCAATTTAAATGTAGCTCTGGAATCTTTTTAAAAAAGGCATATTTTACCATGACAAGTCAAATAAAGATTTGTTAAACTCACAGCTGTTGGGTTAGCATTGACCATGACTAAGAAAACCCCAGCATGTTCAGCATTGGTAATCCAGATTTTTGTTCCGTTAAGGATGTAGTAATCTCCTTGTTTTACTGCTGCTCCACGCATGGCAAAGGCATCTGATCCAGCATCTGCCTCCGATAAACAAAAACTGCCCACCTGAGAAGTTAAAAAGAAATAATGATAAAGCTTTAGAGTTTAGATAAAGCATAATTTTTCTGCAATATTTTTTTTTAAATTTTCAGATCAAAGGTGGACATTTTTAGGGATGTGCAATTTTATTGGTATACCGGTATATCGCGATTTTTTGTTGCATGATACGTATTGTGATACGGAGACGTAAATACCGGTCTTAAGCACATATTATAAAGTCCAGAAATTATTAATTTATTTGATCAATCTTTCAAATTACAATTACAGAAAGTATAAAAAATGTAAAAAGTGAAAAGAACGTCATCTTACCGTCCAACATAATTGATTTTATATGCATAAAAATTTCAAGAAAGTAAAATTTTGTTTTTCTTGCATATTTTTTAGAAAAATAATGACTTTTCATATAAAATCATTGTAAAAATTGCTTTTAAAAATATCATGATATTATCGTGATATTGTGGAGAAAAATCGTGATATATCGTGATACGAAATTTTTGGAGATACCCATCCCTAACCATTTTTTCAAAGAAGGCTTAGGCTCATCCATCCTAAATACAATATAATTATGCTTACCTATGTATGATCAAAGTAATTTTTTTAAAAAAGGTACCGGGTATTTTTAGAATATTGGTTACCGGTTACACATGTATGAGCAAAATGTCAAAAATGAAATGATTGACTTTCAGCAGGTCCACAACATGGCTTCAACTTATAGCATGAAAATTGAAATCTTATGCTCTACCACTTAGCTTAAGGAGTTCACTAGTGCTAGTAGCAGTGTGACTCCATAAAATACAACACACTGCCACTTTAAAGGCTGCTTCAGTCAACTGAAGTTGTGTGCATTTTGAATTTCTTTCAGAAACATTATAAACAAAATATTACATAAGTGATTAATCCTACCATGTCTGTGGCTAGCCTGGTGAGGTATTTCTGTTTCTGTTCCTCGGTCCCCAGTTTCTTGATGAGGGTGTTTATCAGGGTATTCTGGACATCCACCATGACACTGATGGCGGGGTCTACCTTAGCCAGCTCCTCAATCACCAAGTTTGCCACAAAAAACGAGGAGTTCGTACCACCATACTCCGAGCCAATCTCAATGCCCATCAACTACAGTAGAAAAGACATTACAATTTCATGAATTTTGAATTAATAAATTGAATTACAAACATGTGATTGAATCTGGTTATAAGATAGGACTCACCCCATTTTCAAACAAAGCCTTGAGTACAGCGGGGTCACACTGAGATTCTTCATCCATCTTTCTGACCAAAGGTTTGATCACTTCTGATGCAAATTTGGCAACTACAGGAAGAAAAAATATATTACATGATTAAATGAAGATTTACGGTACTGCATTGACAATTGACTTTTCATATTCCTTCTATTTTGATCAATTTCATGATAATTTTAAAGAACCTGATAATTTGATTTACCTGACTCTTTCATCATTTGTTCCTCCTCCGAGAGCATATCAACTGGTCTTGTAACCATGGTAACCTCCTCTGACAGAGCCCTCTGATTGGCTGTTAGGGTTTGAAGATGCGCTGTGGTTCTGATAAACCTCCTGGTCTCGCACCATGTCTTCCTTGTAGGTCTGGAAGATGCTGACTTCAAGGGGTTTAAGATTCCCTGTTGAAAGAAAATAAAATTCATAATTACATGTCTTTATGACAACTTCTGAATTGTCCAAAGCCATTATGGTCAAGGTAGACTATTCAGTCACAATGTAAACAAAATAAATATTACATGCAGCTTGCAATTGCAAATCTATTTTTCCTCAGGTTCGAATAGGAAACACTATTTATTGGTTTAATGCACAACTAATAGTATGCACACCTGATTGCATTACTATTTAAAATTCACAAATGTGTTGTGGATTGCAATACACGGACAGTAGATTACAGTATGTGATGGCTTCCTTCCAGGAACTAGAGAAATCTGTGTACAAGTCCAAGTACACAATTTCTCCTTTTTTGATACAATTGGTGTCATTAACCAGAACTGGACTTTACAGGCGAAAGTCCTGCCAGTGGCCTACAAAACCTGGTTGGTGTGTTTCTGGGGTTGAAGACTAAATTTAAGTTTAACTAGGGATGAAGATATCAGTTAGGGATGTGGATATCGACCTCGATCAGCCTAACTTGTTGACAGTTCATTCTGATTCAATAAAGTTCCTACCGCTTAATAATAATGCAGGGGTCTGGGGTTCGATTACCAGCCCAATCATCTTTTTCTCCTTTCCTGTTTGGCTGTTACTAACAACAGAGTTCAGTGTCCAGAGTTAGCATGGTTAGAGTCTGACAGTTGCATAAGTCTACATTAGTCATACTACTGTTCTCATTATTTAAAGATGTAGTGGAATTTTTTTTATAATAATGGAAGCATTTTTCAATGTTTTAGTACTACTTAGAAGACATGTGCTAAAGTTACTCCGTAGGCATGATAAGACATTATTCCTTTTGACACCAGAGAAAATTCGAAATTAACTAAAACATACACTTATTTGTTCATAATACACAATTATTCTTTTCTCGACTATTTGATTGATTAATTCAATTCAAAACTGAAATATTTTTATCACAAATTGGAAAAATACTTACCCGCAAAACTGCAGTTCGCATATTGTTGACAAACTTTCACAATCTTGTCCTGTTTTCGTAATTATTGATAATTAAATCGGGATCGGCATACACGTAAATAGCGAACAGGTCACCCGAAATGATGTCGAGAAAGCTAACATCGCTTCTTAGAAGCAACAGTTTGACATTAACGAACAAATATTGTTTGCATATGACATCAGTATTAGGTGCCAAGAATCCCAAAGTTGCTTTGGTAACTTCTACTTTTACATGTCATCATAATCCGAGATCGAAAGACAATTTTTTATTCAGCTGCTGTAAATGAAAAACATCTCGATTTTCTGGGTTTAACTAGTTTGTATTTGTCAGCTGATTAGTTTATTTTAAATGTTTCAGATATTTTCGGGCTGTGGTGTGTACGATGGAACTGAAATTCATGAAGCATCCTCGTATGTATGGGTTTTGAAAATTGTAATTTAAACGTACGATGATGTTTGATGCATTGATAAATGGTAGGCCTAATTTTATTTACTTAAAAATAAAAGTTGTTCTCGTGGCGCAATGTTCACTGATTAAACCTCGTACTCAATAGTTGCAGAGTATGAAGTTGATCCTTGCTGGTTTGAATCCCACTGTAGGACATGAGACAGTTTACTCTGATGAAACCGTATAAACCGAGTTCCCATGTCAAGATAGCTAGTGCTGACACAAAAAAATTCCTCACTGCTCTATGTCCCTAAGTGCAAAGTATAGGTCTAATTGTTGCGGCCTTCCCCCGGCAAGTGTTGGCATCTCAATCTGTGTGAACAATTTTTGGAAAGGGATGTTAAACAAACAAAATTTATATATAAATTACATGTATTGACTTATTATAGCACAATAGTTCTTTATACTGGGATCTTTGATATGATGTTTTAGCATAGCATTTTCTGCATAAAGACAAATTATTTCCAGAGCTATGGTGCATCTGAGCAGACATGAAGCTGATGTTGGAATATTTGCCCCAAACATTGAACAAATGCACGCTATTGATCACACAAAGGGAGAGCCTATGGCAGTGAACAGGTTAGATAAATGATGTTGTGTTATTATTTCAAGCAGTATTTCTAAGTCTTTAAAATCATTGGAAAATGCTTCTCAACTGACACCACAAAACAATGATGAAATTAAAATTACAATTGAATTTAATCTTGGTGTTTGAAATATATGGTTGCAATCAAATCAGTGTCATAGCTAGATATTGTCGGACTATCAGAGTTAAATATTTCAATTCAATTTAATTTATTTACAATTAAAGTGTTGGCATAAGTCATGAACATTAATAAATGTAAAAAAAAAAAATAATAACTCAGAATAACCTGCACAATCTTTAGAATTTTTATTGGATATTTGTTTACAGGGTATTACCTTATGTTAAGTATTACAACATAAGACTAATAGAAATCCAAAATACTGCAGAATATCATCACAGACATGTATTTCTAGTTACAAATGTATTGTATTTTTTGTGACTTTCTCATCTTTATATATTTACATTTGCAAATGTTTTCCTTTATATAACACTACTGAAGGCAAGCGTTTTTATAACTGTGTAAATACAGGTATTTCAAGAGGCATAGATGTGCGTTTGGATAAACGTTCGACGTAATTTCTCTGTGACGTCATAAAGGGTCGACGCGCGTTTAGTTGATTACATACATGCCATTGGGTTTGAAAAATTAACGCATTTCACACGTTAAAAGTAACAATCAGGCAAATATAAAGTATGAATAAGTCACAAATGTAAATATAAGTAATAAGGTATCATTTTTTGAGTTTTATTGAGATGGCACATGATCAAATCTTCAATAAAGCCCTTCGGGCTTTATGGGATTTGATCACGTGACCAACCCGTTTTACATCTCAATAAAACTCAAAAAATGATACCTTATTTCTTAAATAAAGGTAAAAATTTAAGCTGTTTTTCCAAGAAACCCCTTATCCTTCTTGCAGTTCTAGTATTTAAAGGATCTTTAACATTTTTTCTAATGGGATTGTCACTAGTGCATGTGTTCAGATCAAATGTATCATTACAGTGTATAAATATGTACATCTGTATTGCCTTTCAACAATATAGTTTTTCATCTTCAATAAACAATTAATTTACATGAACAGTATAAATAGGGGCTTAGGATATCTACCCATTTCAGTTATTATAGATGGCCACCAATCCTTGTGGATTCACTTCTATCACATTTTTTTTTTTAAAAAGATAGCTTCAAAATAATTTTGCAGTTATATTTTAATTATGTTTTGATTCAAAATTTTGCTTTAAAAAAGGTACTGGTAATTTTCTCAAGTCTGATTTACTTATATTTTTCAGTTGTAACTTGTTGATATATCTTGCATTAATATTGTAATACTCTTGTAATTTGTTTCCCAGGGTTGTGTGAGAAATATCTAAGAAATGATATTCAACTTCTTTAGTAATGAATACAGCTTATAGTTATACAACCATGATATTTTAGATACAATTTTTTTTATCTTCTTTAAATGCAGATTCACTAAATAATCATGCTTTCCATTTCTTTCAATCTTATGTTGTATACATGTATATATGACTTTAAAAATTACACAAAAAAATGCCTTATAAATTCACATTTAACTGCATGATTTTATGCCTATTTCCATGTACCTTATGTATGTATTCTAATTATTCTTTCTTTGATTTATACCTACATGTTGTCACAATATTCTAACATTTATGCATATAAATCAGTATGGTATCATATGGCGCCTCGATCTGCACAGAAAAACAGTGAATACATTTAGTACATTGTAATTAGTACATTTGTAAATTATGTGGCTTCTGTTCATGATGATAGTAAGTGCAATCATTGCCAACAAGCTAATTCAGAGAGTCTGGGAAATGTCCTTGTATTAGGTACAAAATAATTTTTCTTACACTTAGCCCCCCCCCCCCCACTTTCAAGAGCATGTGAGCATTTTGAATGTACAAAAAAAGGGGGGAAAGAAATTCATTTGATTTTATTCTACATTAAAATAGGGGGGTCTGCACTTTAAAGACTCTGGGGAACAAGAAATTGGGGGGGGTATAGGGAGTTAAGGTATTATAAAAATTTCATTGCAAAAACTCAAAAGCTTCTTGAGATATTGTACAGAAATTAATGTTTTACATACAAACAGAAAGTATAAAATATTTGACCTTGACCTTTGATCTCAAAATCTTAGAGGTTTAATTTAGACCATAGGGAGTTGTGATATGAAATTTCATTGCAAAAAGCTCAAAAGCTTCTTGAAGATATTGCACTGAAATTAATGTTTTACACAAACAGAAAGTATAAAATATTTGACCTTGACCTTTGATCTCAAAATCTTAGAGGTTTAATTTAGACCATAGGGAGTTGTGATATGAAATTTCATTGCAAAAGCTTAAAGGCTTCTCGAAATATTGCACTGAAAAGAAAGTGTTAAAAAAGACATATTACAAATTTATGACTTGACCTTTGACCTCAAAATTAATAGGGTCTTCCGTAGGCCAAAGGGAATTGTTATGTGTAATTTCCCTGCAAAAGCTCTAAGGCTTCTTGAGATATTGTACAGAAACAAAAGTTTTACAGACAGACAGATTGACTTACAGTTTTATTTGTAAAATTATCAATCACACTGTTTTAGGCCTTTTTATAAAAAATTCTGAACAGATTAAACCTTGGTTTTACTCTTAGATTATTTTTTTTTTAAATTTTATTATTACTTCCATCCAGTAATTATATTATTGGACTGAAAAAAGTTGTTATAGGATGGCTACTAGTAAACTTTGAGACTACAAGAATAAAGGCATGATGACAGCAATGTTTCGCTCACTTTAGTACTTATTAATGTCATTGACTGTCCATAACCGTTATTTTATTTTCTCATTTTGTTCACTGCAGAAATGTTTTGGTGGAATCTGCCCGCATTGCAAGAGGCAAAATTCAAGATCTGAGTGAACTCAATGTAAAAGACTATGATGCTATAATTTTCCCAGGAGGATTTGGCGCAGCTAAAAATCTGTAAGTGGTCATGTTTAGAATAAGCTGATTTAACTCTCATACTGAGTATTTGAGCAGATTTTAAATAATATTGTATACAGGGAAATTTTCGCCCGTTTTGCCCTACCCTCATTTGTGCAAATTTAAAACGGGGCAAATTTAAAGAATACAGTATAATTTCCAAAACATAACGATGACTGGGTGAATTTAAAATAGGGCAAAATTGTTTGCATGAGTGAAAGGGTGAAAATAACACTGGGCAAAAATAACCTGTATACAGTATTTTAGAAACTGGTAGATTGCATTTATAGAAAAAGGATGACATATGAAAATTTTGAAAATTGATGACATTTAATATTTACTTAACGAATATGTTTTAGTATTTAGTACCTATATACTGTTCTGTAAAACAAATACTCAGTGAAAACAAGTTATCTCAAACTCAGTGGGACAAATGTGTTTTTACTCCAGGAGTAACTTTGCCGTTGAGGGAGATAAAATGACAGTCCAACCATCAGTGGAGAAGGTCATCAAGGAATTTCACTCTGCAAAGAAGCCTATTGGGTGAGAAAATATCATACAATCAAACATTGTTATCTCTACCCCAATCGAAATGAAAAAAATTTGAGACATTCAAGTACTGTAGATCACTAAATTTTCGCGACACCTTATTTTCACAAGATAGTCATTGTCTGTTGATTAGCGAGACAAAATTTTCACGAATTGTGGTTATTGCTCTATATAATCTTTAAGTAAGGAAAATTAAAATTTCGTTAGCACATTGTCTCGCGTAATTACGCGAAAATAAAGTTCTCGCGAATAAAAAGTGATTTACAGTATTCCAGATATCAGGGTAAAAATACTTTAAAGGACTTCCAAAGTTTTACTTAGCAATGTATTCAAGTTATCCATGTTTGAGGTATTGAAATTAAACTGTACTTGAAAAATCATAAGATGTACATTTACTACTAAAATGTTTGAAAGATATAGCTGCTATAATAGTTTTGACTAGGGTGTAAAGATGTAGGAAATGAAAATTAAATTCAGCAAAATAGTTTTCAAAATTTTTTGTTTCAAAGGATAATGTGTATTTACATTTTAAGATAGCCATGGGTGATCTTTTTATTAACATGTACTCATATTTTTCAGTTTATGCTGTATAGCTCCTGTTCTGGCAGCCAGGACTATCTCAGGTTGTACTGTAACAGTAGGACAAGACAAGGACAGTGATGGAAAATGGCCGTATGCTGGTACAGCAGGGGCCTGTCAAAACATGGGTGCCAAACATGTCAACAAAAATGTTAATGTATCCTTAAGTTTGCGTACTGTTTGACATTTAAAGTGTACTTCCAATATTCTGTTGATGCATTTGTAGTAAAGTTCATTTTTCCAAGTAACTGAAGTAAATAACTTTCTCTAAGTTTACAAGTTTTTCTTGGATAGAAAAATGCAGATTGCATACCTTCCATATTTGCCTCATAACACTAAGAAGATCTTCTATAACCTTGTTTATATGCATGTTTTCTAAAAACATGATGCTCTTCTGATTTTCTATTAAAATCCTTATGATCTAGCCTGAGACAAATGAAACAACTAGAGGTCTTCTCAATTTGATCTTTAGTTATGCAAGACACAATATCCCTCAAAGAAATTCGATTTAACAATTATACTCATTTAATTGACAAGTTAGTTTCCTCAACAGTTTATAGGAAGTAAATATTGATTCTGAGAACAAAATTGTAACGACGCCAGCCTTCATGTGCGAGACAGCAGTACACCAAGTGTTTGATGGAGTGGGCAAAATGGTGGAAGCCGTGCTAAAGCTCTGTAAATAGAACTAACCACTACTGTCAGGCTATTCTTCTGTGAAGATGTGCACAGGATGACTTTTGATAAGCATGCAGCAAAAATATATTTGTGTGAATGTTTTCAGAGATTTTTAATCAAGAATAAAGGTTGAGAATAAATTCTTTTAATTATTGTACCATTGCAAACTCTTCTGTTGGGTTTACTATTCTGTTTCAAGTTAAAAATATTTGCAATCATATTAGTTCACACAAAGATAACTAGACTAAGAGATACTGTGAATGACCTCTCCGAATAATACCCTGTTGCAAGTGCATTATATTAAAATTTTGTAAATGTGCTTGTCAAAAACAACTGACAATTTAAATTGTACTTTTTATCATGTAAATTTTGCATTTACCTCCGCCTTGTAAATTCAAAATATACGTTTCTCAGACCATCTTCTAATAATTGATATTTTCAGTGAGGCTACCATTACAATTGCAAATAGTTACATCTATAAATATTAATCCCATAGTTTACTTTTCTACCATCTGTAGTTGGCTATATAGCCACAAGATTTGTTGCCAAGAACTGCAAAGTTTTGATTATTGTGTCTCAACTGTTGTCTAACATACATTGCATTCACTGCAGGACTAGAGTAGTACAGAGCTTGAGCCAATAAATTTCTAGAGAAATTCTATCCTATTTTCCTCCACTGGAATTGCAGAATAAGGGGCTCATGTGAAATTCACAACTTCTGTAACCCTTTACCAATATAAGCTACATACCACATACTAATTTTGGTAGAATTAAGGTCTTCAAAAAAGTTTGAATGTTAATAGACAGGAGGAACAGCCAGAGAGAACAAGTCACTATAATTAATTAAAGTGTCCCAGTTGAGTTAAAATGGAATTACTTCTATTGGATGGATAAAATTCATTAAGAAGTGTAATAACTTCAAGGAAAAGAAAAGACACATAAATTCAATTTTAACTTTACTTTTTCAAACATCATACAAAAGTCTGAAAAATATCTAGAAAATTGTTCCACAGTTTCAAAAAAAATATGAACAGAAAAAAAAACTTTCAGTAGATGTCTTAATTTAAGAATCTCATATGATAAAACATAACATATACAAATACAACTGTATTTCATGATGAAAGGTAGCCTTTGACCTTATTATTAAAGCACTAAAACCTTCAGTTCAATTGGCTTTCAAGATGCTGGAAATACCTGTATAATCTGAAATCTACATGTACATAATATGGATTTTTTTTTTCAAGATACTGAACACAATTCCGGTAAATTGTAAAAGTACATCAAGATTAGTTTTACAAGAAAATACACATCAAAATTAAGAAGCATCTTGGAAATTTTCCGTGACATCGTTCCAGTTTTCAAGTATGAAGAGTATTATAACAGTGCTTATTAAAATAGTAACTTCAATTTTCAGAATGAACAACCTCAGGCTTTCTATAGCATGAACTAATACATTATAAAACAACTAAATAAACACATTAAAATGATACAGAATTTAAAAGAACAAAGTTGCAAGTTGCACTAGTATATTGTAATAAACTTTCAAAATTAACAAGAAGCCCTTTTCCACTACTTAAGTGAGTCATCTCTCATTTAATTTTAAATCAATTAAAACAAAAACCCTTTATTTGTATCTAAACCTTGAAAACATAAAGCGTTGTTTGCCTCTATTTCATATTCCTAAACATAAAACTGAAAACCAGTCATAATTTAGTTAATACCAACTAACAATGCTATTTTGTTTTTTAAGTATAATGACTAGATTTTATTTATAGCCCCATCCCACTCCTTCCCCAAAGACAAAATCAACTGAGCACAGGGAATGGGTTTGGATTTTCTATAAAAGAACTGCAACAGTGAAAATTTCAACAGCTGAATAAAATCTGTATACACATTAAAAGATACATCTTGTTCTACTGATAAAAATGATAAAAATACTGAAAAGTTTAACAACAAGCAACACACTGCCTCCAACCTTTAACAGCTTGCTTATTTTTCATGGACGTCCATGATTTTAGGCTTTTTACACATACTTTTGCTGGTATTCTCAAGCATCAATGCTTGTTTATGGCACATGCATTTTGACTGTGAATGGACTGAGCACTAAAATGGATCCACTTTTGTTGACATTTAAATTTCCTGGAAAATGTCCATCTGACCCATTAATTTCTGGCGAGGTCCCTGAGGCAAAAACAGAAATGCGATTGTTCCATAAATGTACGTACAATATCTTCAGAATTGTTCCTGAATTTACAGAGTATTCTTTAAACCAAGCTGAAGGACACGGTGACCTAAGTACCAATGACCTTGCACTAACCTTGGTGACCCTGGGTTAGAACTACTTATGCTTCATTTTCTTCACTATGTTTGGCTTGACAGACTCTCTAGTTGGAATTAACGGATCCGTGATATTGTAAACCTCTATTAATTCCTGTAATAATTAAATTTAATAACATACAAACTTAATTTACATATGCTGAACATCAACATTTAAGTATTACTCTTTCCATAGTCTGAAACTGATATTGTGGAAATTTCTAAATGCCATGTGCTAATCTGAGCAGTTAGTCTTGGAAGGTACAATTTTGAAAACATCTTTTCTCTCTATTAACCAATCAGTATACACATGTTTAAATTTAGAATTTTAGTTCCTACCTTCCATTCTTGAGGAGTAATGCTGACCACTGCCTGTTTGTGTGGCATCCTTTTCCTGACTTTCTCCTGCTCTGGATTCTGAATTGGTTCTGAAAAAGGAAAATAACACATTAACTATAGTTTACTAGTCAACGTTTATGTCTATGTGGAATTCAGTAGAGGGCGCTTATGGCGCAAGTCCTTACATTTAATTTGTCATGTGGCTATATTTACCAGGTATGCTGTATCAGAAAATAAAGCACCCTATTGCAATTTATGATAATTTGTTCATGTAACTTCATTACAACTAAAATCTTCAATACACTGATTTAATACATGTATTCAGAAATTTAAAAAACTTATTTTAAAGTTTAATTTTTTAAAAATTAAGCTTGTACCTATTAATGGTAACTTCTCATCATCCAAAATGATTTTTGCTAGTCCATCCTGAAACATAATACCAGAAAATTCATTTTTCATACATTTTATCATAATCTTAAAAATTTCTTACATATAGTACATTTCTCTTTTTATTCAAGAGTTTTCTTCAAACTTCATTTTCATGATTATATACATTCATTATAAACATGATACGAATGTAGTAACTCTGTTTGCATAAATAAGTGGTTGGTTTATAAATACGCTGAGTATTCATTTCACCTTTGGTTACTTATATTTATATTTAAATATTTACAAATGTGCAAAATTTTATGTCATTTTTAATAACTCAATCACTTAATCTAACACCAGAAAATCCCGATACTAACCCGGACAAGGAACGATGTGTAGAAAATATTCTCCACTGTCTGACTGAAAGACTGGGGGTGTAAAACAAACTCAAAGTAACAGATAGGATTACCTATAACATAAAGACATGTCAAACTTTAAAGAAAACATTGAGGGATGAAAACCAACTCAAAATAGCAGATATATAACATAAAGACATGTAAAACATGATAGAAAACATAAAATGTGTCTCTTCACGTAAAAAATCATTCTACTATAAAAATCAAAATGATGGTAAAACTTTATAAAATCTCCCTATTCTGAATATTTTATATTCATGTAACTGGCGGGGCAGGGCTCTCACACCACCAGTGTTTCTGCTAATTTTTAAAACCAAGGGTCATTATGACCCTTTGATATAAACTTTTGGGGGTCAAAAAGATTTTTTGAGGGTCAAATGAATTCTGGTTTTGATTTCGGTTCTAACATTAGCTCTGCCTTCTAAGATCATATTATTGATATTTAAGATTTAAAAGAATGAAAGTAAAATATAATTGATACATGTATACTTCTTTTATTATACCGGTACACAGTTACATTTTTACCGATTACAAAGGGTTTCGTGAATACCTCAATCAAAAGATAACAACTTAAAGTGGTTGACTGCTTTACAAAACTGTCTATTAATGATTTGAACTTTCCTCACCTTTTTATTACCATAATTAGCCTTTTAGACAAAGCCAAGCTGATAAAAATATGCCGATGTAAGACTGAACATGCTGAAAATGCTGAAGCGCCATTTTTATCTACACTTCCGGTTTTGTTAAGAATAAGATAAGTCGTACAGAAGAATATTTCATAGATTGTTGACGTGGAAATGCCGATTTCAATCACTGCCACTTTGAAATTAAACTAAAAGCAATGATTAATTCCTAGAAAGTTGTCCAGAATGTAAATTAAACATATAAAATATCCTTTTCTATATGACAAAATCAATATTGAACTGGATTTTTAAAACTTGTTTTTATATTTTCTTCTGCGTCATGATGACCCTCTAGGTGACGTTTTGGGGGGTCAAAAGTAATTTTTATGCGTAAAATACGCAGAAATATGCGTTAACGGAAACACTGCACCACTTTTTGGGGCTGGGGCCGGGGCCATTCAAATTGGGAAAATTATCGTCATTTTGGGAAAAGTTGGATAACCAAAATTCATTTTAAAAATCCTCAAATTTTGCTTTTCTAGCATTTTGTCATCATGTTAACTCTGGTTTTGAATAAACAGTTAAACAGAGCAAACATGGGTACGTAGGCTATTTATGAAAGTACATTTATTTAGCTTTGTCATCACTATCTTTGATTGTTGATATTGTGGTTATATGTCTTTCCGAGGGACAGTCGCTAGTCACATATTCCCGAATTTCCTCGATCACATGGACAACTTTGCTTACCAATACAGCACGAGACTGAACATCCCGAAGTGTGGGTATGTTTCTAGGTGCAGCTTACTAATGTTTAAATGAAATGTCTATTTTTGAAACCAAAATGATGTTTTTTGTCGAAACTACATGACAAGATACTCTGCACTCATAATTAGTACACATTTTTGTAAAAACAATAACCTGGTTCCCGGAACCAGTTTACGAATGCATTTGGCGCGAACTAATAAAATATTAGTACAGTTTCACTTTCAATTGCAAGTGTGTTTTGTTTAGTTTCATTTTTTGCGATTAAGTTTCATGGACTTTTATTTTTTAATTAATATTTTGCTATGGAAATTGGGAAATTTACACCTTTCTTTTGGGAAAAAAGGTACCTATTTTGCATTGGGAACGGGGCCTAATATCAGCCCCAGATTTAGAGAATCGAGAGCCCTGCGGGGGAAAATGTCAACCAGACTGGGACTCGAGCCAGGGACCTCCCGCTTCCAGTGTAGGTGCTCTAACCACTGAGCTACTGGTCTGACGTACCCAATCCCCGTAACATACACATGTATGTGATATGAACAAGCACAATGTGGATGTATGTGTTAGTTTACCGGGGTTCATGTCTGACTAGTAAAACTTGTTGGTACTTACAATCTGTCTCTTTGTACAGATGCTGCAGTAAACCAAACAGCTTTTCTACTTCAGCTGTAGTGGCCTCACTCTTCTCTGTGTCCTCAAAAGACTTCATCTACAAACATAGCAATAATGGTCTTGTCATAAATGATTGCGCCCATGGGAAAAGGGCCCTTATGGCAATTTTTATACATTTTGAGTTTTTCACGGATTTTGATAGAGTAAGGTTAGAAGTTGCCAAATATGAATTTTTATCGTTCTACGTCTACTCTAAGTAGGTTTTTTCTTCATTTTTATCCAAGATACTTTAACAGGTTCATAATGGCGTCATGTTTTTCAACAACGTAAAGCGTTTTCCGAGTGAACGTAAAATGATTTTCTTCTGCAATTTTACTATGGTAATTAATAGTTGTATAATATTTAATATTTACCAATACATATCATTTTTATCTCATTGTCTCTTTTAATTATTAATAATTATTTAATAGTTATACATGTATATAATATATTATGAATTCATCAGTGGTGTATAGATTTATGAGTGAGTGCTTGTTTTACATTTCGCTTTTCTCTGACATCAGGAAGAGACCTGAACAGCGGGCGACATCCATTCAGTTTTTTTTAAAACAATTATTTTCTCAAACAAAATATTTACTAGTAATCCATGCAAGAGTCATTTGATAAGCCTGCATAATTCATTAGAAAATTATTTTAATTTAAACATTGCTCTCGATAGGTCAATATGTAACTTTTTTACCTGAATTCAGTATAAAACTCTATATCTCAAGTTATCGTACATGTGAAAATTAATTTTTAAAAAAGGATCACTTCATTATAAATAGGGATCTGACCTATAGGACCGGGCTTGGTTTTTTTTTTCTCTACAAAAAGGTTGTCGATTTCCGTTCCGATTAATGACATTAGGCTAAATACATATAATAATTTGTTTTTTTTCTAAATTTTTATTTCAGTTAGTAGAGGAAGGAGGGACCCTTTCATTGATTTTCTTATTTTGTTATCTACATACGTACTAATTGATATTTGTCTTTACTTCTCATGGTTTATAAAGGTAGTGTCTACTGTCTCTGAAATTCCGTTCTTCATGTCTAGGCCATTTATCCGTGGATATAATAAAACATGTAATTAATGTGTGCCAATTATATAGGCCTAAATAAAATCCAAATGAGTGCATTTACTGAAATATGTAGCCAAAATCAATGTGATTTAATTATAAGGAATATATACAATTGAAATTCATCGCAGCTCAATGCTGCCAAGAATACCTGTATTGAGTAACACACAGTGAGTTATTCTTGTCTTCGAAGAAAGTGTGCTTATACTGAGGTTCGTTCCCCCTTGACTGAGAACTGTACATTGGATTGTTACGATTTGATATCTCTTTAGTGTTTCTTATATATCAAGAATGGGAATGCATAAAGGATAGATAATTGAAGGAAAAATACACAAATCTATATAAAAAATCTAAATAGTCTTTGAAAAGGCGAAATTTAAAAGTTTAAAAGTGTTGTACCAGGTGGATTCGAACCCCCGACTTCAAAAAGAAAGTATCCAAGGTGCAAAAGTCAGCACTTTTTTTTTTTTTATCTTTTATTGTAAAAGTCAGCACTTATATCAACTGAGCTAGTCTGACTATAACAATAAGTTGCATAAATATCAAGCAGGTGATGAAAATCAGGTTTCCTTATTTTTTGTAGGTTTTTTGTGAATTTCGACCCCAGGGCAGGGGTGCCCCTAAAAAATTCTTATCTTAATTTATTCCTTACATCCTAACCTATCAAAATATCACAATTTTATTTAGGGGCAGGCCTGCCCTGAAGGACTTCAAGGCCAAAATTCATGCAAAAATCAATGCTTTTATGGACAAAATGGTGTTTCGGTCAACTTTGGAGGTTTATTATAAAGTTGTAAATAATAAATTTGAGGTATCAAATACAAATTTGAAAAATTTAGACATATATACGGTAGAAAACAACAAATAAATAGTGATTTTTAAATGTCGTTTTTTCCGGGAAATTGTTCTCTCCTATAGGTCAATTCTTTTGTTGAAGCGAATACATCCTTATATCTGGAACAACAATACGCTACCTAAATGCTCCTGCAAAGTGAAAATTTATTTGATCGTTCTTTTTTTTCTAAATTTTATATAAAGATAGGAAAACTGTGAAGTGTGATACACTGTTATAACGATATACAATAGAGAGTAAATACAAAAGAAATTCGGTTGATTCACTGCATCTTTAAGGTTGTCTGTCTGCATAGGTTTAAAAATGACACTGCTGTTTGAAAAATATAAAGAATACACGAAATCTATTTCAGTCTAGCAGTAAATATTTTAATATTTGCCAATTAAAAAATGGAAATTTTATAAGCAAATGAATGAATTGGTGTGATTATTTGTGTGTTGGTTGGGGGAGGGGGGGGGGGGGGTAGGGTAACAATTAATCTAAATGGCAGAAACGTACAATTCTTGTGAACACGAGTTAAAATAAATAAATAAATATTTTTTACTTCCCAACTTTTAGGTGCGCAGGAAGGGTGTCTCTCCTACAACCAATACCATTAACCCTACAACTTGTAAATTCACTTTTTTATGTAGGTTTGAAATAATACTGCATAATACCGGGTATTCTTCATTTTATATTAGTACCTTTAATTCTGAGCATTGCCATTTTTAAAGTCGCCTAAATCGAGCCTGGAACTGATCATGAATTGCTATGAATTCAGACTTGTTTAACATGTACATGTATATAATGACACCTTAGATTAACAAAATCTGGTTATTTTTTTTTAATTGGATGGTTTTAGAAGCATACAAAAAGAATTAAATTAAATAAACCAGTTACATAATTTTTTAAAAGAATTTTGAACAAAATTGGTTGAAAAATATCCAGTAGACAAATCAATATTAACTATATCCTGTAATTTCTTTTGAATCATGCATTTTAATGTATAGATTTTGTTGGGGTAGTGGTGGGTTAAAAATTAATATTATGTAATTGTCCATGCCTAAATATGCAGTCAGTTAAATATGACTTTTTGTATAATATATTTCCTGACAATTGTCTGTGAACTGGTTGAGTTTTAAAATGTCAGATTTTTAATTGTAGTGATGTAAGTATCTTAGAAAATTCATCATATTATTTTATGATTTAATTAAAATATCCCCTTCATTGTAATGATTTTGTTTTCTACTTTTATTTTATGAAGTGAATTTCACAGAGTATGAATTCCATTCTGTTCCAGTGCCAGAAGCTTTGATATGCTAATTAAGCCATGTAAAGCCTTACATCATGTACATGTTACGGAAATATAAATGGACACCCCGATCCCCTGCACTGCGGCCAAAATAAAACAAAATGCATGCATGTTGTTGTGGTTTTATGTCGTGTATTTTCAGCATTTAATTTTATTTTATGTTAGCGTTTACATGAAGAAATAAAACCCGACCTTGGATTTATAGGGATTTTTTTTTTTTTTTTTTTTTTTTTTTTTGTCAATCAAAACAAACAAAATCATAATATATGCTTTTACATGTATAATGATATACATCCATAATTTGATGGCAGGTTAAACAATACATTCTACACTGATAACCGCAATGAGATTATAAGTCCAGTGATGAATTGGGTTTTTAGCATGATAATTGATCTGTTAGGAGACATTCAATGCTGATCGAGCTTTTGTGAAAGACAAAGTCCTTCATGGTTTCAGGGATTAATTTGCAGATAATTCTTAAAACATTTGAACCCTGTTTTTAAAAAAAAAAAACACCACGTAAGTACCAAAGAGTTACATGTATATTAAATTTGGAGATCTTGAAAATAAATAGCCATACATGTAGTTTAAATAACAAAAAAGATTTTTTCTTAATTTTAGAGTATTTTATTATTTTGTTTGTTTTGAAAACTTACTTTTTTCAATAGAGTTTCACACTTCTCAATATAGGATAAATAGACTCCATATAAATATCTTTATCTATACCCTCCATCCTCTCTCTCTCTCTCTCTCTCTCTCTCTCTCTCTCTCTCTCATCAGATTTACTTGAAATCGCGATTATGCTGACAGTTAAAAGTGTTTTTATTTGGTCAAAATATCTCTTTTATAATCCGGGAGAAAATTCAAATTCATACAAATGAAAGTCCCTCTCTGGTACCCCTGTTATATCGATTGTTGACATCAGAGTTATCTCTCCTATTTTTTATTTATTGAAAATACAAACATCTTTACTGTCGTTCTTACACATTTTTGTTTAATTTGTAAAAACATAGAAGATGTATGTTTAGTTTCAACATTAGTACAAACAATTTAACAAAAGTTTAAGTAGTATTCACAGATGGATCATTGTTTACATGTGATCGACGCGATCGCGATGTATATCGAGAGTGGTGGAGCGGATCTCAAAAAAGGAAGACAATCTTCCTTTGCAATATTTTAACAATATACCCCTGTCTAACATGCATCCTAAATCTGATATAAATATGTAAATAAAATTTATCTTTCTAGAGTATACAGGTTGATTATTCTATCAGAAACGCATTTTGCCCGAGAACTCTGTCAATAAATGTTTTGTTATACCTTTCATTTTATTATATATTTTTTGACATACATGTATTTTGTAATATATTCCATAATGTAACATCAGGTCTGTCACTATTTTACACCAACGAATGAAAATGAAATTAAGCTCCGCCCATTCTGTGACGTAAGCGGTCCAACATCTCTCCGAGCGGTCCAACATCTCACTCGATCAGCGGTCCAACATCGATTTTTTTATGCCCGCTCAGCAAAACATTAAAAATGTTAAACTTTTTTTCGTATAGATTTGTATAGGAACAATTTTTTAAAGGTATAACAAATATGTTTGTTAAGAAACCAGTTCTTAATATTTTCATTTATATATATTAAAATCAGTGGTTTGGGAGATTCAGATATTGTTTAAATTAATTTATAAATGAAAATAAATTCCACATGTTGGAAACAGCGATAAAAACTCTGGATGCGTCAAACGTCAAAACACGTGGTTAAAAAAATTCTGCGTCGAAGTTCACCGTAAGTCTGCAACGTCACATCTTTATGACGTTATTTCTCTGTTCTAGCAAAAATGCCATAAGGCCCTTTTGTCATGGGCGCAATCAAATATGCTTTAAAATGGCAAGATGGTCATTATATAGAAAAAAAATAACCTCACCTATTATTGATATTTTTTTATTGTATTATTAAAATTTCAACAAACTTTTTAAATTTGTTATGAACTCGGTAAATGTTACCTTATATACTCGCCTATAAGTCAGTTTTTTGGGAGTTGAAATTTGGACTAAAACTCATTATTAGTGTATAGTTATAGGCGAGTTACAAAAAGACTGGTATCTTAAAGGGTCATTCCCTTTAATATTAGCTGAAAAAATACGAGGGTTGTCCGTAAAGTTCGTGGACAAGCTAAAATTTAAATAAAAATAGTGTCATTGATATTAATTATCAATATATTTATAATCCTATACTAAATGTGAATTACAAAATGTAAAATTATATTCAATTTCAAATAAATAATTACAATTATGGCTTCATTATTAGGCTTGGTATGGTAATTCGGAGCACCGCAATATTTTGATTAAAAATTTATTTATTACTTTATAAATATCATTTGTATTTTGAAAAATTCCGCGGAAATTCGGATTGCTTTTACATTATGAGGTTGACAATAGTTACATCTTTAAACCTGCAAAATTTGAACGTTCAAAGTTTAGAAATGGCTGAGAAATCTAGGTTAGAATCTATGAAGACAGGGTCGGGATTGTTCGAAAAAGGGATGTTTTCGGAAAAGGTGGAGCAGACAGCAGCGATAAAATTCTGTGTAGACATCAGAAAAACACCAACAGAGACCCATAAATGCTGTAAACAGTCGGGAAAATATAGTAAAGGAAGCCATTTTGTAGTATTTAAGTGGAATATATAATTTTCGGACGGAAGAAACAGTTTACAGGATGACATGTATAAAGGTAAACCATTATTCCGACACTGCAGTGCTGTCAAAAATGAATTTCGTAAGTTAAACGTAAACATGACTTTGCCGTATTTCCGTAAATAAAATCGTCTTTACACGGACAGAGGTTGGACGATTGCAAGATATGAGACAGGCATTGTTAAATATTATTTTACAAATAAAACCTGAACATTTTGTGCATATTTTTATGACTGATTAAAACGACATAAGAAATGCATTGAGTTAAACGGTGACCAATTTGAAAAAAAATACATATGCTCGTATTTAGCTTTTGACGTCAGGTAACGTCAAGAATGTTCGTTTTAGTGCTCCGGGTATGAGTATGTTTCTTTTTTGTATCTGATAAAAAGATGACTAATTGTGCCGTGTTTTTCTTGAAAACTTGCATATTTATAAAATGAAACATAAAATTAATGAAAATAATAGTTTCATATATTTTGTTTATGTTTTTCAGTAATTATCAATGTTGTCCACGAACTTTACGGACAACCCTCGTACAACCTACTTATAGGCGAGTATATATAGTATATAAGTAAGGTCAATCACCATGTATTTAAAAACTTTCGGGAATGAATGTTACTTTACTTTGAGAATGATTTCATTATAAGTGTGAAGTCATGTTTTATTGTCCTAACAGAGATATGTCCTTTGTAAACTAACCTGTTTAGGGACTGTGGCCTTGTAGATACATTTTCTTTGTCACTCTTGCGAGCGTCAGTGACTCGTCTGACTTTCTTCACAGGTTCCCCTCTCTCAAATGATCCAGCCCTAAATTAAAAATGCAAAGCTCTGTAATTACTCAGTTATCATGTGCAATTATGCAACTTCAACAGCACTTTTACTGATTCTTCCAATCAAGACAAGAGGGCTTATAGGTCACCTGAGTATTGTGTAACAACTTTCAAACAATTAAATTTGGTTCGTGTTTTAAACCAGAGGCCACGAAATTCACAATTTACAATTTTGAAAGAGGCACCATTGCTTATCATAATTTTTAACTTAGCATGCTTACTCTATTTACTTAATACCCAGAGGTAGATCAGAGTAACAAAGAGAAAATGCACTTCCACTTTATACCCAGTTGTGCTACTCACCCTAAAGGAACCGCTGTCCCATGGGCTACATATTTCAAAATTTTGCAAATGTTATCATAAAATGGTTGATTAATACCAAAGAGCAGATTTCAAAGCATTAATTTATTTTCTTTCAAGCTATGTAACCCACAACGCCCCCCCCCCCTCTGACCCTGGGGGCATAAAAAAACCACTTTGCTAGATGCATCTTTCTTCATCATAAATATATATATACTTGGATCATTGGCATAAAACCCAGAAGCAAAGGAAAATATTTTCAAAGAATTAATGTATTATTATTATATAATCAATAGAGCCCCGCCCTAACACCAGAACCCCTAACCCTGGGGCCATAAAATTCACAATTTTGGAAGAGGCACTCTTGCTCATCTTAACTATGTGCTTAGTCAGTTTATTTAATACCCAGAAGCAGAGAAGAAGATTTTCAAAGAATAATGAATTTTAACTATATAATCAATAGAGCCCTGCCGTAACAACAGAACCCCTGACCCTGGGGCCATAAAATTCACAATTTTGGAAGAGGCACTCTTGCTCATCATAACTATGTACTTAGTTAGTTTATTTAATACACAAAAGCAGAGAAGAAGATTTTCAAAGAATTAATGCATTTTCACTATATAATCAATAAAGCCCCGCCCTAACACCAGAACCCCTGACCCTGGGGCCATAAAATTCACAATTTTGGAAAAAGCACTCTTGCTTATCATAACTATGTGCTTAGTTAGTTTATTTAATACCCAGAGGCAGAGAAGAAGATTTTCAAAGAATAAATGCATTTTCACTATATAATCAATAGAGCCCCGCCCTAACACCAGAACCCCTGACTCTGGGGTCATAAAATTCACAAATCTGGAAGAGGCACTCTTGCTCATCATAACTTTGTGCTTAGTTAGTTAATTAAATACCCAGGAGCAGAGAAGAAGATTCTCAAAGAAATAATGCATTTTCACAATATAATCAATAGAGCCCTGCCCTAACACCAGAACTTCTGACCCCGGGGCCATAAAACTCACAAATCTGGAAGAGGCATTCTTGCTCATCATAACTATGTGCTTAGTTAGTTTATTTAATACCCAGGAGCAGAGAAGAAGATTTTCAAAGAAATAATGCATTTTCACTATATTATCTATAGAGCCCCGCCCTAGCACTAGAACCCCTGACCCCGGGGCCATGAATTTCACAATTTTAGTAGAGGACTCAATGCTCATTACATTCATGCCAACAGTTTGCCTGCTTGATGTCCAGGAGCAAAGAAGAAGATTTTTAAAGACTGCAATAATTTTAGTGGTTTTGGCCCCACCCCTCAGGCCCCAGGGGGGCGGGGACCATGAAATTCAAAATTTTTGTTCCCCTCCACCCATAGATGCTGTATACCAAATTTGGTTGAAATTGGTTCAGTGGTTTCAGAGAAGAAGCTGAAAATGTTCAAATGTTAACACACGACGCATGATGGACGAAAACGGATAGCAATAGGTCACCTGAGTTACTCAGGTGACCTAATAAAAAGCTGTCCTGACCTTGTGTATTTCAATACACATCAATGTCAGAAATATTGAAATTTACATCTTTAATTGCAAATTTTTAAATATTTAAAAAAATTTAAAATATTGAATAGGCATTACTTTTTGCAAGTATGTGGATTTATAGTTGAAATTATACTTCAATAGAAAAGTTTAGTTTCAATGTGAAATGCAGATAAATGCCTTAAAGTACATTGCACATCATTACATGAAATGAAAAGCTGGTGATTTCAAAAAGAATTTCTGTGAAGCTGCCCCCAAACTGACCCATCCTTTTTCTGAAATGGCAACGTCTTGCGTCTGCCGAGGTTGATCCTGGTTTATGAACGATATCTGAAATAAGAAAACAGTACATTATACCTGACCTGCATATACATCACTCTAATCATATGCTAAATTCTAATTATGAATATCCACTTGAATCTATACTCACCAATTTCTCTGCATATTCAATTGGCTCAAACTTGAGAAAATCTGTCTTTAAATTGTCCACTTTCATTCTAGCATAATTGGAAATCATGAGAATGGTTGCAGAATCCAATGCTCCTTCTCTAGGCATCCGCACTGGAAAACGACAAGATATCATCTTTCTTAATTCACAGAAATTTTACATCATGACAATGAATATGGATCAATTATAAAATGCGTACCATTTTTATTCAGATCATTGGCCGTTTGCAAAGCATCAGAGAGACATGTGGATTCAGGGTTGATCATGTCATGTTTCTGATCTGCAAGAAAAAGGAACATTAAAATAATATTAGAGCTATAGCTTCCAAAGTCTAAACTCTATAATGGTCATGTTTTAAAAATATTTAAAGTTTGTCAATTTTTGCACAGTAATCAAAAATGAAAAAAAAAAAAATAAGGGACACAGGGGGGATAACTTGAAAAAAAAATTGTGACATTTTTTTTATCATAACAGACGCAATGTATATCGTTATAACTTTAAACGTAAAAAATAGACATATCTTGAAAACAAAACAGCAGGATTTGAAAAGACTAACCATGGAGCTGCTCCATCAGCTTCCTGTACCCTCGCCTAATCTCTAACCTTTCCTCTTTGTTCTGGTTCTGTAGGTAGTCAAAGCCTTCAGAAGCCGACATACTTGGGGCTTCTGATTCAGAGTCTTCATTTCTGGGTCTGACACTACTGTTAGTGGCTGTTTTCTTCTTCTTTGCATTCACACCCGCCATTTTACAATTCTTGGACGGTGAAAGTTTAAATTTTACCTCTAGTAAAAAGTTCCGATGTAAACATTGTCTGATCTCGAACCCGATGCTTATAAAGGGGATTTTTTGAGTAAGTAATTGTTTAGATAAACGCAAATTTCGCAAGTCCTTGAATTAAATCTGCTCTCAATAATGCTTAAATCCAAGTTAGTATGTTGATACTGGTGCAGAAGAGAAAATCTAAACGTTGAGAGAGGATCAGCGTATATGAGGGCGCTGTTTATATTATTTACATCGGGATCGATAATCAACATAATGGAACGGTCTTATTTAGTCCGGGACTTTTCTTACAGAGACACCGCTTTGACATTTTAGCGGGAATTTTTTAAAACTCATAAAAGCAATGAGCATTTCAGTAAACTTTATTTAACAACAAATTGTACATACATGTATTGATAAAATTGTTTTGTTTTTGGACCCATGATTTTTTACAAGCATGTAATTATCTTAGTATTGCTTGCATATAAATTATAATCTTCATATGAACATATGTACGTTTGAAAGAAAATATAAAGAATAGTGTTTTCCATTGACTCTATACTTTTTCTATATTTTTGGCAGATAATGAGATTTTATTTATGAGCCCCCCCCCCTTTTTTTCCAAGAAAAGGAGGGGGAAACTTAGAAAGAAACTCAAAGCCTTAATTTAAATTATCTGCACAGCGACTAGAATTTAGGTAATAAAATGAAAACTTTTTTGTCATAGCTTAGGAGAGCCATTGATTAAACAAAATAGTCTTCAACTGTTAAGACATTGTCTCAAGCCACAGTTATAATAGGGATCTCACACTGTCAATGGGAGAGGATCATACATTTTGGCTGTGGTTTGTGATAATGCTGTTATTAGAAAACTTTTCCTGAAGTTTTATACCCACAGAAACTTCATTCTTCTGAGATCTAAAACCTCTTAATCTCAGATCTCTGTCTGACCCTTTATCAAGTTTATTAGCCCAAAACGTCATTATAACCAATGCAATTAAGTTTACCACCTTCAGAAGTCTTCTTGACTACCTCATCATAAATCTTACCAATTTAATGCTGGGTTAAAGTCTACCATTAGACATTCTGACATTAGCATCTAGGCCTACTTAACTAAATGTTTATGTACCATATAAGTGGAAATTATAGCGAGACACAAATTTAGCAATTTCTACCTAAAATCTGGTATTTTATTTTTAGCGAGAAGTAATTTTAGCGATTTTAGTATGCTAACTAAAGAAGCAATTACAAATAATACGCAATTAATTTTTAGCGATATTCAATATTTGCGATGTCAGCACCCTCACTAATAATGCCAAAATTAAATCCTCGCTTAAATTCTACTTATACAGTATTTCTGTCTCTTCTTGTTTATGTGGATTTGTATAATTTCTTATCATTCATAATATAACACAAAGTGAAAGAATTGGAAAACAGACCATTTTTTTTTTCATTCATTTAATGTTACTCATCATTAAACATATATCAATAACATTAAATTTAACATACCCAATATATTTTGACACTTAATATGAGAAAAAAAATCTTTGAAGTGTCATGCAATACAACTAAAAGTATATCAACAATCATACAAAGTGTAGAAGATTCAAGACATGAATTGAATGTAACTGTGCAATTTGGGTGACCACAAAGCATCAGTTCATAGATGAATTTTAATTAAGGAAACTATGATTTTTATAGTACTGTACAGCAAAACTCGGTTATAACGAAGTTGCTGGGACCCATGAAATTACTTCGCTATATCCGTAATTCGTTATAACCGTATAAGAAATTCATTAAATTTATATAGCTGGGGATCCAAGACGACTTCGCTATATCCGTGAATTCGCAATATCCGTGTTCGTACTAAACAAGTTTTACTGTATACAGCATAATTTCTTCATCAGGACTATGACTTGGATAATTTAAAACGGCAAAATTGTTTGTAATTACAAAAGGGCAAAAATAGCACAGGGCAAAAATAATCCTGTATACAGTATATGATTTCATTAGGTTCTACTTTTAAAAACTGATCTCTAATACACCCAATATATCAGCTATAGTACTGATAAATTATAAATTAAATATGAAACATGTATTTAAGAGAGTTGAAATATAATGTAGACTACAATTTTCCTCAAGGAAAATGACTTATAATTTACTTAGAATTTACACAAACTATTGTACATGGAAATGTATTTTTTTTATTATTTATTCAACAGAAGCTACTATATCTCTTGCTGGTGCAAACAGCTTATATATTATATTACAATAATTACACATTGTCTTTTTTTCTAGTCAGTCACCTAGATCAGAAAACTGAAAAGAAATCTATATGCTTGCAAATCTTCCCTTCAAAAGCAGCAGTCTAGTACACGACAAGCACAAACTGAGTAGTTTTTTTTCTTCCAAAAAAGGAACTTTTTTTCTAATTTGATAAAATTTTGACCAACAAATTCTCACTGATGGAAAAACTAATGTCATATAAAAGTCGTAATAAGAAAACATATACACTGTACAATACATATATAAAACAGTAGATCTGTTCTCTACAAAGTACACAATGTATATATGTAGACATAACTTTAAGGACTTTGTGACTGAGTTTACAAGATTCAGATTTCAACCCAACTGTTGAAACATGACAGACTATGTCACAACTACAGCTTACTTCGGTATACATAAGTCTTTTATAACACTGGTATTTTGCTTACACGATGGAATTCTTCGAATGAGGTAAAAAATGTGAATTTTTAAAAGTTCTAGATGACATGAATACTCAGAAATGAACACATAGTATGGTAATAGAATTTGTGAAGTTAAAGGAAAAGAATAATTTTACACTTATAATGCTCAATAATGTATAAAAAAAAAAAAAATTAAAGGGAAATCACTCCAGTGTAAGAATGGTATGGAAGTCACTTTTCCACTCCAACACTGTGAGTGATTTAAATACATGTCACATAGCACTCATACAATTTAATTCAACAGCAAAATAGAAAGTCCCTCTGGCTTCCTCTACAGTATCACAGTCAATTAAAAGCTCCCAACTGAAATAAAAGTTTAAAAAAAAATTAATACTGATAATATTAAAAACAAACTTTTATAGAGGGTATACTGTGGAAGAATTTAGTTCACTTTTTTGCAGCTTTCATAATACAATCAAACCTTCTTATTATCTTGGAACTGATAAGGCTTACAAAAAAAAAAAGATATCTAAGAATTCAAAATGTTGAGACTGAAATATTTCAAATGTGAGAGTCTCATTTCAAAATGTTACCTCCTTACATGTATATATAACTAATATACAGAGATTGTGAATTCTTGGTTTTCCACAAAATCTGAGTAACAATTCGTCAAGTTAACTATAGAGCAATGCTTAAAACCCCTATTATACCCCATTTTTACCCCATATTTTAATTAATAAGCATCATTAAAGATAGAATTTCTGCTGAGTAGATGATAGACTATGAATTTTACTGACCAACTGTTCCTCACTTCACAGGTACGTCATCATCAGCTCTTTTCCGTTTGAAATCACACCTGAAACAATTATCAATCATTTTCAAAAATTATACATGCAGTGAAACAAATTCAAGGACAATATGACTTTGTAAGGAAAGGAGAGGAGAAATAAACATGTAATTTTAAATATTTCCATTTCCAAATACATGTACTTTTCTTTAAGATTCTTTGCAAAAAGGAAGACTGTTCATTTTTTCATAGGTGAGCATGAATATCTCCATTGTTATGTCATAATACTGCAAATGACGTCAAAACTATAGTGCAAACTGTTTTGCTTTAAATATGACATTCGAATGGCATAAATTTTGTGTCAATTCATCAGAAAAATAATGTAAATATAAGAACTCATTTCTTACTTAATGACTGACCCCCTGAATTTATAATTAATGACTGACCCCTTGAATTTTAGTTAATGACTGACCCCTTGAATTTTTAATTATTGACTCCTTTAATTTTACACTAATGACTGACCCTCTGAATTCCTGTAACATTTTCATCTCTTCCTGCATCTGACGAGTTTCTGCGATGTACTGCTACAATGCAATTGACCCCATGCTTCTACGTCTTATAGTTTTCAAGCTTTAAGGTTCAATACTAAGAACAAAGACGTTAAAGGGCAAGTCGTTGACCGAGGTGGAAGGAAGAACAGTAGGGAGGAATCGAGAGAAGAGACTTGGTTTTATCTTTGCATAGTCTGAAAAAAGATAAAAAAACAAATCAATCAGATGTATAATTTGTGTTTATTGGGGCAAACAGACATCCTATATTAGGATGCCTGAGGCAACTGCTTAAGTGGACATAAAAATATTAATTCAAAATCAACATAATTTGCTTGTTGTTAGAAATCGGTCTATAAATTCATGATTCCTTATCTAGAATATGATGTCATTCCATACTTTGACTTTGAAATGAATCCTTACCTGGATTTACAGAATGTATGTTCTTCACTGTGTTTGCCATTGTAGGGGGAGATATGGTGAATGGTTTGGAGTTAGCTTCTTCCAATAATGCTGAAAGATAAAGAAAATCTTGAAATACTGTAGAAGTACTTTTTTCCGCGTAGTATTAATTTACGCTATGTACGCGGTCACAAATTTTCCGCGGAAATTTGTCCAAGCGTACAAAATGTAAATGCAAGGAAAATAGTGACAGTGTAAAAAACAAATCTCAGATGTATAATTTGTGTTTATTGGGGCAAACAGACATCCTATATTAGGATGCCTGAGGCAACTGCTTAAGTGGATTCAAAATCAGAAATTGAGATTCTATAAATTCATGTAATTATGACCCCTTTGTGAATCCTTAAAAAAGTCACTGTGTTTGCCTACAGTAAATCAAACCAAGATTATAAATGCAATACTGTGCAAAAAACAACATCTTATTATATGTCTTGTCTCAAAAAATTTGTTTTCAACTGTATGAAGTAAATGTATATTACAAAGAATTTTTTTGAACTTCATTTGTGAATGAAATGTATTATCATTAAATAGAAATGAAGCACATATTAACATTAAAAGAAAAGGATTTCCACAACTTACACAAAATGAATTCTATATGTTGATCTAACACGTGCTGTTGAAATAATTTCTTCAGTTCCTCATTCAAATCTGTTTTCAATTTGGTTTCAACATAAAATCTATTCTGCAATGCAAAAAAAAAAAAAATTAATTATTTTACTTTCCTGAAAATTTAAAAGTTGCTGATAAAGCCATCTTTAAGATATTGTTTGATTGTCCTCTTTGACTGACAGACTAAAAATGGCCTCACTCTTTTTCTACATTCCAGAACAATTTTTTCTTTTTATTCCTCTTTTCCCATCAACAGATGTTGAAATTTTCAGGAAAAAAAGATTTTCCCACCTGCCAACCAACCCAGTAATTTTACCCGTAGTCGAGAGAGGGCAAACAAATATTATTTTGAAAATGTCCAAATATTTAGTACTCTAACAAGTATAAACTGCCATAAATTAATAATAAAAATGTTCCAAAAGCTAATATATTATTTGTCACAAAATGTCAATCCCATAGAAGAAAAGATATATAAAAGGAATGAATAATTTTATTATTTTAAAAGTTAACATTCCTGTCTTACTTACCATATAATTAAAAATAGGGACAATGCCACCTAAGGCTTGTAAATACTGGTTCAAAATAAAGGAAAACTTCTCAATGAAAGACTTGGGTTCTTCATCCCGCATCTGTGAAAAGTAAGTGTCAATATTAAAACAATCTACTGTTCATTGTTTAACATATCTGCAGTTTGACTGAAGATTTCTAATTATCAATAGATGGATTGAATTCTACACGATTTTTGAAAGTTCCTGCCCTCTAAAAATGCAGGCTGAATGTGTAAAATACTTGTACTATTGTAACAAATCATGCAATGTCTACATTTTTTCCCCTCATTTCTTTTATCCATTTTACTTTTAATAACATTTTCCACTGAGTGATAAATATCACTTGATATCATAATGTGTATTCAAACGTAAGCTTGCCCAGTTACCCTATAAAAATCTTTCAATTTATCACACTGTTAAGTATTTGACAATAACTTGAATGCAGTATAATTCTCACCAGAGACTTCAGCTGTTCGTTCAGTTTCTCGAGATGTAGAGCCATGTGGTTCATCAGATCTGTGTAGAGTTTCTCAGAGAACTGCTTACAGACACATTTATAAACACAGCTGTAGAAATAAAATTACATCAATAAGAAGAAACAGTCCTAACACTATCCAGTTAATGAGAAAATGTGTAGACGGAACATTTCTTTTATTCATAACATTATCTATTAATTTACATGTTTAAAGACAGATTCAATATTTTAAAGAATATATGTGATTTAAAGACAAAGATATACCTACAATTATGCAGATCACACAAATGTAACCCTTTGTTTGTGTAAGATAGGTTATGAACTGTAGTACAAACCTATACATTTGTTGATATGAGATAGGTATGAACTGTCCTACATACCTGTACCAGTTGTTCGTATGAGATAGGTATGTCCTACAGACCTGTACATTTGTTTGTATGAGAGAGGTATGTACAATCCTACAAGTCTATACATGTACATTAGTTTGTATATGAGATAGGAATGAACTATGAGCTGTTCTACAGACCTATACATTTGTTCATATGAGATAGGTATGAACTGTCCTACATACCTGTACCAGTTGTTCGTATGAGATAGGTATGTCCTACAGACCTGTACATTTGTTTGTAAGAGAGAGGTATGTACTATCCTACAAACCTATACATGTGCATTTGTTTGTATATGAGATAGGTATGAACTATGAACTGTCCTACAGACCTGTACATTTGTTCGTATGAGATAAGTATGTACTGTCCTACAGACCTGTACATTTGTTCATATGAGATAGGTATGTTCTACATACCTGTACATTTGTTCATATGAGATAGGTATGTACTGTCCAGGGGTCATGCTCAGTAGCTGATCTATAGCTCCCTCCAGTTTGGGCCAGTACTGTGTCCTATAATCCTCAGTTGTTATTGTCATCATCACTGTTAATTAAAAAATACATCACATTTAAAGACTTCAAAGATTTTTTTTCTAGCTGGCACCTTATAAACAATTTTTTATACCATATTGTAATGGGAGAGGAGTAAAACGTGATGGACCATACTGGGAAATTATTATTTTAATCCATTATATGCCCCTAGTAAAAACCCATATTGAAAGTGGATTATAACTGTAGTATAGAAGCATTTTGAAATTTATTTTACAGACAAACAAATGATTAGACAGACTGACAATGCATGCCTTAATTACTACTGCAAATAACTCGATTACAAACTAAAAATCAATAGCCCAAAGTATATAACATATTTATATAAATATGAATAATAAGTAAATAATAATAAAACAGCCAGCATATTGATTTTCTCAGCAGGTGCTGTTCCCTGCCCGTTTATCCTAACTGCACACTCCTGAGCCTGTAGACAATAATTTCATGTTAACTGTGGTACTACTCTTTTGCAGGGTTAAATTATATATTTTGGTAAAATATGACATAAAAACAATTGTTTTACATGTGCCATTTAATTATTCATCGACATAAACTTCATCAAACATTATTAATGTCCCCTGCAAAAGCTTCCACAGGCTAATCAGAAGTGCACAATTACGTAAAACTTTATTTATGGAAATCATTAAACTATACAAATTGTAGAATTTTGAAAAGACATTTTTAATCATGGAGCTTTACCATATTTTCTTAATTTAAAAGGAGAAGTCCAATTGATGGGTTGGTACAAAGCAAAAACAGCTTGAGGTTGCATTAAGCACACACTTAGATTAATAAATACAATAGTCTGTACATGGAATATATTGGAATTAAAACCTTAAAAATCGGGGTGGGGATACAATACATAAAATACAGTACGTAATTTCATGAGCACTGTCATATTATTTTAACATTATTAAATAATGCCTCTTTCTAATTTCATTTTCATTCATTCATATGCACTTTTCCCTCTTCTTGATACAAACCCATGCTGCCTGGCCGTAAGAGAGGGTGGTGCTTTACTCTTTGGTCGCCATCGTCTGGTGCTAAATCAGGCTGGGTAGAATCTGCTTCTGCTTCCATTGGTTCATCCATTATTTTTGCTTAATTGATGAAAGTTTGTAATCTTTTCTTGTCCAGTTTCAGTATGTCATCATGGGAGGTAATTCGGAAATCATGAAAATAATCTTTACGATTGGAAAACAAAATTTATCAAAAACGAATATTTGTACACATGTACAACGAACTCGATGCAAATTTTAACGGAGCTTTAAAAAATAACAACTTGAGTTATGTATTAATGAGTAAAATGAATGGGTTTCACTTCGTAGTTTTTAATTATTTTTTTATTCACAAAAATGGCATTTGAACTAAAAAATATTTGTATAGATTAATAAGGATATGGTTTCAGAGAGGCAGAACTTTTAACGTCCCAGAAGGTTTACAATTTCTTTGTATTTTAGAAATTTATTGTTTGAATCATTTTAAATGAAATTAAGCCAGAAAATATATACCAATCCAGGCATCCATTTTTTGTTGGCATCATCTGTCCTTAATTTAGAAAATAAATATTTTATGAATAATTATTTTATGGGGCCAAGTATAGACACGAAGCATTGGGAGGAGAGAGGGCTGGCCCCAGCGGATAAGCTGATTTTTCTCTCTCTACCCCCCCCCCCCCCCTTCAAAAAACAATGCTGCACAGCAATGAACTAAATATGTGAATTTATAAAGTTATACATGTATTTCATACCAAACTTTCGTTACTAACTTTTCTTGAGTTCAAAATTAAAACTCAAATAATTGACAAAACACTTTCATTGATTGAAGGTATTACAAACAAACCGTGGACAATGATATTCTTTCTAGACTTTAGTTTACGTCTATAATCATGTTATTTATATGAAATAATATTAAAATTATGAATTAATTTTGTTTTAACGAAACACCGTAATTAAGTTATTAAGCACAAACACAACGTACACAGTTTAATACTTTATTAAAACTTGACTAATATTGCCTTTCAGAGAATCAGGAATTGAACTTTTTGGGGAGGGGTTCAAATAAATTCGTGTATAAAATGCATTATTCTTTATTTTTAAAAATGCATAAATGGCCTCCCTTCCCCTAGCTGTTCCTGCAACATTTCCCACCCAAAAATTGAAACAATTTTCGTGATGATTTCGTACTAAACACTTACAGATATGGAAACTGGAAAAGATAGACACACCTGGTGATTTATTATGTAAACATTTTCAAAGTAGCATCTGACATCTGATTTCCAGAACGTTGTTAAAAGCCCATTTTCTGAAGGATTTACATGGAAGTTTTTCTTTAAAATTAGCAGAAGACCATGCAATTCTGAGGTGGGGGTCTGACAGAGTTTGGAAATAAATAATGTTGACAATAGATAATTTGTCCTTGACTGACAAATATTCAATAATCTGTCCTTGACTATAGAGCTTCCTCTTTCCCAACATAGGGTTTGGGCATCTTCACCAGCCAAGTGTCCGATTCGTTGACCCTCACCGGAGAGATGAGAGTAAACGAATCGGACACTTGGCTCGCGAGATGGAGTTGTTTTTTTTTTTCTTCTGAAGCTATTTTTTAGTGAGGAAGAATATTGTTCTTTATCACTTCGAAAATAAATACTCAGTAATTTGTCCTTGACTGGAATGAAAATATTGATCTGACTCCAAATATTTTGCTAGCCCCCCTCCCAGAATCAAATGATTGTCCCCTTATTCTTATGTCTCTTTGAAGAAAAAGGGCGACATGTTTCTTTGCACATGTCGGTTGGTATATATGTATGGCTAGAACTGACCAGATCAAGAGAGAGAGAGAGAGAGAGAGAGAGAGAGAGAGAGAGAATTTGGTACATTTGTGTCTCTTAGATACTGTAGCCCAAATAATTTTCAGGTACCCAAATCTGACAATTAGTCATGTGTCTTACTGGACACAGAAAGATACTGACCACTCAATATATGGAGAACCCTTTTCTTGACAGATATCAAACTTGATACACTGCCAGATAACAAGCTGTACACTATATCCAAGAGTACATGGCCCCTATTGCACATGAGATCACTAGGTCAAGGTCAAAAGGTCAACAGTAAAACTGGACCTAGGAAAATATTGACCTTTCAGTATCTTGAGAATCCTTTGTTTGCAAATCATCAAACTTGGTACACTGGCTTCCCCTAGGGTAAGTATGACCACTGTATATTTTATAGAGGTCACACAGTCAAAAATCAAACTTCTCTATTTTTAGGTCAAAGGTCAAGGATCAATCTGAAGAAAGGAAGACAATGACTGCTCAGTATCTCCAGAACTCTTTGCTCGACAAGCATCTGACTTTGTACTCTGATTTCCCTCAGTAAATTAATGACTCCTGTTGATTTTACAGACACAAGTCCAAATGATGCAGACACTAAGACATAACTAGATATTTTCAGCTCAATATCTTCAGACCTTCAGACCCTTAACAGAGATCAATTTTGGTACACTGGTACCCTCTGTGAAGAGATATTAAGGTATGACAGAGATAAATATCTTAAAACTGTTTGCCCCCAACTAGTATTTGACCATTTGTTATCCCTATCATCTTTTAAATTGAAAGTTAGTCACATTTTGGGGGGACATGCGTTTTTCAAACATTTCTTAGATTATTACCCCCTCGCAACAGAGTTGGAGAGGATACAGTAAAAAGCCTGTGTGTTTGTGTTAATTTGTCCTTGTTCAAAATGGAAGAGACATAATTGGCATCAGGATCAATGTTGCTGTCTTATAGGTAAAAGCATGATGTTTATGAGTTGATGCTCCGTTTTGCAATGACCTTGTTAAACAGTTAAAATTTTCAACACTGCATTTGACTATAAGCTGATACAGTGTACATGTTGTTCAATGTATACAATACAATGTATAAATCGATGCCAGTAAATAAAACAGAGAAAATTTGTTTTTGTATTGTTTAATTCTCATTTGAGTGTAGATAAATGGATCTCCTCTAAAAATAAACAAAAAACAAAAGTATCTCCCCTCTGATATCATTTTCATGATATACTCTTTTATGTGTAATACCTGTTGCACATATTTCTTGTATGAATTCAAAACATAAATACATTCATGTAATCCAAAGAGAACATCTGTTCTAAAATCTAAAATTTAAAACTCAAAGCTTAAACTTAATCTTGAAAAGTAGCATGTTCAAAGGCAAGAAACTATAATCATTTAAAGTCATTTTTTCTCAGAAAAAGCAGTGGATTTTAAAAATAGAACATTTATAACAAAGAATAAAATAAAGCGAGATAAAGTTATGATTTTAACAATGGAATGACAGACACATTGACAAATTTTTGCATTTAGCAAACGCACAGATAATTAATGAGCATCATTATACATGTATGTTTGGGGACTCATGACCATAAATGAAACAATTCCATCGCAATTATTTTTATAGACAAACCTCATTATCTCCAACTTCAGGGTACCAAGAAAAAACTTTTGAGATATTTGAGGTAAAATACCCGGTACGTCCAACTAAAAAATAAGTGGTTGGGACTTCCAAATCAGTTTGAAGTATCCATTGTTTGAGATATTGAAGTCAACAGTATAAAATACAGTTATTACTGTAAATGTATTGTATTTGGCATGTTTGATAGATATTTGGTGGAAATCAATTTTTTTTAGTGTGGATTTGATTTAGCGCATACCTTTATGTTCTTATTCATGTATATATGTGCAAGACATTTAGCCTTATACTTGATTTAGCAGAAGTTTCTTTCCGCAAAAGGCGCTATAAAGAATACAAGTACACAGCCAAATATAATACGTTTACAGTATTAATGGTGAACGAATGTTTTGTATATTGCTTAAGTACCAGGTAAGTTTCTATGTACGATAATCATTATTAATAGGTATATAATTTCACTATTAATTTGCTGCCTAAAATAATGCCAACTCACCCCTGACAATCAACTTTACCAATGCTGTAGTTATTTATAGTTGCAGTGCAAAAATATGACATAAAATTGAGAACATTACAGAAGGAGGATAAATACAGAATACGTATGTATCTATACTAAAACCCTGGGGACATCTACTGGTATTATAATGGCAAGAAAACTGTGAGCTATGTAAAAATTAAAGAAAAAATTGTCGAAAATCTCAATTCTCATAACAGTCATCATCTTAAAAAATTGGTATTTAAAACAAAAATGAGTGTTAATTTCTATAAGAAATCAAAAGGCACATGATCACGTCAATGTTTATATAATTCTCTCTCTCTCTCCCTCTCTCTCTCTCAGATGCTATAAAACATATAGTATGCAACAAAAAAATCTCATAGAATACAAAAAAAAAATCTCTCAAAGGAATGGGTTAAAATAATAAAGTTACAATATACTATAACACTATCACAAACTGTGCATACATAAATATCATGGAGGGATATAGTTTTTGCTAATACAGTAAAACTCGGATATAGCGAAGTCCTTGGGGCCTGTGAATTTAATTCGCTTTATCCGTAATTCGTTATGCCCGTATAACGAATTCGTATACCATTATAGCGAATTCGCAATATGCATGTTTTCCTTCAAGTATTTCTACCAAATATGTTAGGGAAGCAAATATTACAAAAACATATCTTCGATAACTTAAGTTTTATTATGAATTGAATTTTATATACAAATGCTAAAAGGAAATAAGTTCAGTTCAAGTTATCAATTTATGATAATCTTTGAAAGTTCGTTATAAAAGATGTAAATGTTATTATATTTAACCTCAATGGGACTCAAAATCAGTTCGCTATATCCGTAAATTCGTTATATCAGAGTTCGTTATTACCGTAAAATTTTACAAAGATTTGTTAAGAATTTTGCTGGGGACCCAGAAAAACTTCGCTATATTCGTGAATTCGCTATATCCGTGTTCGTACTAAACGAGTTTTACTGTATAGATCTACATTGCTTAAATCTCTTAATTAGAACATAATTGGAATACATGGGTATAAGATGTATATTCACTTCAAATAGAAAAAAGATTTAACTATAAAATAATTCAAGACTATTGTTTATTCCCAACCAAAAAAAATTTGGAAACCGTTTGTATAAGCAAAGCAACTATGTCTGACCAGCAGAAAGCGAAAAAATAAATATTGTGTCTCCTTGAAATTTGATTCAATTTCTTTTAATGAGGTATTGCAAATTAATATAAAGCACCTGTTATCTGAAAAATTCAGAGCAAATAGGTATAATTGAGTATTGTCTATAAAAATGCGTAGTGACAAATCAATGTTTGCTTTGAGATGCAAAGAATAAAATTTCTTTTCTAATTCTTATAATAAATTCAATTGTTTCAGTTACCATAATTACTGTTATCTAGTTTCTATATGTGACTGCAGATTTTTGTAACCTAAACTATCAGGTGTCAATAATCATAAATGATACATCATGTACATCTGAGTATTTTGCAACAACTATTGCCATCTTTACCAATGTTAAAGGCTGAGCAAGCCAGTGCTTTGGCAAGAATTTATACAGCCTACATACTGTTAAGTACATGCAAGATATTTTTTCGAAAAATGTGCGATTCACATCTGTATACAAGTTTTAGAAAGTAAATATATGCTTATTGCATCATCATTATAAAGAAACAATTGAACTGTGGAAAACTGCTTTTAACCTGCACATGTTTGTCCCATTCTTAACGGAAAAACAGATGAAAAATAAGGTTTAAGGTTTGAAACTGGCATCATTTACTTTAAAGATGCCCTGTAATTAAATCATTTTGTTTCTATATGTCCCAGCAGTTTCAGAGAAGAGATTTTGAATGTGTTAAAGCCTATGGATTACATTTGTTGGCATGATGAACAAAGACAGATAGCATTAGGTCCATTCTGACCCTCAAGTGACCCAACAACATTTTCAGGCAGACATCAACAAGTTATCGATCTCTCTCTCAATTGAAATGGCACCCTATAACTCTATCATATCACAAAGAACTTATACATTAACACTCCGAATCTTTGAACCAGATCCTGGTTTGGGTGAAGGTTTTGGTCTTGTGTCACCGGTTACTGGTTGAGATTTGGTTCCCACTTGACCAAGTGAACTGTCCGAACCAAACACCGATTTCTTGCCCACGTCCATGGAATCAAACATAGCTTTTATATGAGCTACGGCAGGAGCTTCCTGCACTTTTTCAAAAGAGTCTGTTTTCTCTAAAGATGAGCTTGCCTGTGCTGGTTTCTTGGGTAATTTCATTCCCGGCTTTGGAGGAGACCGGGATGGTTTGGGTCTCCTTCCATTGGAATCCCCTCGCTCTATCATTTGACCGGTGGATTTCACTTTCGGTAAGAGTGGTTTTCTGGAAGGTTCTTCCTTTAAATTACTTCCAAATTTAGAAACCGGATTTCTATTCTTAGCTAATGGAAATGTCACTTCATCATTCACCTCAGCTCCAAGTTTGGGTGATCGCCCTCCCTTTCTGTCTGCAGGACCTTTGTTTTTAAGGTACTCCTCATAGCTAGGAGGAGGTCTTTGAGGGGACTTGATAGGTTCCTCTGCAGCTTTCTGATTCTGTTCCCCAAGGAATGCTAGTTTTTGAGCCTGCATTGGCATTGACTTTGGTCTGGAAGGAGACTTCCCATTACTGCTGCTACTGCTCGAGCTACTCCGGTTCGAATGAGCCGGAACCGGTGGCACTAACTGACCATCTTTCTTATCTTGAACAAAAGCTTGAGATCGTCTGTCTGTTGTGCTGATAAGCACAGGGTTTGAAATTTCACGGGATACACGCTCTTTGCGCATTGCAACTCCACTTCCAGAGGAATTGGAATCTTGTCTTGTCACTGATGGGTTTGAAGGGTTAGAATTCTGTCTGATGACTGGTTTTAATGCAGGGGCTGGTGATGATGGTTTAAGTGCACCTGCCGATCCGGTTGGCTTGAGTGCAGCTGCTGATCCGGTTGGTTTGAGTGCACCTGCTGATCCCGTTGGCTTAAGAGCACCTGCTGATCCAGTTGGTTTAAGTGCAGCAGCTGATCCGGTTGGTTTAAGAGCAGATGCTGGTGGTGTTGGTTTCAATGCAGTGGTTGGTTGCTTTGACACTGCTTTGGTTCCCGGCTTTACAATGGGCCTTGAGGAAGGGGTAAATGTAGGTGGCTGGCCCTTTTCCTCCAATTTCTTGCTTTCCTCACTTTTAGAAGTTTTTCTGGAGAACTTGGAAAATATGGACTTGGATTCTTTAGTATCTGATGGGACAGGATTTAATTTAACTTCTTGAAAGGAGGATTCTTGTTGTTTGCTCTGGTTTGGAGGCAATTTTACAGCGACATTTTGATACGTGGCAGAGTCGGGTTCCTGTTTCTCCGCTCTCTTGAAGAATTTGGGTAGATCTGGTCTGGGAAGTGGTGTTTTGGATTTGGACTGAGGTTTCAGTGCAACTTTTTCAGGACTGGTCTCTGGTTTAATTGTCTTATTACGAGACTGAGTAGCGGTGGTGCTCTGAAACACAGGCGTTGAAATATCTCTCGGAATATTTGGATTTCTGTTCACAGCTGCTCCTCCTGCACGTCCGTTTGATGGTCGTTTCCAAGATGAAAGTGAAAAGCATGGTACTCTGTCAAATTAAATACAATATGTATTTAAAAAAATTCAATTTAAACCAACATTCTTCATTTTTACTTCACATTATATTATTGATATTTCAAAGATGGTATGATATGTACTTGCATACCTGTTTAAAGAAGAAAAAATTAAAACACTACAATCATGGCACATATTCATGTCACAGTTTCAGTCAGGAACTCATGAAACAAAGTGCAGAAATTTAACCTGCTATAACATTGTTAGAACTCACCTGAACTTGAGGTCCCCTGGGTGATTTATCCACCATTTCTTTATGGATTCCCTGTAGTAGAATGCAATGAAGGCCAGACATCCAAACACGATTATCATAGCAAAGGTCACCAGCAGCCCAATAAGTAGGTCATTGTTGTCTAAAAATAAATGTACATATTTAACTCTGATCATATAAAATAATGGACTCTTTTTGAGCAATAAATGTCCTTGTAAAATTATCTGATCATTAAAATTAAAGTTTTTGCATTTAACAACATATTTTAAAATGGCAAAAAAAAAATTGAAATACTGAAATCATGCACCACCATCACCAACAAACAAGAGGCCCAGGGGCCACAGCGCTCACATGAGCACATCAGGCTTGAATTTACTCCACCCCCCCTCCAGGCGTTCATCATTTGAACAAACTAGAATCTACACTACCTGAGGATGATTCCATGTAAATATCACTAATCATAGCTTTGAGGTACTTGAAAAGAAGATTTTAAAAGGTTTCCCTATATATCCCTGTGTAAAACTTGGGTCGGCCATTTTGGCCCCACCCTAGCCCCGGGGGTCATGATTTGAACAAACTTGAATCTACACTACCTGAGGATGATTCCACATGAGTTTCATCTTTCCTGGCCCAGTGGTTCTGGAGAAGAAGATTTTTAAAGATTTTTCCTATATATTCCTATGTAAAACTTGGGTCGGCCATTTTGGTCCCACCCTTGCCCCGGGGGTCATGATTTGAACAAACTTGAATCTACACTACCTGAGGATGCTTCCACATGAGTGTCATCTTTCCTGGTCCAGTGGTTCTGGAGAAGAAGATTTTTAAAGATTTTTCCTATATATTCCTATGTAAAACTTGGGTCGGCCATTTTGGCCCCACCTTTGCCCCGGGGGTCATGATTTGAACAAACTTGAATCTGCTCTACCTGAGGATGATTCCACATGAGTTTCATCTTTCCTGGCCCAGTGGGTCTGGAGAAGAAGATTTTTAAAGATTTTTCCTATATATTCCTATGTAAAACTTGGGTCGGCCATTTTGGCCCCACCCTTGCCCCGGGGGTCATGATTTGAACAAACTTGAATCCACACTACCTGAGGAAGCTTCCACATGAGTTTCATCTTTCCTGGCCCAGTGGTACTGGAGAAGAAGATTTTTAAAGATTTTTCATATATATTCCTATGTAAAACTTGGGTCGGCCATTTTGGCCCCACCTTTGCCCCGGGGGTCATGATTTAAACAAACTTGAATCTGCTCTACCTGAGGATGCTTCCACATGAGTTTCATTTTTCCTGGCCCAGTGGTTCTGGAGAAGAAGATTTTTAAAGATTTTTCCTATATATTCCTATGTAAAACTTGGGTCGGCCATTTTGGCCCCACCCTTGCCCCGGGGGTCATGATTCGAACAAACTTGAATCCACACTACCTGAGGATGCTTCCACATGAGTTTCATCTTTCCTGGCCCAGTGGTACTGGAGAAGAAGATTTTTAAAGATTTTTCCTATATATTCCTATGTAAAGCTTGGGTCGGCCATTTTGGCCCCACCTTTGCCCCGGGGGTCATGATTTGAACAAACTTGAATCCACACTACCTGAGGATGCTTCCACATGAGTTGTATCTTTCCTGGCCCAGCGGTTCTGGAGAAGAAGATTTTTTTTTAAATGCCATTAATTTTTAACAAATTCATGATTATCTCCCCTTGGAAAAGGGCGTGGCCCTTCATTTGAACAAACTTGAATCCCCTTTACCCAAGGATACTTTGTGCCAAGTTTTGTTGAAATTGGCCCAGTGGTTCTTGAGAAGAAGATGAAAATGTGAAAAGTTTACGACGACGAAAACGACGAGAACGACGACAACAACTAAGACAACGACAACGACAGACAACGGACAAATTTTGATCAGAAAAGCTCACTTGACGATTAAAAAATAAATACGGTAAATATAAAACGTGTGCTATAATAACATACTGTAAATCACTTTTTATTCAGGGGAACTTTATTTCCTCATAATTTATGTGAAACAGTGCGCACACAAAATATCAATCTTATGTAAATAACATTATGTAGAGCACACTGCATTTCATTTCTGGAAATCTGCATAGCATTTCCGACATCATTTTATTTCATTTCCGACATTTTTTGTTTTCATTTCCGACATAATTTTGTTTTCATTTCCAGAATTTACCTATGCGGCAATTTAAATATATTTTCAAAAATCTATTTATTATATACATATATGCATACATTTAGCACTGAGTCTAGGTTAAAGTATTCAATGAACATACAACTTTTTCACCTCATTTAATGTGCACTAAAATAAATGTCAGTGACAGCACCAAACTTATGTCCAAGACACTTGATGGACGCTAATCCAGTTTTTACTCCAGTTGATAACACATTTATTACACTGAACTTTATTTTTTCTGCTTTACATCTGCGCAGAGTAATTCAGTAAACATTGAGTCAACCTCTCAAACTTCAATTCAAGCAGTTGCCTACATTATGCGACAGTCGTTTCATTGATAAATTTACAAAAACGCAGAAATTGGATTTCAATGATTTATTTATTATGCATTCCTTTAAATTTTTCATAGGTTAAGTCTTTGTTACTAAAGGTAAAAAGGTAAAATCTGAAAAATGTCGGAAATGAAAAGTTGATAATTACTAAAAATTCCGGAAATGAAATGCAGCCATAGAGCAGTAACGATTTGTGATAATTTTGTTTTGATAAAAAAATGTCAATCTCACAAAAAATAAGGTTTTGCAAAAAATTGAATGATCTACAGTAGTCCGACACTAGGGGGGCATGAAGCATGAGCTGTATAAGCAGGATTTCTCATAAAGCAAATAATCTGAAATAACGACACAATGTGTAACTTACGCATCCACTTAATATCCACTATGTATGATTGAAATAGATAATTAAAAACTTGTTATTTCATTAATATAAAAACAAAATCTCCTCAAACTGAATTTAAATTCACAATTTTACAGCAACTATCAATTATTTGATGGTAGTAACTACCAGTTAAATGTACAGATAGGATGTTTTGATTTTATAGCTCAAAGCTAAAGATTAAAAGTAGCCACATTTTAAGCAAATATGTTATCAATGTTGGTTAGCTAAAAATACTTCAAATAATAAGGAATGGGTCTGTTTTTCTAACTAAATCACTCGAAATTAAAAACTGACCTTCCTTCAAGTAATAAGTCATGTTTTGATTTTATAGCTCAAAGCTAAAGATTAAAAGTAGCGTCAGTTTAAGCAAATATGTTATCAATGTTGGTTAGCTAAATATGCTTCAACTACTAAGAAACGAGTCTCTTTTTCTAGCTACATGTAAATCACTCGAAATTTACACTGACCTTTATACACGTAAAATGAATTACTCCAAGACTTTCATGCTAAATTTTTTTTACTTATTTTTTTTATTCCAACTTCTAGAAGTTCTATTTATGAAAGAAATGAGAGAATAATCAAAAATCTTATTTATATTTTGGCAATGGTTTTATTTTATCACAGATTTATTTGTACGATATTGCCAAACAATAAGCACTGTTAGAATTATTATTGGTAAAAGTGTCCCAAAAATGACGGCACAATAAAAAGAATCCATTGAATGAACATCTTTAGATAGAGCGGTTTTTCCTCCATGCCAGTCTGAAAAGAAATCATTACCAGAATTCTTATCTACAATGTAGCTAAAAGTTAACGTTTTGGGAAAAATGTCATATTTAGAGGTCCATCTCTAACGGAGTATCACCTCATCAGGGAATCAGGGAGCCATTGTTTTCACCTATTCAAAAAATTCTTGTTATCTTTTAAAAATTTAATACATACTGTGAAATCAATAATTTTCGTGAGGGTTTAATTTTTGTTGTTTCTGAGATATGGAGAGACCTACAAATTCAGGTCTACCACGAAATGCAAAATTTTATAAGCATTACTACTCAACACTTCCCCAACCACAAAATCAAATCCCCACAGATCAACATTTTTTTCTTAAACCTCGAAAATTTGCCCCCACAAAAATATGTGATTTCACAGTACATGTATATCAGTTCTGGTTAGCTTTTACATTGCACATGCAGCAATTTACATCCAAAGTCAATGATAGGTACATTCATTTGTTATTTCAACAATTTCTGTTTAGGGCTTGATGACACTTTTCATCATTTTGTCTAAGTTTTCTTTGTAAAACCAGTATAACAAAGGTGTTTCTTTTTGATTTCCATGTCAACATATGCACCCACTGATCTGAGTTTGGCAGCAATGTGCCATGCATGTATAAAAATAATCCTGTGGCAGTGGAATTATTATTGGTTAGTATGTATTTTGTTAATACCTCAATATACACAACAGTTGCTATTACCGTGAGTGGGCGGAGTCTAGGACCTACCTTTGATTTTGATTGGACCACTGTGTAAACTGCCTCCATAACCTGGCGCATCACAAAAAGGGGGGCTGAATCCCTCATTACAATGACACTGACCAATACTATTACACACCTAAAATATATAGTGGACATTTGTAACACAGTCAGATAATACATGAACAAGATATATCCAGACAATATATACTTTAAGTTTTATGCCATAACAATACTATTTTTAAAACAAACTAAGAAGTACTGTGAGCACTGAGCTCACTAAATAATACCCCTGCTTACAAATGAGTATAATGGTCATCTAATTATTGCTATTAAATAGTATTCAGTTACAAAATTAAACCTGTAGAATTCTAATATTGTTTTACATTAATACAGAACTTATTGTAGAGACAAAATAAAACCCAGAAATTACCCCATTAGTGTGACAATCTGGACATTCTCTTGAAGGTATCCTGGCTAGTGATGTGCATTTATGGTTGTAGCATATCTGTAATTAAACACCAAGATTGTTTTATCCTTGTTAAACCCGAGTAAACTTGTAAAGTCTTGTAGCTACCTGAGTACACATATGCATATACATACAAGAATTGTGTGACCTAACATCAGAGTATTGTTTGTCAGAGAAGATGTAAAAGTTTCTATATACAGGGAAAATTTCACCCCCATTTTATTTTTGCCCTATTGCCCTACTTACAGGTGGGCGAATTTAAAATGAGGCAAACTTAAAGAACACAGTATAATTTTTTAAACAAAACCGTGACTGGGCAAATTTAAAATGGTGCAAAATTGTTTCCAAGTGTGAAAGTGCGGAAATAACATGGATCGAAAATAACCCTGAATACAGTATACCCATATCTGGAAGCACTATCTCTGTGGTGAACTTTGTGATTTACTGTACTACTTACCTTGTTATGTCCACACTTGGCCCCATCTGGTACCTGCCCTGGGTCGGGCATGTTGAGTCCCACATCCAGTGTGGCAGAGCGACACACGTAGACCTTTGACCCTTTCTGTAAGAAGGAAGCCGGGGTGGCAATGGCCAAAGTTTCCCTCCAAAACATGAGCTTCTCGTTCAGATGGACGCAATGTAAGAGACCACACATCACATCACTGCTGGCAAAAAGTGAGAAATAGGGTGTGATGATACAGTACTTGAACTAAGAACCACTAGGGTTAAAACATACAGTGTAAGTGTACTTTTAATCATTTTTTATTTGTGAGAACTTTATTTTTGCATAATTATGGGAGACAATGTGCTCGCAAAAATATCATTCTCGCACATAGTATTCCTTAAGATTATATAGAATAGCAGATAAAGAGTTAATGTCTATCTCATGTAAATAAGGTGTCACGAAAATTTACTGATCTACAGTATTTGTTTGAAGGGTTAGTATCTTCTTTCTAAAATTCATTTGTAAGAACTAATCAAAGACAAAATCATGAAAATATGAGCAAGCTTACTCTTTGTCACAGCGGGTGAATCGATTGGTCCTCAGATTGTACCCACAATTCCCTGTTTCAGAGCCATTGACATTGAGATGCTGGAAACATATAGGATCAGACACCCTCCCCGTGGCTCCCCACAGCAGACGACACTGTCCGGTGTGGGTCTTACAGGTACCATTCAAACAGTAAGACTGGAAAAAATGAAAATAAAGTGTGTGTGTACAACAAATGAAATATGTTTATTTACATGTAAAACAAATTCCCAGCTAAGTTAGACAGAAAGGTTATTTAAGGAATGTTTTTAAGTTTCATGTGAGTTATTGGTGTGTGAATCACGCAGGCATATTTTTCATGAAGCGCGCTAGCATCAGTCCATTCTCTTTCATTCTTTCCCCCTCCCTTTCTTTTACTGGTACCTACCTGTCCATTGCCACATTCTATCCCATTCTTCCTGTAGACATCAGATGGACAATACTCAGACTCTCCGTTACAGAACTCTGGTAGATCACACTCCTCATACGCTCCACGACACAGGGTGGCTCGCGGCTTCAACTGCAAGGAAAAGTTGTTCTATGATTGTTCCAGGTAACATTAAGTTCACTACAAGGTGCAGTAGGTGATTTCTGCTCGTGTTAAATTTTTTATGGCCATGCAGGGTCATAGATAAATTATTTTATCCCATATCTTTTAAATGCCTAATTGTATGGAATCACAAAAATTGATAACTGAAAAAAAAGTTTATCTGAATGCAGCTGTATCTTTCAAAAATCATATAATTATAAAAAATCTTTTGCCTGCATAAAGTACAAGAATATTAACACATTATAAGCCATATTAGATAGCTGACTAAAATATATACCCGGTAAATTGATCCTTACCGTACACGTGTTGGTATCACAGCATTTTCCTGTAGCACACACAGCTCCTGGTGACAGTTTACAGGTAGAAGGATTACAACACGTGGTCTTACAGTCCTACAAAAAAGAATATTGTTTGATTGAGGATCTATATTCTTTGTCAAGTTTTGAAATTTAAATTTCATTATGAAATAAAAATAAATTTGAAGGGTAGATTTTTTTAATCAATGTAGCAAAAGCTTCTTGCATGTTATCGATTCAAGGAAAATTGCATGTACTTTATTGTTTTTTAATTAAACGTTCTCAAATTCTTCCTCATTTGCTACACAATTCTCTGACACAACACTTTTTTTTTTAAAACCAGGCTCTGTGGCCATAAAACTTAGATGAGCTCACTTTTGATCTCAGTCTCACTTTTTAGCTATACTGTATAGGGGGAAAATAACTCGCGGTGTTAATATTCGCTTTATTCACGATGTTGATAAATCCGTGAATTCAAGAAACAGTGAATAAATTTTCAATAATCTCCATGTTTTATTTGGAAATTTGAGAATATATAGATTACGGAAGGTTTATATACATGTATGTGCAGTTCTTGACCATTTCAGTAATTACGAGTACATATGTAGTACTTGTCATTCAGTTATTTTAATTATCACGCTTTACTTTAATTCCAATCAGCAGATGATAACCTGTGTTTACTCAATCAAAACACGTGTGCCACGGGTTTTGATTACCCGTGCGAAACTAATATAATTATGTTACCACGTGTATTTGTTACCTGCATTTATCATGCATATCATTTTTTATCGACAATTTGGTTTTTAGAGTCATTCAAATGACTATCGAACTTACTGAAGATGTGGAAGGATATTATTTCAATCGTCGGCCTACATTAAAACATTAATTTTATATACTGTCCAGTGGTTTTTCGACGCGTTGTGTCGAAGGTCTCAGGGTGTATATGAACTCATCGTAACAGCATAATATAGGAAAGTCATTTGCGTTTACCGTCAAGGACGTTTGAAAACTGTACTTGTTTTAATCAATTGTCAATTGCATGTATTATTTTTATAACTAACAATTTTATATTAACCTACCCTGTTGTTCGTGAAATAAAGACATTACTCTCATTGATGTCATTTACATGTACCTAGTTATGGATTAAATGTATATAGGCAAGGGAGGTAACTTTTATTATAAACCGATTCCGCGAATTCAAGAAACCGCGATCGTGTCAGATGAGAAAAAAACGTGAAAATTACAACCCGTGAAATTAATCCCCTGTACAGTATATTCCTTTGGTTAAAGTGAGATTGAAATCAAAAGTGAGTTTGTCTAAGTTATATGGCCCCAGAGCCAGGAGTCTCTGATGAGACTGTAGCTCTACTGGTTTTTACTTAATTCACAAATGAATTACCCCCTGTAGTCCGCAGTCACATTCCTCCCCCTGCTCCACGAAGCCGTTCCCACACACGGGGCCCTCAAACAACTTGTCTGGTTTGTTCTTCAGACAGTAGTCCATACCGATCTCAAAATTCTCAGCAAGGGCAATCCGGGAACATGAAGACCACTTTGTGGGCGGGGAGGTACTGAAACAGAAAATACATATTAAATTGAATATTTGATATTAAGGTAAGATTTTAAAAGATTTAATTTTAAATCCATTCGAAACTTTATGAAAATTGAATAAGGAAAATCCATACTTCATACTTTATTCAGTAAAACATGCTTTTAACGAAGTGTCAGGGCCAGACAATTTTACTTCCTTATAAACATAATTCGTTATTAGCAGCTCTTATTCTAACCTTTTCTTTGTTTTGACACTTACCCTGCCTGTGTAGGAGCCATGATGCACTTGTCATCAGGACATTTACAGAAGGAGTAGTTATCATGAGCCATTCCCAAATTGTGTCCGAGCTCTGATTCTCAGATTTTGACACTTACCCTGCCTGTGTAGGAGCCATGATACACTTGTCATCAGGACATTTACAGAAGGAGTAGTTATCATGAGCCATTCCCAAATTGTGTCCGAGCTCGTGGGCCACGGTGGTGGCTACCTGGATCAGGCGGTTGTTCACATCCTGTCAGGTTAAAAAATATGAACATTAAAAACACAGGTAAAAAAAAAACTCGTACTTTTGTTACATCCCCTCTGCTTAATGGCATCAACATTATAATTTATATATACTTGTACATGAATATTTTTAAACAGAACATGGTACGTAATACAATAATACTGAACATACAAATATTATACATAATCATTCTGTACAATATTGAATAACTTCTGAAAGTGTTTATAGCATATTTAACTCTTTATCTGAATGATATTGTAATATTCTTTCTTAATTTACAATATTCATTGAAATGATATATCAGAAACATTTTTCAAGCAGATACTTCAAAGATGCATGTACTAGTATATAATTAATAAAATTCAAAACTGCAGCAAAAGTTGAGCCATTTACATTATGCACAGTATACATAAACCAGTTATATAATTATGATATCAAGATATGCCGATAAATTAATGTGTAATACTGGATCAAGTGAGAAAATAAAAACTTTCTAGATCAGCAGCATGTCTGTTAAGTTTAGCTTGTCATGCACACTGAGATGTGTAATAAAACAAGCAACAATTTTAGGGTGTAAAAAAGTACCTCATTCATAGAATTCACAACTCTAAATAAATTTTATGAAATTTTCATTCAAGAGCATATTTGTGTATGCATGTGCATCTACATGTGTACCTGCATGTTAATATATATGTTGCTATGGTAAAAATTTAAGTATATGTAATATTGCATGCATTGTTAAATATCAGCAACAAACATGCACATATCTATCATTATATAATCATGATAGAATTTAACAGATGCATTCTACTGATATTTAAATGTGTATCAGAAACTCATTCTTTAGAGCAGAACAGTTTAGAACTGAGTTGCAGGGGGAGGGTGTTAGTGACTTTAAAACCAATAACTACCGCATCAGACGCCACACCACCAGATGAACTAAATGTACATATAGTGTTAACAAAAGCTCTCCCCAAAATGTTATCACTAAACGCCTGGCCACTACAACAAAACAAGCAAGTTAACAGGTTAGTGTTCACACAACACACACAAGATGACAAGACAATATGTGACTGCATAAGATGCCAGGTTTTATCTTCAAGTAAAAAAAAATCCTTAATAACTGCAGATCTAGATTTGCTCGTTGTTTTTTTTTCATTTTAAACTAGAACTCTCCAAATGGGACAAAATACCCCCCGCTGGGTTTTTCAGAAGTAAGTTTTTCCATAATAAAGATATGTATCAAACATGAATTATGAAATTTTTCTTCCAGTGACCTTGAACCTCCCCAAATGACCTTGGGTCAAGGTCATGACACACCCTTAGGTAATGGGCAATCTTTGTGTGAAATGAGATCCTACCAAGTTAATCCATAAGAAAGATATGGACAGGACACAAATTATGAAATTTTTCTTCCAGTGACCTTGAACTTCCCCAAATGACCTTGGGTCAAGGTCATGACACACCCTTGGGTCATAGGCAATCTTTGTGTGAAATGAGAACCTACCAAGTTTGTTTATAAGAAAGATATGGACCGGACACGAATTATAAATTTTTCTTCCAGTGATTTCCCCAAATGACCTTGGGTCAAGGTCATGACAAACCCTTAGGTCATGGGCAATCTTTGTGTGGAGTAGTAGATTCTAATGTCCCTCTGTAAGAAATTTTGGACCGGACACGATTGCATAGACAGCAGACAAAGAAGACAGACGGACAAGGTGATTCCTATATACCCCCCCAAACTTCGTTTGCGGGGGTATAAAAAATTTTCTTCATTATACCTGGAAAATATTTCAAGAACTTTTCTTGCCTCTGGATACTACCTTATAACCTATACATATTCATCATTGATAAAAAATTTAAAAGGGAGTAATCATGATGCTAATTTACACCTGTAGCAAAATCAGACAAAAGGTCATATACATTTCTCTTATCACAAAAGTACAAAGCTAGCAAGGAAACCGCATAAAAAATCACTGGCATTTTCTCCAATCAATGTTGTCTTGTCAAGTAGATAAATAAAAGTGCATTTCTGTTTACCATGGATATGCCTGCGGAGTACTTATGGGTGCAGATGGAGGCCTTCATGGCTTTGCCTACCACGCCATCGTTAAAGGGCATGCCACTGAAATGTACTCACAGCTATTACCACTATATAGCTATATAGCATTCATGGCTTACACATGAACTTGACTTATCTCCTGCTAAATGATTAATGAGAAGTGGAAAAAACACAAAGCAAGGAAAAACCTAATTATCTGCCAATCAAATGCACTTTTAATAACAATGTTGTTGCACTTCATGGATCAACATTTACTGGGAATCAATGTGTGCAGAGTTTGATATGGCTTAATTTGAATTTTCTGATAATTTTTAACATTTACATTGCTTTCTCATTCATGGCATTAAAAAACCCTAATGCTTGACAAAAGTTTTAAATTCATTTTAAAATTCAATTCTTTTTGAAATGCTTCATTTGATTGGTTAGAAAATTTCACTTCTATCATAAAACCTTTGTTGCCTACGGTATGTCATAATTTGAAGTCGCTACAAGCATTAAATATTTCAAGAATTACTGTCTAATTTTTAAAAACCAATAAGTTTTATAGAGTGTAAACTGCCCCTACTGCGGTTATACAACATAAATGGGATTGCTGTCGAATCCATATAGATGTCAAACAAGTTTATTTCAAAAGAATTTTAAAACTACAAATTATATCTTAATGGAGAATGAGGATAAATTATTCAGTATCAATCTACAAGAAAAAATTATCAGATAAAATCTACTTTGTATGAGCTTAATATCACTTCCTTTCATTAAATTATCAATTTCTTTTTAAAACAGCACACTTGAAATTTTTATACAAAGACAATAGATATTTGCATGAGGGTCATTTTCTTCACAGAATTGTCTACATATACATAAAAGCTGTGCTCCCAATTACCACGGCAGCTAGAAGCTCTGTTTAAAACTTTTTTAAAAAGTTTTTCAATTAATCTGAATTCTAAACTTGTCATTGTCAAGAAATTTAAAATATAATATATTTTGAATATCTTTACCACTTCAAATTCAAATGAAAAAAAAAAATTCAAGAATGCTCAATTAAAAAAAAAAATATTGTCATGAATCAATGTGTGCTTATCATCTTTCATCACTGTAGCTAATTGAAAGAAATGCAGGTGACGGCACTATGAGAAACTTACGTGATCAGCTGGGCATTGTCGTTTTCATGTTTGGGGTTGATGCCTTGTTTTCTGTAGTTAAGGAACTCCTCCAGTGTGTTATTGGCCTGAGAAGTGATTCGGATCATGTCCTTCGTCTTCCAGATTTCTACTCCCACCAGAGCAATGTAGATGTTCAAAGGGTTATACAGCTAAAATCAGATAGAAGAAAATTATAAAAACAATGCATACAATTATAAGACTAGGCATATCACTGCATTTTCTATCAACATTTGATAAGATCCTAAAGACCTATATATACGAGGGGCATTTCAAAAGTCCTGAGAACAGTTTAATAAAAAATTAACCGTTTTACGGACATTATTGAGTTTGATATCATTGGAAAGATAAAAAAAATATACACATATTGTGAAGTCACTTTATAATTTTTATGAAAACATTTAAATCCAGAATATAGAATGTTTAGCATACTAAAACTTCGCGTTTTTATCCACATGACACGATTTTAAAAGTGCTGCCAAAGGCTTATCTGAAAAAAATATTTCAAAGAAAATATTCATTTGCAAAGAAGTAGAGTAGAACTATGGTACTGTTTATCAACAATTCTATATTTCATTGTTTGGTTTGTTTACTAGCACGATTTATGTCCAGTTATGCTATCATCGACATTCCTTCAGGATTTTAAGTTACATGATACGACTGGATTTTTGGTCTTTTATATAGTTCTCCATTGTATGAGATAAATCATGTTCTGTGTAAAACTGAAGTATATTAATACAGTTTTCAACAAATATATTTTGAGTAACAGTACTCTTACCGTTTACAAATAAAATGTACAAAAGTCTTGCCCCTGACTTGTTTCTGCGTGTTTAATTCAACTTCGGCACCCCAAAAAGTGCTTTTCTTTTGACCCCAAAAAAGTTATGTATCACACATGAATAAGTTTACCAAATGAAATGTTCATATACGAGGGTTGTTCGAAAAGTTTGTGGACGATGTCCATCTTCGTTATAGACAATATAGACAATATTTTACCTTGGGTCAGAGAGGCATGACACACATGTGTAGACAAAGGCAATCAATAAGTAGATAAACAAAAAAATTCAGTAATTTGTGTTAAAAATAAAAAATAAATAAAAAAAAAAAATAAAATAAAAATAAAAATACATACATATCATATTGTTGTTGTGCTTTAAAATGTTATATTAAATGATTAGACAGGTACTCACAAATTGAAGTAAGACATTTATTTTCACATGTAATGACCAAAAATATTTTTGAGAACTATCTAAGCTATGAAAATTTTTATTATACTGTGCTTCATTTAGAAGTTTGATTCTTCTTTCATGTAAAAACACACCCTTGGTAAAATGTATTTATTTTGCTACAAAACATTTTTCACAATTCTTTTATCTCTTTCAAGTCCAATATATATCCAGTTTCAAAAAAGATATTCTTAATCTGGTTATACCTCTTCTAAAGTTAAAGTTATTTAGTAATGTTTTCTTCCAGTGAAATTACTTTTAAGCTTTACCCCAAATCAGAATTTTTTTCTTTCAGTTTCAGCCAAGAGTCAATTTGATTATTGATGACACACCCTTAAGGGGCATTTTTTGGTATTTCTAAAAATTTCAAAAATGTGTGAAAGAGAACCTGTCTCTATTTGTTTATGTTTTAGAATTAATAAAAGCATTGTACAGGAGAGAACTGTTATCAGAACACACATTGATTTTATGATATTAATATTTTATCTTCCAGTGACATTACTGCAAAATTATATTACTCACTGAAAATTCAAAACAAGCACATTATAATATGCAAAAATATTTGTTTTATTGATGTGTGAAGTTTCATTTCATTCGATTTAACACAAATAAATTTACTTCATTTTAAAATCAACATGTTTTGTACCCGCTGAGCACACAAAAGGCAATGTAACGTCAACACATAGCGTAGAGAATTTATAATAGATACTATACCTATACATTTCACACAGAATATTCCAATGCCCATTCATTAAATTTATTTTCTAATACTTGACATCTATTTTTTAAGAATTGATCTCATTGTATAATTTCCTTTGTAAAGGTTTTAATGTCTTTTAGTACTTAACTCTGCTTTCACAGGATAAGCAACTCTGAAGCGCCTTTGTCTTTCATTTACGTTTCATATTTTAAAGTTTTGTTCAGACATTTACAGTAAAACCGTTTCTTCACAGGATGCATCCATATAAAGTCTATGATCAAATATTGCTGTACTATTTGTACACACATGCACAACGACGCTTTGAAAGAATTTTCTTATATATGTCAACATTTTAAAAGTTTTTGGATTTTTCTGGAAAAACACAAAATTGTGGCCTGCTGCTCCGTACCTAAAACGTCATCGTTTTTGTCGTTTTCAATAAGGACTACTTATCATCTCAAGTTGATTTCTTTTCAACAAAGCAAAACATAAAACTATAATTTTAAACGATGTAACAATTCTTAATTTGAGGAGTTTTTGCTTCCATATAGAATATGATCATTATTTATTGTATTGCTTTGCTATTCTTGAGAAGAAGATTTTTAAAAAGAAGTTTTTAATCAATCATAATATTTTGTCAAAATTAATACATGTTATTTGGATTTATTGTTAAACAAGAGATGTTGTAAAACACTTATGCCCCCCTCCCCCCAAATTGGAATTTTTCCAAGTCCAAGGGGTATAACTCTGTCAAAAATTATGCGATTGTACCCAAAACAAAACTCGACCTAGATATTTATTTGATATATCTGTGTACCAAATTTCATTTCAATATGTACAACGGTTGCACAGAAAATGGAAACGGCAAATAATTGGAAGAAGATTTTTAAAGACATGCCACTCGTCCAATATTTATTTGATATATCTGTATACCAAATTTCATTTCAACATGTACAACGGTTGCAAAGAAAATGAACGGAAACGGCAAATAATTGAATTTTTTCTAAGTCCAAGGGGCATAACTCTGTCAAGGAATCCCCAAAACAAAACTCGACCTAGATATTTATTTGATATGGCAAAGTTTACAACGGTTGCAAAGAAAATGAACGGAAATGGCAAATAAGCTAAGTCCAAGCGGCATAACTCTGACAAAAATGATGTGATCATACCCAAAACAGAACTCGACCTAGATATTCATGTGATATATCTGTAAAAATTTATTTCAGTAGGTGCAAAGGTTTTGAAGAAAATGAACAAACGGACAGACAGATAGACGGACACCGGACAAAATGTGATCAGAAAAGCTCACTTGAGCCTTCGGCTCAGGTGAGCTAAAAACACATACCCGGTATATAATATTATGCTTACAAAATGAAATGTACATGTATGTATACCAATACTATCCAACATCAATTTGAGGAATATTAGAATATTTCCACTTTTTCTTTGTATATATCACACATAATTCTCTTAATGACTTTCAATCTAAATTTATGATAAATAATCTAAGGATATTTATCACTAAAGAAGCTATTACCAAAATTTAATTTTTTTTAAATATATTTGTCATCCAATAATGAATATAAATTGATATATACATGAAAACAAGGTTTTAAAATGTCAATGAAAAGTTCAGGTCTGAAGAATATTTGTTTTATCATATGTGCTTGAAAACTCTGCCAGTGCAATGGAATTATCCATGATTCATATGCAGATAATGAATTTTTATTTGAAGTGATAAGGCACTACTGACTTTTATAGCTATAGTGATATAAAACGAGACTACATAAAATAAACAATGACAATAGCAGCTAGAGACTGTAACTATTGCATAATGTATATTTGCATCTCATTGATCAAGTTCCTTAAATTACTGAGTACTCAGACCAAAAAACAAACACTCATCATCAGTTTGAACTCTTATGACACTGAGGATACTTCTCTGTACCATTCACAACTGTCATGTGACACAAGGTCACCTGAGGTCAAACCTGAATGAACTTACGAGACACTTCAAAAAGGAAAGTGGAAGGCTATTGACAGAAGTGCATTCTGAATTTAATTACTTCACTTTAACTACTTCTTAGTTCAGAATGACAATACAAACCCTTAAGTTAATCCAGTGCTTAAAATTCAGTCAATTTTTAATTACTCCTGGCAAGAAGGAATAAAATTGTTTGTAGTCTCCACTAATGGTTTTCTCTTCATTTGTCTGTAGTCAGTCTGTCCTATTTGGTTAATGTAAAAAATACTGTAGACGTACTTTTTTCCACGGGGTATAATTGGGAATCTCAATTTCTGTTTAATCTGCGGGTAGAAAATTACGCGGCTTTTCTAGATTGTCACTATATGCCTTACATTTATATTACGTACGCTTGGACAAATTTCCGTGGAAAGTTTGTGATCGCGTACATAGCGTGAATTAATACCACGCGGAAAAAAGTACTTCTACAGTATATTGAGCTGATTTCGTGTTAGAAAAATTTCTTTGACTCCAAATAAGTGTTTTAAAAAGTTTGACTTCAACATTTGTCATGAGCAATTTTAAAATGAAGTTTGATCATTCCCAAGTTACACTTGTACTAGCTTACCAAGTCTTCAAACTTCCATTGGATATTACATTTTCCTCTCATATGTATTTTTAAAATACGTAACAGTTGAATTGGTAGACTCTGACATACCTTGCTAACAATATTCACTATGTCTTTGGCTCTTTGAATGACCACACTATCCTGTCGACTATAGGTAATGTACTGAAAAGATGTAAAAGAGTGAAAAATATGTTCTGGATAAAAAATATGCAAAAGTATCTTACAATTTCTTTAAAATGAATCATAGGGAATGTATTCCACATTGATGTTAAATCCTCATTTACAAAAAATCCTCTTTAATTCGACATGAATTTTTTTTTTATTCGAGTAAACAGTATTGGATGTAAGGAACATGGAAAAAATAGTTAGATTTCACAGTGAAATGGGTTACACAGGTGTATGATTAGACAGTTTGCACTGTATTTCTTTTAATATCATGAAGGATGAATCAGAAGTTAGGAATACATGTACCAGTCTTTGGTCCGTAACGAGGTACATCTCGACAAACCGGGCATTGTTATTACTGTCATAGGGACCTCGTACTTCTCGCCGAACCTAAAATGATGGAAGTCAATTATCAAAATACCAAAGGACACAATCCTTAGTGATACACTGCCATTCTTTTAATAAATTAGCTTAGAATTAAAGAAATGAAAGATCTTTATATTCATATAGCACTTTGAGATATAAATTACTTATTAAACGGTTTCCTTGGTAAACTTACTCTATGAAAGACATCTTTGGTATGTAAATAATTTAATGTTGCATTTGCATGCAAACTGGAATGTTTTATTTTGTCATCTAAAAAAGATAAAAAATTCATCAAAAAGTCATTTCATTACCATGTTTAATGTTACAGTTGCAAACAATCTATGATACAGTATACACAATTGAGAAAAAAAAAACAACTTGCAACTTTCAATTGCTTCATTCAGATTACCTCATAAATCAAAATATGAAAATATTTTGATTCTCTTTATATTAGTCAAACATAATTTATAGAGATTGAAGTTTTTGCAGTATCTAAACATTAAAGAAAGCATTACTTTTTTGACATTTGCAATATTTTTCAAAGAAACCCAGAGGTCAACACTGAGCATGGGAATTTAAAATTTTTGCAAATTTCTTTACATTTCAAAACATAAAGAGTCAAAAATGCCACAAATATGTGGAACAGTGTATTCAAATTATTATTCCTTCTATACAGATTGATAAATGTAACCTGAATTGACAAAAAGACTTGATATTTTCATGATTTCTTGATATCAAGCATCTATTTTACCTCTTCTCTGGAATGGCGTGGGCCGATCATCAGGTTCTATGTACAGTTTGTGACGTCCCGGTCCATACTCTGGAGAAGGGTCAATATGATAAGAGACTCGCCCATCTGATATCAAGCCCCTGTAGAATAAAGAAATGCATCAGTTTAGAATTGGGGTCTAGACATGGCTGTCTGAGATTGACATTATGAACATTTCTGTGGCAAAAAATGTTTAAAGTAAACATACAACAGTAGTCTGGAAAATATCTAAGTCACTTGTAAACTTTATCAACCAATCACTCATTTATGATTTATTCAGTGATGAAAAATTATTAATAAAAAATTTTTACTTAGGTAAAAACTTTAAAATCTTAGTACATTTTAAATCATATGAAACATTTCCCTTGGGTCAGAAATAAAATGATTTTTACAGCATACTGAACATTAGTGTTTTAAGCAGAAATTTTAAATTGTATCTCCCTTCCATAAATAAGAAACCTTTCATCTTTTTCTATGATCATGGTACTTTCAATATCTAGATCTCTCATGTTCATTCAAGCTAAATCTGAATATACTATAATGATAACACCCCTCATGGAGTTATCTCCCTTTATACTATAATACTGGCAGATTATCTTCCCTTAAGTCCTCATTAGAACACTATAATTATCAATTCTAACACTCTTATCAACAACTCAGAATCCCTGAACCCTGCATGAGATTTCAACTGCTGCCTATCTGTTCTCAATCATGCCATTAAACTAATCCATCTATGTCTACAAATGAGATACAAATCTTATCACGGCTCCCTGATGGCCAAACATAATACAAATCTTTGTCTAATATATATATCAATATAACCCCACAGTCTGTTTTCATTTACAGGGTATTTCTCTTCATAGGCTGCCATGACCCATCTTTCATCACCGGGGTGAAAATGCTGACCAATCTCTCTTCACAATCTGGGGCTATGGCTCTACATGTTTATTTGTTTCCATTTGATTGAGTGTGAAAAAGGCCAGATAGGAAGCAGGTTTTACTACATTTCCTTTACTCAGTGTTTGTGTCCTCTCTCTGTAGGAGGTGTTTTTTTATATCAATAAAAGATCAAACAAAAGTAGAGGCAGGAAGAAACTCATCCTACCCAGGAAATCATTTGAGGTTGTATATAGGTCAGATAATACCACTAGAATTAGCTGATAGGTCTCCATATACATGTACTTTCTTTCATTTATAGATTTCATATTAATTTTAGATTTTAAATTCTGATGTTTCATGAATGCAAATTATCCTTCACATGTATTTTTAAATAAAATATACAGGAATAAATTTTTTTTCAAGAAAACCTCCCTCACACTGAGCAAGACCTTGAAAATTTATCATTATAAAAGCAATCTCAAATACATATCTATCTAAAATTATTCCAAGAAAAACACTTAATAAGCCATTGACTGCCTGGCCTTCACATAGGGACAAGGCCAATTCCTACATATCAGATAATTAACTGTGTTTATCCTAGACTTTAAAAAAATCTTCTTCTTAAATAAATGTGCAGACTATTTCAGTTGGACTTTTAAACATATCCTTAGATTATCTGATCTTAAAAAACTAAAAATAACACATTCAAAGTTTTGAAAAAGCACAACAGAAAAATTAAAACTTGCAGAGTTGGCATCTCTAGGCAGGTTGATGCTGATCTTTTTTTTATTTTTAGACATTTCTTGCTTATATCATTCGTTGCTGCATCTGACATGCTGTGGGAGTGCATATAGCCAGAAAACTGCACATGGCAACATGCACTGTCTGCAGATCTAATTAAACAAATAACCTCATCAGGGATCAAGTTTGGCTAGAATTGCCCATCTGTCTCTGCCTTTGAATATTCAATGTTTTCTTTGAGTTATACCTGCTTTCTGAATTCATTTTCAATACACCTCCATTTAATGCAAACATTTATAGGGCTGAAAGATGCAAATTTCACCACTGACTTTGTATTGAATATTCAATTTTAGGTGTGTGTGTGTGTGTGTGTGATAACTGCTTTCATTTTCAAGACACCTCCCCCACTTAATGAAAATATTTCCGATAAGGCCGATATGGCCGAGAGAAATAAAAAAATTACTGTTATGGCATAGAGAAAATGAAAAACTTACTGATAACTGTGAAATGCAAATTTGTCTCTGTATTTTATATCAAATGTTTGTGTGTGTGACACCTGCCTTCATTTTCACTACATCTCCATTAAACGCTAAAATTATGGCCGAAAGATGCAAATATCACCTGACTTGAGTACCTCTAGAAACATAGATGAATCAATATAGACAAGGCAAAAAGAGAGAATCTCAGAGGAATAAATCAATTAGAAGTCACGGGATCTAGTGATTTCAACTCTAATTATGTTATGCCGACACTAATTACAATGGCTTCTGAAACATTAACATTTACTGTACAGACATATTCACTGAAATGATATTTATTTAATCTATTCGCTCTGTATCAAATACTGCAGATCATTTAATTTTGCAGAACCTTATTTTTGGGAGAGAGTTTATAGGAATTTATTGAGTAATTTCAATTTACAACTTTGCACACTAAGTCTTGATATTTATGATGTGAGATACTATTTACCAAAGATGGGCTAATAAAATGTTTTAAATAAAGATACAAATGTATGACTGCAAAATTATGCACCCCACCTCCCCCCAAAAATTGGACATAAGTAAACATCTCTTTTTATTGTGTAGGCTTCTCAAATGTCGCAGGTGGTGAAAAATCAAGTCTCAACCGGGACTGGAACCCAGGGCCTCTGGCATACAGTGCCAGCACTCTAACCACTGAGCTATTGAGACCCGATATGTAGACTGACTTTCACTAACCTTTAAACCTTCACAACTTAGCACACAAATTTTCATGTTTGGGACATATTCCCCCTCTCCGTAGCCCATGTTGGGTGCCATGAGGTGAAAAATCAAGTCTTCATCGGGACTTGAACCCAGGGCCTCTAGCGCACCGTGCCAGCACTCTAAACACTGAGCTATTGACACCCGATCTATTGACTGACTTTCACACACCTGTGAACCAGGTGACACAAATAAGACACCTTACCTTATCCCATCACAGGTGCTTACAGCTACTATGGAATGTTGAAACCCACGGAGTGAACCATGGTAAAAACAGTGAGAAGACTCCTGTAAAAGACAATGAAAGTTTTTAACATGATATTATTGATAAAACTCCACGTCTTTTCATATAATTTTCTTTTTGTCAATCCAGGAATTCTTGTATTGTTAGGAAGGAAAAAGTATGATATACACGTGTATCAATAATGTTAAAATGAATGGAAGATTTTCAACTTTCACCTTTATATTTTTATATTACTCATTTATCTCATTAGCATAATTTACAATGTCAAAATAAAAGAATTTGAACTTTCATATTTCGCTATATCATTCCACAGAAGTTTATCATTTTTAGCATAAAAAAATACACAAAATCTAACATCATATCTATAATTTTATTCCTTCATCCAGATACATACCTCTATATTAGGCTTGTGTATAGTATAACTATGTGCATCATGAAATTTCTTTTCTATGAAATTCTTTGAAAATAAATACCTACAAAATAAAACAAAGATTTGTTAAAAATCAATTTCTAAGTAGAAGAACAATATTTTCTAAAAATATAGCTTTACTACAATTAAAAATATCTTTATTATAATCTTAAAACAAGATAGAATCACTGACTGAACATTTTTAAAATTATAATAATACTAAATATTGTAAAGAAAATTAAGGCTTTCTTATAATGTCTGTATATGACATCTCAACACTGCTGCCAGTGCCTTATAATCAAATCAAAAACTGGGATCACAATTTTTTTTAAATATTCTGGTAACGTAATAATTGAACAGGTGCTTACGAGATAACACCTGCCTCAGCAGAAATGATTAAATTAAAGAACAAAGAAAAAGAATTCCGACAAATATTGCAATTGAAACCAAGAGTTCAGAGCTTGGATTTCTGTTCATTAAGGTGCACACCATAAGTATTCCAACTCCTGTCCTGTAAATTATGCATGCTAGAAGACATAATGGACAGGGCCAGCAGGAAAAAGTCACATCTCTAGCTATAAATCAATAAATCCAGCCTCCTTCAATTAACCTAATTTAGGTCCCCCCAAAGTCATTATTTTATTTCCACACTATCTATAACAAGACCTTAATAAATGTTTATTACAGTGTATCTAAAACAAAAGAGTCTAATCAAAATCCAGCTGCCCGTAATGCACTGCAATACCTCTCTCTCGGGTTCAATAACACAGAAAATGGTTCAATAACATTGAAAATGTGTCAGGAATCTTTAAATATTTGCAGGCAATGCCCTCTGTAATGATTCCTCAGACCTATAAAAATCGGTGATGAAGGGATAATCTTTCTCCTGTTATGTAAACAAATAGCTATACTTCAGCTATGACTAGGCTAAAATGCTGAGGCCCTGTCATTCAGTACTAGAGAAGACATTTAACAGCTTCTGCAGCTCAGCCTCCCCCTCACTGTTTTAAGGAGGAAGGTTTGGTTTTCTCATTATGAGCAGATAATAGGCTTATTGATCATGTTGATATAGTTTAAATATGTTCCTGCTTAAAGATTTTTCCATATTCTTCCATTGTTTTGAAAATATACTGCAGTACCCTAAGTTGTATGCTGCCTGATGTTTTTCATTCTAGTTGTTAGGCCATTTTTTTTTTTACATGCTGAATTGTCTTAAGATTTTTCCAGATCATGACAAGGAGTAAGTACTAAGCGGGTGTAACCGGTCGACAGGAGATACTCATTCCTCCATGGCACCCGATCCCACCTCAGATGTTCTGAGGGAACTGTGTCTGCTCTGCTCCTTAGTTGGTATTGTTTCTATAAACTTTTGCATTTCGATTGCTGTTCGTTATCTCTATACTTCATGAAAAAAAATTAAACTAATATTTACTTAAAATCAATGTCACACCCAGATTTTTCTGATTTGTTCATTATTACTGGTGAACAGCTGTTATGCTGTAGATTTCAAGTTATGTTTTATGATTGAAAAAGATCCAAAAAAGAATCCTATACGAAACAGATAAAACTACACTAGACAGTCTATTTGTCTTTCCTTTCGAAGTTAGATAATCTATGCTGGGATCTACAGGGGAAAAACTGAAGCTTATCAAACCCAAACAGTTCCCCATCTCCTGCATATAAACAACTGACTGTCTCACTAATGCAGAAGAAAATAAAATACATATATACCCAAATTTTTGTCTCTCTATTAACAAGTAACACTTGAATGCTTTATGAATTTCTACGCAGAATTCACAAACAAGCTTTATGTATATCTATGCAGAATTTACAGACTATAGCTTCTCATATTCCCAGTGAAATTTGCACAGAAGTTTATGCAATTATGTATGACACAAATTTTTGTCTCTCTATTAAAATATACACTTGAATGCTTTATGAATTTCTCTAAAAATAGTTTCACACAACAAGCTTTATGTATATCTATACAATCAACTTACATACATGATAGCTTCATTATATTCCCATATACATTTGCACAGAAGTTTATGCAATTATGTATGAACATTAATTATGAATGGTCTGACATGAGTATAAATATACATATCATTCCTATGTATGTTATGAGCTCTAAAAATAGTTTCATCACAAAAGTAGCATATAATGTATTGTGACTCTCATACAATCACAAGTCTTATATACATGACTGAGCTCATTATTATACTCATATATTCAATTTCTTAAGAGCATATTCATCCCCCCTCCTTCCTACTCAGCATCCATTGCTTGTCCTTGACAAACAGTTCAGCTTAATTGCTATTATACATCTTAACAGAGAATGACTAGCCACAAGTTTTCCTGGTCTTAATTACAGATGGGGGTTATATGGCTTCTGGGGTAATAACCTTTTGGGTGACCTCACCGATCTGAGATCATTTTTATCTCTCCTCTCTAAGTGAATTATTCAGTATCAAGGGAGATCTGATTTTAATCCTTTCATTGATGCTTCACTTCATTTTATGAATGGTTCCATCTTCTTTATCTATGTGTACTCAGTTTCCTTGGGCAAAGTACACAGTGGCATTTCCTCTCCATACATCCAGGCTATCCATACAGTTTAAATTGGTTTATAAACTCCAATACCATGTCATGCAAACATACAAGTGTGAAAATTCGTGAATCAAAGTCTTTCTCAATTTGAACATAAAAAACAACGGACTACACTGAAAATATTATTTCTAAATTACTACTAAAATTCCAGCTTTTTTTGAAAGAGCTCATATTTTGACCAAATTGTCATGGGCTTTCCTGGGTTTTTCTTCCATGGCCAGGATCATATCTTTTACACTGTGATGCCAAAGAATCATCAAATCTTGATGCACCCTTGGTGTGTGTCACAACATAAAAGTAGGTCACTGTGACCTAATTTTGAAGTTTAATGGTTGTTCAATCAAAATGTGTCTGGGTCACATCTTTCACTGTATGATATCTACATAAGTAGAATCATCAAAACTTTCAGATATAATGGATTTTGGGTGAAAATAAGCTGCAACCCAAAAGTAGGTGTCTGTGGCCTCATTTTGCATTTTCATGCTGAACAAAACCAAAAACTGCATGTATGCATCCATGGCAGAATGAGGATGCAGACTTAATAGTATTCAGATCAGTGGATTATATAAAACTACCAATAAAACCAGATTACATACATGGAATTGTGCAATTGATAATTCCATCAGTAAAGTATTATCATCCACTTGCCTATTTTTCTTGGATCTGACAGTCATATAAACCTATTCAATGGACTAAATGATTTATCCTTGACAAAAACAATTCTATTCTGTCATGGTCTGTGTTTCCCTGCATTTTTGGATAATACTTTGCAGTATCCATTTCTTCTGCACAATTTACTATAAATGATTTACTGGGCCAATTTCATACTGTAATAGATCAATTGTGATCCTCTCCATTTATTTAGGTTTTTTTCCTTCCACTTCATCATACCAGCATACAAGTACCCCTTCCTCCTTAAATCCTATATATATACCACACAAACTGCAATCAAATCAGACTTAATGGTCCACTGCAGCAATGGGGCAAATATTGCATGAAGTTTCTGCCAAGTCATCAAATTTCTGAAGCTCTGTTACATGGAGCTGTATAATTATTGATGTTCTCAATCATTGCTTCTGATACAAATATTTACAAATAGCGGAGGCCAATACAGCCTTCAGAGACGAAAATTTCCCTTTGAACTTACAGTGAATTTCAATGTTGTGAGACATTATCAAGATTTCGACATGGGTTTTGTTTTATTTCTGTACTTTAGTTAGATGCTTCATTGACTTTATTGATCATTTATTCTGAAAAGAGAATAATAATGCCTACAGTTATTGATTGAGAAACCAAATACACAAATTTCAGAGATGAAAGCTTGTAGTCAAACAAGACAAAGTACCATCTATCTGATTGCATAATTCTTGATTTTATTGATACTGACAGGAATAATGGTTATTTGATAATCTAATTCCTAGATATATCTTCCTCCATTCTAATCTCTTAACCAGCCTGAATTTTAATCTCTTGCAGTTGTCATTAATGTTTCCTCTGGGGACACTAAATTAAAGCCCATAATTTCAAAGATTACACCTTTCTGCATCCAAATCTTCCATTTTTTATACAATATTTATGTTCTCTGATCTACAATTTACACTGATGGTTTTGATTCAGCTAGTAGACTCTGTGTCTTCGCCATGGACAAGATTGCGAAACATGCCTCATACAATATTCAGTTTCCACATCTATTTATTAAAGCACAGTTGAGCAGTGTGGATAATCATAGACAGTTTGACCTTTTGGTTCCATACTGTCTCCCCCTTGTGGCCATGCAGACAGACAGAAGCGTAGAACCACAGACATCAAGAATAATCTCATTTCATAATAAGCCTACATATTCCATGTTAATCCATTGACCTACATGGTTATACAATTGGATACCATATCACTATCTAGTGCAGATGACTTTGTGTGAACTAGGAGACATGCTAGAGCTTCAGATGGTGGCTGATATGAAAGGGTGCAAGCGGTATTAGTATCTAAAGAGTGTAACGTCTCTATGTGACCACAATCCAAAAACATGTCAGCTAGATACAGTTACAGTTAAATCCCTGGAGTCATATTTCAGTATTTCCTTACTTATAATTAAACTTAGTAAATCTTTGAAATATGCATCAAACATGAATGAAAAACACTTATGAGTAGATTTACGAAAAAGTACAATCAATCAACATTATATACTGCTGTGTTAGTATGTAGCATACTAACACAGTGGTATATTTATACATTTGTACATGTACATAGATGTGTGTTGTGCACAATCACAGCCTCAAAATGTTTCCTCTCTCCCTTCCTCTCATATATCAGAACAAACGTTTTAAGGATTGTGATTTCCTGTCATACGATCTTTTCAAACTTGCTTGCACTGTGTTAATTTATTTCATGGTCAATGCTCTTAAATTGGGGGGCCACATAACCTGACATAATTTCTCTCCCAGTAACTGAATGGTCCCCGAAAAAAGTAAATACTGCTCCAACGGAGCTTGACTGAAGTGCACGAAAACATCTCTAGTTAATTATGATATCCTCTTGACTTATCACTGGAGCAGTAAGAAAAACATTAAAATCAGCTGTTCCGTGTTTTCCCCAGCCGTTAAAGTTAACATAAAACATGTTCAAAATGACATAGCTTACTTCCTTCCAATTCTAGGCCTCTTTACTCATTTTTTGTTTATATTGACTAACATTTAAAAGATGGGCAAGATTTTTGTAGGTTTTCAACATTTATAAATTGCAGCATTTATTATTTGCAGGCTGTATTTATGTAATTTGCTGGCATAAGAAATGATTATAATTTTTAACACTGACTGCAGATGTTAAGAAAGAATCCTTTTTTTCTAGTGCAATTCATTTCTTTAATAAGCCCACACTTCCTGCATTTTTCTTTCATTATTTGCAGATTTAATGCAGTTTCCAATTCTTGTTCTCTAAGCAAACAGGTTAAAAAATCATAAAATATGTGATTCTCATCATGTGCATGTTAAACAGATTAATGTCCATGTTATAATAGATCCGAAATAATGCATAAAAACAGCTAGTAAACATGGAAGCCATACATCAAAGAAGTCTTCATCAAACTGTCAATAACATGATAACAATTCTTGTCTGAATTCAACAAGACTATTTACAGAGAACATGTTATGAGTGTCAAATATGGTCAGCAATGCATGGGAGATTTATTACCAGCTCTGCCCAATCAGGCATCAAGAATTTAATTACAAGAAGACTGTATTTTTTTTCTGTCCGTGGCAAATCTACCGCCTCTGGTTACCGTTACAATTAACCCTTGATAAAGGGATGCTGTCACTGTCTTTGTTCACAATGAAAACTCATCACTTGGATGCACACCATTCACAAGGATCAATTTTTTTTGGTATCGATTTCTAACACATTCGCGTGTACTACCTGTCACCAAGGGGAGAAAATGTTCAGTATTTCTTGTTTTCTTTTCATGTTGACAGAATGTTAAAGCACAGGGATACTTGTGGACCCGTTAATGAGCTATTTGATAGATGTGGCGGTTAATAATTCATCATTATATCTTCCTGTGTTTCAGTAAAATCGGTGTGAAATCTCCTGACTTGATATGCATGATAACCTGGGTACATAAAGCAGTAACAGGGGAACATATGAACCTCACAATATCTGCTGAGGTCTTTGTCCTTTGCAAAAAGTACTTCCATAAACAGCATAAACAGCAAAAAGAGACAAGCCATCTAAGCACGTGCACATGGCACAACCTTACTGGTATTCCAATTTTCCAAGTACACATTAAGTACAATTGCTAAATGAATATATATATTAAATTATTTTTTTTTTTAATTAAGCATATGGATGTGGTACAAAATGGACTTCTTACCTATTGACTGTTAGGTCTATAAGAAAATGTCTGTTGTATGCTTGAAAATATAATGTGACATCTTTAAGATGGGTACCATTCTGAAAAGAAAGATATTTACCATTAAATTGAGTTCGTAGACATAAAATGATGGAAGCCAATAGGCCTATATATCATGTATACAAGTTAGCAGAGATGACATTCGGCAATGATGTTCAGGTATGAAACAAAGCAATTATCAAGAGTTTTAGCTAATTCAAAAGCCCCTGATTGACTTATAGGTGAACTTTAGCATAAAATTTTGTGGAATTTAAACATGAAAATGTGAAACACATAAAAATGTGAAACATATATGATCTGTTAAGCAATCAATATGATTAATGAATGGTCATTTCAGAAGTTTACACAGGGTTTTTTTATGTTGAGGAAAGAATCATTACCCCTCCCTCATTCATCACCAACACATTGGGACATCTCTATAACTCACTGACCCTGATGATATTTGATATCAATTGATGGATGGCACAACACAGATTGAGCTCGTACAAGGACAAATAATTGCAGTACATAACTCAATCAAAAGAAAACCACTGGATCTGACACAGTGTAACTTTGCAATGGATTAGTTACAATGGATTACAATGAAATGTAATTTTACAATGTACAGTTGAACTTCATTATCTAGAACCCTGACATCTTGGATGCCAGAAACATGTTGAAGGGAAGTGCAGTCCCATCCATTTTTAAAAATGTTTTTTTTACCCCTTGCTATCTCAAATTCTCAGATATCTTGGAAATATAATCTTGATCCCAGTTTGACTGAATTACAATAGCTATCTTTTTATAATGCATAAAAAATTAACCAATGAGGAAACTTTAAGTTTCAATTCAAAAATGGTTCATTTTTAAAACACAGCATTCTAATCAATACTGATTGTAACAATGATAACATTAATAGATAAAATGCTAAAAGTTTTCGACCAACCGATTCACAGATCACAAAGGTCAACAAAGTCAGAACAAGAATGTACATTTAATTGGTATCTCGTTATGTATAGATCTTTTTTAAGAGCTGTCTAGACACGTGGTAAATATCACGATATGGACGTACAATAATGGACCATCATATTCACTATGAACCAGATTTCCCTGTCCGATATTCCGCCAAAGTGAATTGATTTGCCATGTTTACTCTTACTGATGTAAGGAAAAAGGAAACCTTTGAAGCCATTGACAGACAAATTGTATCCATTACCAATGCTCTCTTGAACCAAAATTTACATGCTGACCAAGTATACTGGATGTAGGATTCTTACTATAGAATCTACTTTTTTCCCCATTTTTTTATTACCTATAAACCATGTTTATACCCCCTCTTCTTGATATGCTACTCTTAATGGTTAAGATACAATATCTATATACATGCACACTTTTTTCCCCATCCTAGTAGCTTTAATCATATCCAATAAAGAATCAAAGGGAAATTTACATGAAAAAAAGAACAGTTGTTTTTGTACAAAAGTTCAATTTGGCATACAAAATATTTTGTGCAATTTTTGCATGTATTAAAGAGGATATTTCAGTTTGTTGGTGACATCTCAAAGATACTTGTAGACTACAAGGTATTCTTGTTGGTGAAACAGACTACAGTTTAACACGCTTATAATGAAATGATGCTTATTATATATAGCAAAGTTATTTCCATTCTCCTTGACTTTAAAATAAATACTTAATGAATACATGTATAAGGAATTACACTTTATATAACAAAACAAAATTGTTGCTGGTCCCTTTGTTATGGCACTTTGTTATGGAACCTAAAATATAAGCAATGTTTTACTGCACTGGCTTGTTAATTATAAGAAAAACATGCAAGGACCAAAACCTTAATTTTACAGGGAATGACTTCCTGGATAAATTGATGGTCTATTTATCAGCAGACTCCCCCATCAGGGCCAGAGGAGAAATACATTGGATTAAGTTGTGTCAATCCTGCGTGAGACAGTGGGTTAAATTTCCCTGGGGGGGTTAATCTCTGGTCAAAGGCATCCATGACAACAGATGCTTATTGGTGAAAAAACTCATTATCTTGGGCTGACAGGGCATAGGGAAAGAGTAATTACACAAAATGTCATATTTTTCTTTGCTGAAAAAAATATTGTCCTATTATTAATATAAAAAAAACTGCACTTATAATGAAACCTTGCAGCTCCAGTTCAATATCTGGTCTGTTTTGTGAAGGTTAATTGTGAACCTTGAGATATCTAACACCTGGCTTGGTATATTTTTCTTAACTTTATATTATACTTTTAGCACCAAGGTAACATATTCTGAAATTTGTTTATTTATTGCTCAAACTCTGAACCATGTGCCTATTTAATAAACATCCAAAGCATTATCGAAATATCGCTTTTTAATTCATTTAAGATGAGCTTCTGATTAAAGGCAGTATGGCATTCCCCATTGTTACACAATAAAGCGATGCATCTGGAGATTATAGGTGTGCATCTTATCTAGTACGCAGAGAGCCATAAATCACATTATGAAATCTCCCCATTTTATTTACGTGTATCACGGCAAAATTTTTTTTTTTTTTTGATACACTGGCTAAGATAAGGTGTACTAGCTAGAAGCAACTGTGAGTCACAAAGCAAGATCTGAAATAATTCATCATAACTTTCCCCTATATACTATTGGTCACTGAGTCTACAAATTAGATGTTTGTTTGTTAATACACATTTGGCAGTTTAAGAGGGGCACTGCTCTCTTACAAAACAACACATGGCTGCAAGCAATGCACATGACGAATGATTAAATAAAGGAGCTTGGTCTCCAAATGTGAGACCGAAAATTAATATTTGATTAGACAAAGTAGGCATGGGTTCATAAGAACTTTATGTACTGAAACAGTCAAATTGTTATATTTCAGCATCCATTGAATGCTGTTAACATGGTGATTGATTCAATACACATCTAGTTCTAAAATAATGTATTAGTCAAACTCAGTGCCAGGGAGGCAATAAGTAACAGATTTAACAGAATGGAAGCATACATCATATATTGAACCTTATAGTAAACACTAAGTACGCATGAATAGATTGTATCATGTTGATTGCGACATCAAAACAGCTGATCGTCACAAATTCAGTCAGTCATGAATGACTGATACAATGCATATTATTGAACAATTCATCACATGAACATTAACTGCTAAGTAATATGTACTATGTAAACACAGAAAAACAAAAGATAGAAAGTGATGAAATTGATTCTTTAATTTGTTTATTGGGCTATTAGAACTTAAGTTACCTTAATATGCAAATAGGAGAACCCCTTCTTACTAAAGCAAGAAAATTTTCAAACCATAAAAAAAGAATGTACTTTTTAATACACTAAGGTCCCCCCAAGAAATTATCATATGGAATATATAGATTACACGTTTGATCTCAGGAGATAGAAGATTGAATGTAAATGGGCTCATAGTTAGAACATAAAATACACATTAAGTACTGCATGTACAGGTCAATATTGCCAATAGCTTTTCTCTTGTGTTATCAGATAAACATTATATTAAAGGTTGAATTGTTAATGCAATTTTTTATCTGTTTATAGACCTGTGAGTGAAAAAAACTCAAAATCTTCAAAATTTTAGCTGTAACCTGTCTGTAGCCTTTAGAGATATTTTTCTGACAAAAACCTTCAAAATTGATAATTTTTATGGCTTCTTCTTTTAGCAGCTGATTACGTTGCATCTCCCTGCAACAATTACTCTGTCAATCAAATACAACTAAATGCATTTTCTGGTTCATTTCTTAAATTCTTGGTATAATATACTATGATCTGCCTTGTTTCATTTTTTTTAAATCTAAATAACACATTTAAAGAAGAAAAATCAAAATTAAAATATCTGCATGATGCTAAGAAACTGTAGCAGGGTGTGTTTTAATGTTCATCATAACATTTAAAGCCCCCCCAAAAGATTTATCTTGCTTTTCATCAATAACTGGTTGCTTATTAGGTTTGAGATATTTCAACTAACCCTTGATAAAATATTAAACCAACCAACATGTTCCAAAAACAACATCAACTGGGCATGCATGTGCATATCCTATCTATTTTTCATTAAGGGCCAAGACTCAAAATTTAAACAGACCTTTTTTAAGCTTAGTACAAAAGATAAATAACCAATTACTATGATAGCATCTTAATAGCTAGTTAATATCATTATGATAAGTTATAAAGTTGTTGTAATAAAGCATTGTGGTTACAAACCTTAATGTGAGTGGTTTCCCTTGGTAATCTATTGTGGTAGAACACTGGTTTTATTACTTGAAAACGCCTTTTGTCTGGCAAATTTCGCTTAACTAAATTATCACCTACAAAAAAGAAAACTTGGTGAAAGCATGACTGATTATGAACTAATTGTCAATAACTCCCAAAATACAGTAATGCAAAATTTAGTAGCTTGCTAATTCTATAGTAAATACTTAGTGCATTCAACAACTAATATATAGTATTATAGCTTGCAAACTTATACAGATGTACATAACATAACTAAAAACTAGGAAAGTTTATAAATATGGAATGTATTAGTGTTCATGTGAAATAGGTGCGAAATTTTGCTACAAACTTCAAATATCTTGAGATTAGCTTGTAAAGTTTGTAAAAATAACATGTACTTTACATCAGGAAAATTTTCTTCAAACTTTATATTTACTATAGAGAAAACTTCTATTCATTTTTTTTATCTGGTACGAATATATTTTATTTCATTTATTAGCCACTTAGAAATTGGGTCACAGCACTTTCTCTTTATAAGTATTTCAAAAATGATAAACAAAGAACGTTTCTATATGTCATTTCTTATTTCATTCACTACTGCATTCAAAAACCAATTCAATATTCAATGTCAACTGAAATATAATGTGGTAAAAAAGCAATATTGCAAGTGGTGAATTTTAATAAATTTAATATAATAGGTCAGATAGAGAATATTATTCAATTTCCCATTTTCCAGGTCTAATTAAGATTCACCCCTACAATTACATTAAAACCTGACAATTTCTAAAACATGATATCTTGTTTTAATGAGTCATAAAGACAAAACAATCCCTGTGCATCTTATGTTTTATTGTTTTGTGAATGGGATGGGTTCATCTGCATATTCTTAGTGAAATAACATGCTTCAAAAACACAAGTAAACTTGAATGGTTTAAATTTTGGTTACCTAAAACTGAAGTCAATTGTAGAATATCCAGTAACAAAAGAAAAATTGCATGTTTCCCCATCCTCTTTTTCGACCATCTTCTCTTTTTCACTACAAAGTATCTTGTGAGGTAAACGAAAAGATAAGTAGGTCATCGGACGAAACAGCAAGAGATGTTCCGAATGAAATATTCATTTATGAAATTTGTTATTACCAAAACGAAAAAAAGGGGATTTTTTACGATCCCGATGTTTTAACAAATTTCAATAAGTTATAAAATGTTGCTCTGAACATTTTCAATAGTATTACAACAATGTTTATAGCATAATATAATAACAACAATGAGAATATCTTAGATGCATTTGATAGCATTATTTCCCTGCCTACTTAGATCTAAGTTCAAAATTCATTTTTTAATATTGATTTAAATATCGATATGTATATTTTTTTTAAATTAAAAAAGAGAAAACTAACTCTACATTTTTAACTTACCATTATTATTCATTCATTCTTTGTTTTGAATTTAATAATTATAATTAATTGATTATTTTATCCAATCTAATTAAAATTAGATCCTTTATGCTCCTTTATTTTGTTATGTCGCTGTAAGGCGACATAACAAAATAAAGGAGCGTAACGGATCTAATTTTAATTAGATTGTTATTTTATCTTATTTATAAAATTTTTGTTGTTGTTTGTTTGTTTGTTCACAAGTCAATTTCAAAAGAAATTAATGGAAAATCGATATATTTCAAACCCGTCACCTTGAAAGAACAAATATTCCTTTTCACATGTTTATAAGTGTTACATAAGTGTTCTTCTCTTTTCTTTTTTTTTTTTTTAAAGGAAGATGTTTTGTTGTTTCAGGGGAAGGGGGTTATACTAACAGATCACACTGACAATACGCCAAATATGTAGATTTTTATGTCCAATTTCAAATGATATACAAGTACGAACTTTTACTGAATCAACGAATCAACAGTTTCCCCTGTCTCTCTAGATTTTTTAAATCGGGTTCGCAGTTGAAACTTTTAATACGAAAACGAGGCTCTTGACTGGATCGCGGCAAAATTGCAAGACTTTGTTATTACAAAAAAGTATCCATTTGACGAAATGTGAACAAATTAGTGCAGTTCTGTGATGAATACATGGTAATTATTGAATATTTATTTAAGAAAAATGAAAGTCAAGTGATGTTAACGCCCTTCAGATGCGCTATCGTTAATGTTTTTATTTTTCAATGTGGAGTGGTAAATATTAGACGCCATTACGATTTTATTCCGAATCGACTCTGTCGTCGTAAGCAAGCACTCTGAAAACATAGTATGCACCGACTGAATAGAATAGGATATGCACGAAATTGTAGACTTTCATCATGCATTTATTCATATTTAAAAAGTCAATTTCGATGAAGTTCCAGGATAAAGTCTTCAATAACATGAATTAGAGTAATTAAGCCATGTGATGATTATGATGTAAGAAAAATGCAAGTCTTGCAAGCCTTAGGATGTAAATGCATAGACCAAAGTAGAGCAAGTAATATAAATTTAGATGTAACCAAAGAAATCCAACCGTATTTTACTATGCATACTTGATTTTGTTTAGTTTATATCATGTTTTGCTCTGCCTATTCTCTGTTCATGAGATTAAAATGGGTTTTGAAGTGGATAGCACTCTAGCTCACTCACCAGTCGCAACAAATTTTCTGAGCATTGGGGAGGGGAAGGGGGCAGGTATATGTGAAATTGTGTTGAAGTGTTAAAATTATGTTCCAAGTGCCATTAAAAACTTTTATCATTAAAGAGGAAAAGCAGTTATCTTACATAGGTGATCAGACCTAATATTATGCATCATATCAGACAGTGAGACTGTATGTAATATTTCAACTGCAGAGTAAATTAGTCCATTCTAGTGCATTCTGCAGGAAAATGAAAAGAATTATCTGCATATGAATTCATTGAAATATACCTTAAAAAGATTAGCTATTGATTATAGACCCATTTAAAAAAGTTGTTTATGTGTGTTTAATTATTAATGATCAGTTTCTAGGGGAAATTGATTTGTTCTTGTGAGCATTTGACTAAACTGAATGACGATATTAAAAAGGGTGAGAGATCTTGTACAGTTAAATACCATAGATATGTCAAGGTTATTTGGAAGTTTCAACCACTTAAACATCTATTATAGTAAGCATATATTTTACTCTCAATTCGTTAGATGCCTTGAATTTTTTTTATTAATCTCAAAGTTCGAGAATTAAATGTTTTATTAATACACAGCTAGTCTATGCTGAATTATATTCATAAGCTTTAATTTATACATGCAAAGGATGGATTTAAGAACTTAAAAAAAAAAATGACTTAGCTTTGAATTAATGCTTGAAATGGAAAAAAAGAAAAGAAACAAGTAAAAAGAAGATAGCACGTCTAGTGAAAACAAATTAAATTCAGACTTCTGCATTCAGTGTGGACATCTTTGCTAGCCAAGGGTGACAATCTGCTTCTCTCCTCTTAAGAAGAGGAGAGCAGCGGATCGTCACCATTGGCTAGTGAAGATGCATTGTGATAGGAATTTTCAGATTTCACAAAACTAACATTCAGTAGTACAATAATTATAGTAAGTTACTTAAATATGAAGTAAAATATCATTTTACATTATATTTAATAAATTACCATATCATCTAAACAACATGAACAAGTCAGATATAAAGAAGATAAGTGAAAATATCAATGACATTTGGTTGATATACTGTGTGTTAAAAACTATTGTAATTTTAGAAGCAAAGTTTATCATAGTAAATACAATGTGTGTGTTAAAAAAACATAGTAAATTTAGGAGGAAAGATAGTAAATAGAGGTACTAATTGTTCCATTGTATACTTATTGATAGTAACCTGCTGTGAAGCATTAAGTACTTATACACTGTGTCTTCCTGTTTTGCAGTCTCTGGGAAGTAACAAGATGTCAGAACAAGCACCTGCACCAGGCTCAAGTGATCAACTAGGTGACACATTTATTATCATTAAAAAAAAACTTTTATATAATAGCTAAAACTGAATGTAAAAATTATATGTGCAGTTGTTTATGATGGTCCTATTATTTTGATTTTATGAATATTTCTAATGGTATAAACAACTTGCCCTGCCATGAGCAATTTGTGTCCTCATTATTTGTTACTTTGATTTTATGACTATTTTATTTTACAAAGTATTATAATATAAACAGAACTTAACTTTTGCCCTGCCATTGATGCTTTAGATAGCAGGATTAGTGAGTGAGGTTGATAAAGAGCTCCTGTGGCTGCCTGTGCTAGGCTGATTTGTTAATTTATATCAAATTACACTGCCTGCAGATTATCATAATTATCATGAATTTGTAAGTACTATATATTGCTGATAACAATCTGAATAACATTGACACAACGTTTGATTCTGTACCTTTTTCTCCATTTAAATTCAGATGTGAATATTAAAAGAGATTTCACAATTATTAGTCGGAACTCCAATAGCTGCAAACAATACATAATAGGGTTTCTTTCCGTGTGAAGTAAACATAATGACGACTAAAAACATGCCAGATCTCATTTTATCAACAAGGGGGACTGTAATCATAGCATCTGGCACCACAAGGGTTAAAAGTGATCATATTTAGCCACTTGTACATGAATTTAGATAAGTTGATTAGTTTTTGTTTACTTTTTGTAATTTTATTAAGTTTTGAATCCATGTTTGCAGGTCCTTCTGTCCAGCCCATAGTCGCCAAGGATCTGGACGGCAACTATGTGTACTATCTGCCAGAAAAACCCGTCACAGAGGCAGCGAAGTGTGGAGATGACTCAACTGTGAAGACCCCAGTGTCGGCTTCATCCACACAGCTTAGTACAACAGAACAAGTGATAACGCTATCACCTGCCAAATCTGGGAATAGTAATATAGTCACAATAAATTCAGAGAATATCATTGGCCGATTTGATCCAGAAACACTCAACTCCCTAAACAAGCTTCTGGAAGAAGTTGATCCAGAAACGGAGTTAAATCTGAGCAGTTCTAAGGAAAGTGTGAACACAAAGAGTGATTTGACAGTGAAAAGTTCTAGTTGCATTTCTAACCCAGTGTCTTTGGCAGTTTCAGTAGGGACTCAGGGCAATGGTCAGATATTCCAAGTCACGGCAGAGATACATAGCAGTGGTCAATTACAACCACCCCCTGCAGGATTACAAAGCAATGGTCAGATAAACCCAGTCCCAGCAGGAATACAGAGTAATGGTCAGTTGCAATCAACCCCCACAGGGATACTGAGCAATGGTCATTTATCCCAACACACAGCAGGTATACATAGTACTGGTGGATTACAACCACCCCCAGCAGAGCTGTGTAGCAGTAGTCAGCTACTACCTCCTTGTCCACCAGCAGGGGTACAAAGTAATGGTCAGTTGTCCCAAGTCCCAGCAAGAGTACTAACAAGTGGACAGTCATCCTCAGCTTTAGAAGGGTTACAGAGCAGCGGTCAGTTAAATCCAGTCCCGACAGGAATACAGGATAATGGTCAGTTATTTCCAGTTGCTTCAGAGATGCAAAGCAGTGGACAGTTGTCCCAAATCACAACAGGGATTCAAAGTAATAGACAGCTACAACCAGCCCCACCTGAGGTGCAGGCTACTGGTCCGTTACCTCCAGCAAGTACTCTTCTGTCCTCCTTAAAACCCATCAATTCAGACAATTCAGTCTTCAATTCCACCATAGACAACAATGTAGCAGATCAAAACACAAACTGTAGATTACAGACTGAAAATAGTGTCAGTGGCCTACATGCAAACTCTGTCTCTTTTGGTAACCCAGTGACAATTCCATTGGAAAGTAACATCCCAGTGTCTCAGAAATTTCCTGCCTTGGAAACAACTCCTCTCAAATTTACAAATCAGACCAATGTTGGAAAAGAACTACATTTACAAACACAAACTATTAACCCGAACTTGGTGCCACCAGCAGTCAATCAAAATATAAACACTCAAAATCAGACTAATGTTTCTTTACAAGCAATGGAGACTGTGCTTTCCATGCCTTTAGGTATTCTCAATTCAATTCCTATGTCTCAAAATATGAACCAGTTGATAGTTCAAGAACAAAGAAATAATGCTACTGAACACCCTGTGAAAACATTGCAGACTTTGACAACTCACTCCCAATGCCTTCCTCAAGTAAATGCACAGTCGATCTATCAGAAAAATGTTATTCCCCAGTCTGTGTACCAGCCTGTATTACAGAATACATCTCTACCTGGATTCCAGTCACTTCAGTGTAACTTGGCTCTCTCCACATATCAACCTGTTCAAGTGTTTTCAACTCCATCATCTCAGTACCAACAGAGTAGGATGTCCACCCCAAAATACATACCTCAGTTGGATACTAACATGACTACCTCAACATCTTACCCTTACAATAATCAGAGTCGGTCAAATCTTGATCTGCAGCCCACAGCAAGTGGTAGTCAGTTGACAATCGTTCAAGATGGAAGATCTTGTTCCCAGCCAATTCTTACAGACTTGAATATGAATACCATCCAACATCAGAACTCTGATATTTCAGGCATGCTTTCATGCATTGATCAAATATCGGCCAAAAATCCACTCCCGGCATTCCTAGAGCAAACTAAATGTTTGTCCCCAAATGTTCAAAATTACAGCAGAAATGGGTATACTCATCATTTAGGTTTACCAGTTCAGAGTGTGTCCAACCAGGGATCCCTGTACAATATGAATGCTGCTCATCTACAGACATCATCTTTGAGACAACACTACCCTACAAATCTTCCACAGCCCCAGGGGACTAGTGTGCTCCCCTCCCTGGCCCCATCTGTAGCTTCCATGCCAATGGTGAATAACTTCAGCATCCAATCAAACAAATCTTTGACTAATGATGTTACACACCCCAGTTCAAATTATCTGTCATCTGCAACAACCAGTTCAGGTTACCAGAGTCCAGGACTGCAAAGGCATAATCCCCAGTCCTGTTTACAAAGGCCACAAAGCAACACTCCAAGTTACTTTTCAGGCAGTGATGTGGGGTACCTGCAGAATGCCGAACCACAAATTACCATACAAAAAAGTCAACAGTCTCGTTCAAACCATCCCCTGAAGTTGATGCCAAAAACCCAAATGTTGGCCGTGAAGAAAGCAATCAGTATGTACTGGCCGGACTTTTCTAACTATCCAGAAGTGTGCACCTGTGAGAAGTTTGACATGGGAAATGAAATACACGTGGAGCAGATCTGGTTGCATATGAACCAGATGTACTACTTGCCACAGATACAAATTCTTGCCATTGGAACTGACGAATTCGTAGGTATCGTAAGGGATGAAAAGTATTATGTTAGTGTTGGGGAAATCATAATGCGTCTGCTTCCAAAACTTCAGAGAGAAGTGGAAAGTTACATTCCACAAAGCAAATGTGAGGTGGAGCTCATGACATTGGAAGAGCTGGCGTACCTTAAGCAGCGAGGATGCACCAAGTTTGATATTTTTGAGATGATTTCACTGGAAACCTTGAGAGAAATGTGCAGATTTTTATTGAACAAAAGCTCCAAACTCAGTTCGGAGTTGAGCAAGCTAGCAGAAGCTGCAACTGGTATTTACTATAAAAAGGTCTTGGAAAAGCACACAAGATGTTCCAAGTGTGGGGGAGCTATAAAATGCAGTGACATTCTAGATCGATATGAAGCCATTGATTGTCCTGTGGGAATTTCTTCCAAAGAGCAAAGATTGGCGCTTCTACAAAGGACCTATAGTGACAAAAAATTTGCACTAAGACAAAAAGAGGTGATAGAAAGTGCATTCAGTAAGAAAAAATCATCACCACAAAGTAGTACTAAAACAGGCAAGAAAAATATCAGTATTAAGGTTGGACGGTTGTTAGTGGGTGGAACTCAGTTCAACACCTTCAAGATCAATGACAAATGCTACATCTCCCTGAAAGAGTTGGTGGCTTTCAAAATCTCGACCTTGCAGGTGCTTCAGAACCGGTTAGCTAACTTGGAGTACAGACCTCGACCAGCCCCTTCTTGTGTTGAAAGGCATTTCATTCAAAACAACATCGGAGTTCACAACACCCTATGGCTTGACACTGTGATCGTTCGCTGCATGTGTTGTTTGGGGCAGCAGAAGACGCAGATGCCTCTACAGAAGCATTTCAAGTGTGGAGACTTTGAAGACTTGTGGGAGAAAGAGCTGGAAGGCACAGACGATTGTGATGTAAATGGTACCGTCTTTACGCTCAACCCCAGTACAATCACCATCTCCAATAGGAGGCTCTCACAGCGAAATAACAGTGCAGAGCCCCTCAAGACTGTGAAAAAAAATTCAGTGGGACCCTCCATGTCGACTGAAGGAGAAACGCTGATCACAATGTGTTCATGTAAAAATCTTGCCAAGAAACCCTTGACAATACAGATGAGAAATTTGACATCTCATTTAAAAACATCAACTGGGTCTGTATTATTTACAACCAAACCTGGATATAGAGAATACACTAATAGCCCAAAACCTAGAAGAAACAGAGTTTCAATTTCACCTTGGAAGACTCAGAAAGTGTTGAAAGATGTCAATCTGGATAGCACTTCATTGGATAGAAGTCTGGATAGTCAGCCTATGGCACTTGGCAGTTTGAACACAGGAATAGAACAAGATGCACAAGCGGATATGACGGAGGAATCCATTCTTGAAATAGCTGCACGAGAAGCAATGCTTATGCCAGAGGACTTGAACGAGGACTCAGATGGAATAGAGTATCCTAGGTCAGTGGATTCTGTGATTCAAGCCATAGGAATGGGAGACGAACTTCCTTCTGAAGATTTTGTAATGCAGGAGATTGAGAAAGGAGGACTTAATCTTTTCGATGGAGTTCTTAGTGCTAGTATTTGTGGGGACTCCAAGAATCAGTTTGAGGATAGTGACAAAGTAACAGTCAAGACACCTCAAAAAGTAGCCTCACCAAGAAAATCTGAACCACCCAATCAGAGAAATCCATCAAAGTCGAGCAATGAAGAGACGTCAGTAATGCCAAGAAGGACAGAAAGTAGGACAAAGAAAGTTCCTAAGCGGTTTGAAGAATTTTTAGTGGAAACTGACAAAAAAGTGTTACAGAGCAAGAAGGACTCAAAGAAAGAAGATGGTCTGTGTACAACAATCAAGCATGATGATATAGGGGCCAAAAAGAAGCTGAAAAATGTGAAAAAGGTGCAGATTCTGCGTGCACCCGAGTTCAGGGAAAAAATCAAAAATGGTGAATTGGATGGAAGACTCCTTCAAGTTATTAGACATTCAGATCTAGACGGAATTACGGAAATGGTGCCAAGGAACCCAGAAGAGGCCGCCTCTGTCAGTCCAATTGCTGACACCGAAACTAATCAAGCTGAGGTCAGCGAGAAAGTCGAGGAGTGTGAAAAAAGTCAGAGTTCAGTTTCCTCAGCAACTTCTTGTGACAATACTACTAGTGGGATTGTCACCCCAAGTGCTGGAGAAAGTGTCTGTGTCTCAGAGCCATCAGAACTTATAAATTCGAAAGAACAAGAAGAAAAGTCATCTGAAGTGATAAACGAAAACAACATTGAAATTCTGTGTTCTCCAATAAAAAACATGGACAGTGCTAGCTGCTCTGCTAGTCCAAACACCAGTACTTCATCCCTTTCAGAGGAATTGAGGACCTCAAGAATTAAAAGAGTTTATGACAAGGTTGCAGCTTTAGAATCATCTCAGGACGAGTATAGGATCCTTCACATGTTGGCAACAGTGGCTGAAGTTGTGACTGAGTCAAAGGACGAACAAACTAAACATGATGTTACAGTGTCATGTGACCAGCAAGAGAGTGAGAACGTTATTAGTGCTAAAGACACGGAAAATAGTGCTAAGAGTGATGTATCCACAAACAATGTGAAAAGTGGTGGTGATTCATCGGATGAAGTATCTACGGAAAGGCAAAATTTGGACACCAGTGAAACAATCCATTCAGTGAAGCATGTGACTGAAAGTGCATTGTTAAATGCAGACAAAGACATAAGTGACAGAGACATCCAATCGAATGATAGATCAGAAATAACCAATCAAACATCAGAAGTGAATGGAACAGAGTTAACCAATGAAAAAGTAGCATTAGAGCCTATAGAAGATGAGAGTGTTGTGAAAGACGATGTGCCAGTATTATATTCTCCGTTGTTGTTCGATGATGAGGCCTTCTCGGATCACGATGACGAAACATTGATGGAAACTCAGGTGAAACTGTCTCCAAAAAAAGATAAAGAATCTGAATTGCAAGAGAGGTTGTCAAAATTTGTTGGTGCAGTAAATAGATATGTGGATGTCACCGAGTTCCAGAGAGAGCCGGGTATTGCCACCAGCAGGGTGCGATTTATACAGGGAGCAGAGGAAGCTTTTCCAGGTGAGTGTTGATATTTGTCATTGTGTCTACAAAGGTTCAAATATGCATCTTTGATGAGTCATATTTATGGGGTTTTTTTCCTTTTAAACTTGAATATTAGTTTATAATAACAGATAATACATGAACCAATTTTTCCTTTTCAGTTGAACTTTGGATGGAATATAAGTGATGGAATATCCATCCATAACTCTTCCATAATAACAGTCTTACACTTGTTAGCCATCTCACCATCCTATCTTACACCACTGAATGCAATTAAATGAATTTCTCAAAAAATTTTCATTGCCTATTGTCATCTATTTCATTTTTCGACTTGACAAATATTTTGGGTTAATATCTCATACCTTAAGCAAAACATGGACTTTGCCTTTGCACCAAAGTGCATGGGTACCCCTTTCTTAGTTGCAACTCCTAACCCTCTGAATTAAACTACATGTAGTACTTTTGCCGTGCTAACAGTACACCTGCTGTTTTATCTCGTTACAGGTCTCTATGGTGATGACGGACTCCAGAGAAGGAAAACATTTGCCGTTTTGTTGAATCGTATGTTGTATCACCAGGATGAACTTACAAAACAGGTCAGTCTTGTCATTGATTTAAAACTTGATTCATTTGTGTGTGGCAAATTGTGATGTAGTCTGTTGCAAGTCAGCAGACATCACAAAAAAAACGAACACCTGCATTTTGTTTGTGGCTAATTATAAGTTTGCAAAATAACACTTTTATATTTGATGCATCTGTACATGTAAGAGTGTTTCAAACTGCAGTTCTTTTCCATAAAAGTCAGCAAATTTATACAAATGACTGGATAAGAGATTTTTTTTAAAACAAAGAATGATTATGTTATTGTATCTTCAAAGAAATTTAACAAAAACAAAAATCCAAATAAACAATCATTTTTCTCATGTTCTCATTGGTCTATTCTGATGATATGTACTTTATTCAAAAATATCCATAAAGATCATTTACGGTAATAAGAATTAAAATCAGAGGAACATGATGAGTGAAATGATTGCAAATGCTATAAGCTAACCATTCATGTAAGATGGAAATTTGATACTTTTAAACAACGTCTGATTTAACATAAATATCATTGTAAATATTCAGAATATCTCGTGAAATTATGCATTTATTTCAGGTTCAGCAAGATGATGAAAGCAGTTTCTCTAAAAGTCTCTCATCAGTAGGCAGTGCTGTCAAAAGTGGGAAAAGTTGTTCTGGAATAAAGAGTGCCTCTAAAACTAGCTCCCAGAAGAGTAGTAAAAGTAGTTCTAGGAGACGGGTTCCCTCGCGAGACAGTTCATTTGAGAAGACTCCTTGTGCTAAGAAAAGAAAGCTCTGCTGGTTTGTAATTTTGAAAAGAATAATGCTTTACAGAAAATACACTGGGTTATTTTTGCCCCCATTTCAAAATTAAATTTTCCAATTAATATTTAACAGAGTATATGTTCAAGAGTTAATGTTGCCATCTTCTTTTATTTTGATTTGTTTTTAAGTTTTGCCACATTCAGTGAGAGCAAATTTAAGGGACAACAATTACATAGACAAAAAAAAAGTTTTACTGAACTGATTACAGATATTTTTCAATAGTTTCATATTATTTGAAAACAAGTTCTGCTACAGATAAGAGAGATTTTTTAATCTTGTAGAATATTACATCCATCACAGCTGGAAAAGAAATGGTCAGAATTTGTGCAACTCCATCGCTTGCTAAAGAAACAGAGAAAACTTGTGAATTTATGTGCCAATCCTGTGACCTGCAAAAGAAGAGGAATAGAGAATCAGTGAATTCATATGCAACTACATCAACTGTAAAAGAAACAGATAAAATGTGAATTCACATGCAACTCCATCACTTGCCTAAGAAGTGTAAATTAAAGAAAATTTGTGAATTCATGTGCAGCTACATCACCTGCAAAGTAATTTTGAGTAATATTGAATTTGTGAAATCATGACCAATTCCATCAATGGCAAAAAACCCAGAGAATTTGTGCGAAACTCCATCACTTGCCAAAGAACGTATTTGAGAATTTGTGAATTTTTGTGCACCTACATCACTTAAGACTGAAGTGATGACAAAGTGTCCAAATAGGATCTACTATCCTACTGTGTTCATATACATAAAAACAATCTAAACACTCCTGTTATTTCTCACGTATGCCTTGTTATTGAATTGTTAAGTAGTGAATTAGCTCCCATTGGAAAATACTAGTCATTTTTTGATCTTCATCATGTTTTTATGTGTTCTCTAAATGGTTTTGTTTTCAAATTAATTTTTTGTGATTTATTCACATTGTTTTCTGTTTATATCGTGTTAGGTTGTTACTTCGAAAGACATAAAATGGCAAATTTAATAGTCGTAATTTAATAAACTATGTGTTCGATGGAAAAAAATGTTTAACTTTAGGTAGTTTATATCTACATTTAGTTTAATTACCTAGTAATTACTATATTAAACTGGCAATACCATTAAAACACTGCCAAGAATGGGGTTGTATTTTAAAAAAAGAATTTTAACTTCTATTTTATGTTGTATATATTTTGGCATAAGCAAAATTGTTTTATTCTGTCTGTTAGTACCCACCAAGTTCAAATCAATGTATCAAATTTAAACTGCGTGTTGCATGCAATTTTTCTCTGTCTTAATAATTGGTTGTAAAACTGAGTGCCATTATTGACTTTCAGAATTAGATTACGTATTAAGTTGTACACTGATTATTCCAGGTATGTCATAGATAATCTGTCATTTTACTCATCACTCTGTTAAACATATATAAAATATATTTCCATTGGTTGAAATGTTTGAATTACATCCATAGGATGGAGTTTCCAAACTGTTGAATTTGATATTCCTTACAAAATGTGTTCCAGTTATACATGTACATGTTATTGTGTTTACATTTGATTTTGTTTACATTCATCTGAACGTTTCTATGCCCTCCTTAGAAGAAGGGAGTGCATATTGCTTTGCTGCTGTCGGTGGTTTGTCTGTCTGTCAGTCCACCCAAAGTTTCCATTCATTTTCTTCGCAGAGATTGAACTTACTGAAATGAAATCTGCTATTCAGATTTATCATAAGAATATTTAGGGCAAATCCTGTTTTGGGTACAATCGAGCAATTTTTGACAGGGTTATGCCCCTTGACTTGAAAAAAACATTAGGCTATCTAAATTTAATTCCTTGGTTCTCAGGCCAATTTTCTCCAAAACAGATGCGGGAGAGCGGCATTTTATTTTTCATTTTATTGGCAATAAAGTAGATGAGGGAGGTATTTTTTTTTATTTTAATTTCCGAATTTTCTTTAACATAAAGATATTTTTTTTTAATCACAGATATACTTTCCATTTCTGGTCAAATTTCTGCTTTATCCATTGCTTAACAGCGTGTAAACATCGTAGGTAATGTCCTCGAATGTATTTTCAAACGAAGTAGCCAAAATCTCATTGTAAATGGCTACCGGAAGTGATATTTGAATACTAAACTACGAATCAAATGAGGTCGGAAAATTTTTTCCCGGATTGGTCTCCGCAATACCAACTTTTTATTTTATCAAAAATACAATAAAATCGGCAATGCGGCTACCTCAAAACAGATGCGCGCGGGCCTGAGAACCAAGATTTCAATTTTATATGGCCTTACAATTATTTGCAGTTTCGGATCATTTTCTTTGCAGAGGTTGCACATACTGAAATGAAATTTGGTACACAGATTTATCATAAGAATGTCTAGGTCTTTTTTTGTTTTGTCTATGATCTCGAATGTTTGACAGGGTTATGCTCCTTAGATTTGGAAAAATTCCAATACTGCTGGGTTGGGCATAAGTGTTTCACAAACATCTCTTGTTAATTTTCTTACAAAATATTGATAAAGATCAAGTAATAACTTTTACAGAAACAGTTTTTGCTATGATTTCAGTCTTTACATTCTGCAAATTCCCAGTTGTCAAAACTGGAAATTGAATATTTTCATTACTGTTTTAAAATTTTTTTTGCTAAAGACTAATTGGTATCCTTGAAAGACGTTGGGAGAAAATTATATTTATAAAGTCAATGCTAGTGGATAAAATATCTGAAATCAAGCAAGACCAATACTTTTTTCAACAAAAAAAAAATTGTGCTTTGATTTTTTTAAACAGCTTAGAAGATCAAATTCTCTAAAACCAAGTAAGATCCAAAAAATGTGTGCAGAGCTGTATAACGTATTTAATTTTAATTATTATAATTTTATCTAGTTATGAAAACGTGAAAATGATATATGGTGCCTAAAAGTCCTTATACTTCAAAAAAGATATTTGTTCCCATAAACCTCTAATGTGTATTTTAAGCATCTTTGCATTAAAAAAAATTAATTTAACTTTTCATAGAAATAAAAAAATTTTACTCCTATTTTCCTTTGCCTAAAAAGTTTTTTTTTTAAATTTTAGATAGTCTCTTGTTTTCTTTCTTGACTGCTAGAACTATATATATTGCTGGTTAACAAAATTGGACTTCGAAATTTCCAGAACTGACAGAATAAGATCTTGATAATTTTAATTTATCCTAAACTGTGAATCAGTAAAGCTAATTGGGATATTAATCTTTTTCTGTGCACCATGTTGAATTGAAGTTGTATATTTCTTTTAATAATTATATTGTTATCACAGCGTTCTCATTTTGAGTATGGGTAGAAGTATGTTATTCAGTAAATTTTATTTTTGAATGAGTTATTTTCTTTTGAAATGAATTTGCCCGTATTTTGATCTTGATTTTGAAATGTAGAATTATTTGTAAGCATGCTTCATAGGACTTTTTCTGTCTTTTTTTTTTTAAGTAAAAATAAATAAAAGACCGTTTTTAATGATCATTTTTCACTACTTTTACCATTTGCAATCAATGAAATGTCTATGCCCTTTTTTGTTTCAACATATGTGTGAACACTGTATTTTTTTTATTTCCACATTGGAAAGTATGTTTGTCATAAAAATATTATTGGTGCTTTGTTTTTTTATTACTGAATCTGTTTAGTTTTTTTGTAGCAGGTAGCTAACTTACTCAGTATTGCCTTAACAACATATTATTTGTAGAGTAAAAATACAAAAAACTGTATAAATAATGGTTTAAATTTTAATATAAACATCAACTATTCTTCAAAAATAAATGTTATATGACATTTGTATGTTTTAATATGTAAATGGGATGAAGATAATATGTGTCAGAGATACTTGTAGATTACATTGAGTACTGTAAACCAGCTTTTATTTGTGTGCGAGAAATTTTCGCTAGAGTCTCATCATTGGCGAATATTTCTTGCTGCAAACCAATCCTTAAAGTCTCTGTGTCTATTAACAACAGATTTTTAAAAAAAGGCTTGATCATAAAAATTAATCGTCACAAACTACTTTGCCCCTGGTAAATCGCGAATTAATTTGGTGTACAGTATGTAAATGAGGCCCATGGACTGTATTGCTCACATGATTCACCTTGGTCCTGTTGGTCTTCAGAGCAGTGACTCCATCCCACCAACCCCATGGCCTTCCTGTGAAAATTCTTTGAATCTGCACTACCTGAAGACGCTTGCATATAAATATCACTTATCATAACAATGCCACTATGAAGTTCAGATTATTAATATTTCCACCCTATATATTCATATGTAAATTTTTTTATTTTGAATTATGACCTCACCCTACTTACTCCTGGGACCATGACTTGAATACCATGTCAGGAAGCTTTCACACAAGTGTCATCTTTTTGGGGGCCTAAATGGTTGTTACGAAAAAGGGTTTAGAATTAAAACCTGTACGACACTTGAGTATTAATATGAGTAAAGGCCCTTCTGTTCTTCAAAGTTTTTAGCTCACCTGAGTTGAAAGCAAAATTGATCTTTTCTGATCACATTTATCTGTCAGCTAAATGTACATCTATCTGTCTATAAACTTATCACATTTTCAACAGAACCACTAGGCCGATTTTAACTAGACTTGCCACAAATGTTTCTTTGTAAAAGGGAATTCATGTTCAATTGAAGGGTCACACAAAAATGTTTAGAAAAAATCTGGAAAGAACAGTAAAGCCATGCTTAGTCATATTGATATGGAAGCATCTAAAGGTAGAGTGGATTTAAATATGTTCAAATCATTAACCCCCACCCCCAGGGGAAGGGTGGGGCCAATAATGAACGATGAAAGTTTTGTATAGGAAAAAATCTCAAAAATAGCAAAGCCATGTTTTGTCATATTGATATGGAAGCATCTTCAGGTAGTGTATATTCAAATGATGACCCCTGGGGATAGAGTGAGGTTACAATATTAATGGGCAAACAAAGTTTTACATAGAAATATACACACTCTACCAAAAAAATCTTTCTCTAGGACAGCAAAGCCATTATTAGCCTCTAGGTTAATCATGTAATCTATCTGTTTTTGTCCACTGGTGTGCATCATCGTCAGCTTCTTTTTAGGAACCTTTCATCCAGTTGTGGCATATGGCATCAATGAGTGAAGGGGAATTAAACTTGTCCCTCTACTAGGGCTGAGGGGTGGGGCTAAAAGCATCAAAATTAATGGAATCATTAAAAATTTTCTTTATTCTATCCCAGATATCAAGCATTAAAACTGTTCGCCTGATTATGATAAGCATTGAGCCCTCTTCCAATACACTGTATTTCATTACCACAGGGTCGGGGTTCTGGTGTCAAGGTGAGATTCTGTTGAATATATGTACTGATAGTAAATTGCATCATTTACACAAGATGTGTTTGTGAAACACTGATGCCTCCGTATGGCAGTTTAATGGCAAGGGTTGAATTATCCCAAATTCATGTCAAAGTCCAAAGGTTAAGGTCAAAAGTGGTGGTACCCAAAGGAAGGTCTTGTAACAAGAAATACACCTGTGAAATATGAAAGTCCAATCTGATTAAAATTAGATCCTTTGATCCGCTCACATAGATCGCTACACAAGGATCTGAAGAAACCCCATTCAGGGTCATCTTCTGGTGACCTTTCTAATAAAAATATTCATGAAAATTTTGACCAATCAGAGAGGTTGTACTAAAGGGACATTCGGGTAAACAAAATTAGAAGTGAAAATAGCTGCGGAGAAGATTTTATTGTTTCGTACAAAACAAAGAGCTAAAAAACAAGACAAAAGGAAGTACTTATTATATTACTGTACAGAAAAGACTGTGGTCCTTCTTTTGACAGGCTACAGAAACTAGGTCATGATTTTTCCATTCGTGTATCATCAGGGCCTTTTCCCTCTGTAACTGAATTCCGAGATACTTTCCAATTCTCCTACGTAAACATTAGATTGGATAATTCAAAGGTCACAAGGAGATGACCCCGAATGGGGTTTCTTCAGATCCTTGTGTAGCGATCTATGTGAGCGGATCAAAGGATCTGATTTTAATCAGATTGTATGAAAGTCCTATTTCTAACTGTTCAAGAGTTATGATCAAGGTTAATGTTTTTAAAAAGTGGGTCAAACTCATAGGTCAAGGTCAAAAATATTTATAAGGTCAAAAATATTTATACCAGCTGAAAGGTCTTGTCACAATGAATACACATATGAAGGATGAAAGCCATAACCCACCTACTCAGTAGTTAGGGGCTAGTTTGAAGTTGACAAAAGACAGAGAGACGATGCAAAAACAATATACCCCCGTGATCTTTCTATCAGGGGGCATAAAAAATATCTCCTGGTCCTAGTATTAAGCAAACAAAGTACATGTAAATGCATAGTAATGATGATATCTGTCTCTTCCCAAATTGTGAATTAAATGCCCCAGGGTTAGGGGTTCTGGTGTTAGGCTTTATTGGATTACATAGTGAAAATACAATTATTCTTAACATTTTCTCCTCCTCTCTGGTATGAAGGTAATGAACTGTGTGCATGGTTATAATGAGCAAGTGCACCTTTTACAAAAATGTAAATTTTATTGTCCCTGGGTTAGGAATTCTGCTTTTAGGGTGGGAATCTTGATTGTAAGATGCATTAATTCTTTGGATATCTTCTCCTTTGCCCCTTTGTCTTAAGGAAACAACCTAAATACAAAAAAAGCCTCTTCAAAAATTGTGAAATGTGTGAGCCCGGGGTCAGGGGGTTCCTGTTGGTTAGGCCGGGGCTCAACTGATTATATAGTGAACATGCATGATTTCTTTGAAAATCCCCTTCTCTGCCTCTGGGTATAAAGTAAACACAATCCTTACATCGGTAATATTGCATTGGAAGCATCCTCCGGTAAAAAAAATTTTTCAAATTATGACCCCCGTGGATAGGATGGGGGCCACGATGGGGAATCAAAGATTCACATAGTCACCTTAGTCATATTGGTATGGAAGAATCCCTGGGTAGTTTAGATTAAAATTTACCCCCCCCCCCCTCTTTTTTTTAGCCAGTTGTGCTCAGGTGAGCTATATGCCCCATTAACTTCCTTGATATTCATGCAGGTAGAAACTAGCCTATGAGAAACTTGATAAATATTAATATTGCAGTTTATAAAAAAATATTTTAAAATTATTTAAAAAAAAAAAAACAAACACAAAACAAGAGGCCCTTAGGCAACAACTCTCACCTGAGTAACTTTGGCTTGACACTACTTCAGCATGCTTTCACATAAGATTCAGCATTACAGGATCAGTGGTTCTTGAAAAGATTTTTAACGATTTTTCTAATAAAGTATTTCAATGCTAAAGTTTGATTCCCTATTGTGGCCCCGTCCTTCTCCTGAGGGTCATGATTTGAGCAATTTAGAATCTACACTACCCATCTATGCTTTCATTTAAAGTTCAGCTTTCATAGCCAAATGGTTCTTTAGAAGAAGATTTTAAAAGATTTTTCCTATATAACTTGAATTCCGTATAACTGTCCCGCCCTATCCATGGGGGTCGTGATTTGAAGAAATTGGATTCTACAGTACCCAAGGATGCGTCTACATAAGTTTCAGCTTTTCTGGCCCGGTAGTTCTTGAGAAAAGATCTTTCCTATATATTTCAATGTAAAACTTGGATTCCCTATTGTGGCCCTGCCGTACCCCGGGGGATCATTGTTTGAACAATTTAGATTCTACACTACCCAAGGATGCTTCCACGTATTAGGTCCAGCTTTTTGGGCCTAGTGCTTTTATACCGACCCCACCCATACTACCCATAGTCTTCAATCTAAGTCTCTGCACACAAACGAATTCTTGCGGAAGTTTAATTTGTGTCACCACCCTATTTTTGTCTTTTCTTGATTATCTCCCCTTGTCGGGAGGCTTTGTCCTTCATTTTAACAATTTAAACCGGTGCTTTGTGCCAACTTTTGTTGAAATTGGCCAATTTATAAGTGGCTCTTGAGAGGAATTAAGTTGAAAATGTGAAAAGTTTACAGACGGACGGATGATGGACAATGGGTGATCATGAAGAAAAGCTCACTAGAGCTTTCAGCTGAGGCAAGCTAAAAAATAAACACTAGATCTTCCTTGTGCATGTTTCGTGTACATGGTGTGGATTTTTATTTGGTTAAATAATGTCACTTCGTGTCTTGTTTGATCAGAAGTCTATTTCCTTATTAATTTAATAAGTTCATATGCTTCTCATGCAATTTACTACACCTAGAAATTTTTATTACTTGATATAAAAATGCGACAATCTGAAAATTTATATAAAATTGATCAGGACTTATCATTTGTCGCCATAATCCAATCGTAGTATAGGAGTAGTCTTTAAATTATTTTTTGAAAAAAATTATGAGCACTAGATATCCCATTAATTTTTATGTGATCTTAAACATGCATATTCTTTATATGAAGGTTTGCCAAAAAAAAATTTGCCGACTGGAATTCGGTAAACATATGTTGTAGCTATCACGTCTAGCAGAAAGTCTACGAGCTGGAATAAGTGAGAATGATTGTTTATAACGTATCCTTGAAGTGGATGTGTGGGTAGCAATTCCTTTCCTCTTACGCCTGTTTTTCGAAAAATAAACAAAAACCACGCTCAGAATGATTTTGTTATGACGCTTTGAAGATACCGCGTGTATGGATCTGTTTTTATTGAGTCATTACATTAAATGAAGGAGAAAGCTGATATCTATATTTATATATAGACACCCCGTGCGGGCCCCTGCTGCATTCTCTTTTACACATGCTGTTCGGCGATTTCTCTGATAAGTAAGTCCCACAGCGCCTCACTACAGGAGGGATCCTACATCATATTCCTAGTCAATCTGGCATCTTACAAGCGAGAGAATAATTACTTTACATTTATATCAAAGCCAGGGATAAGAGATAAACTTTGTTTATTAAGGGAATACCGTCTTTCTATTGAAGCGTGTTTTAATATTTATAAATACTTCTGAACCTTGAGGCGATCAACAAAATCACGCACGTTTTTTAAAAACGAATTTGGACAAAAAGGCAGCTCAAGTGCATATTTCAGGTGGACAGTAACAATGGCGCAAGTTGAACTTCCACGATTGACGGAGGGGTACCTCGGTCCCCAGGCCAAATTTTACCCCTACGGATTGACCACTCTATCCCACCCAGATCCTGTTATTCATTCGGACACTAACCAAGTGGAAATTGTCATAGGAACAACCGAGAAAACGAGATTCACCACCAAACTTTTAGGCGTGGATCCAAAGGGAGAGTGTAACCAATTTGTGCTTACGCAAATCCAGGGATCCGAGTACCATTTCACAATTGCTGTGCCTAGAACGGGATTCTTTAAATTTCAGATCTATGCTTTACCTAATTCTGAAGCTGGGCCAAACATGATCAATGTCTACAACTACCTGTTAAATATCCAGAAAGTGGACAGATATGTGGAATCGTTCCCAAAACAGTATCCTCTTTGGAAACAGGAAGGGTGCTACCTTTATGAACCGCTTATGCTTATGAAAGGTATTAAAGAACCGTCCGTTAAATTCCGGTTCTTGGTCCCGAAGGCCGTGGATGTTCAGCTCAAGGTTCACGAAGATTGGATCAAGATGGATCAAGTTGAACCGAATATATACGAGGCTTATGTAGACTTCAGTGTTGGCTACCCTGCTGGTGCCAAAGTCAAACTTAACGTCAAATCGGGACGGAGTCACAAATTTGACACTTTACTGGAATATACCATCTAAGTGTTTGATTAAACGTTTGTTGATATTTTTTTCTCAGTTCGCTCTTTCTTGCGATATTATTGTTGTTTGATATCTGTGCCATGTTTTGAAGACATTCGTAAACGTTTGATGCGTACTTTTCAAATTAAGAAAAAATGTTTCCATTAAGAGCTGAGCCTTTTGTTTTTGGAGATGACAAGAAATGAAATTCGTTTATTTTTAATGTGTCAGATACGTGTTTCATTCTTTATTATTTACAGTAGTATGCTATTGTGACCTCATCGCATACCTGTAATATGATTAATTCCTGCTTTTTCAGCATGGAAAAAAATATGCATATTTGATCGGTGAAGCCACAAATGTGTTTTTCTGTGTCTGGAGAAGAGGGGGGTATATCTTTTTTATTCAATCAAAGGGAAAACGCTTTTTTGAATGTAGCTTTTATATTGCAGGATTCCTCTTACATTTCGAAAAGTTTGAATATGGCGATGGCCGATTGACGTCCTTACCTCTTTGAAATCACAATATTTGACATGCAGTGTTAAACATTAAAGCCATGTAAAATTTCACTATTGCATACTCTGAAATTAAGTGTATATAATCATCTTATGCTGAAATATATGAAGATAATGAACAATATTCAAGCTCAAAAGCCCATTTAACAATACAAATCAGGAGCAGAGCGAACACGAACGGACCTCTAAAACGCCTTAAGTGGGATCAGGTGCCATGGAGGAATGAGCATCCCATGCCGACCGGTCACACCCGCTGTGTGCTCCTTGTCATGATCGGAAAATAACGGAAAAATCCGTCGACAATTCAGTGTGTAAATAGTGGACTAACAGTTAGTATGCAAAACGTCAGTCAGCATTTGACTCATTTTAAAGTTGTTTAACATGTGTTTAATATGAGTAATGAAATGCACATTGTTAATATCAGCTACCTGTTAAGCACGCGACGTGAGGCCATTTTGGAAAAATCTCCAAAACAACAGAGAAAGCACAAAAATTACTGCCAGATGATTTTGAAAACATAATAACCATAAATCTTAATAGACGTGTGTTTGGAATGCCAGTAAGCACTTTTTTATGTTGTTCGAGATAACTGCATTGCAGATGTTGTGGTCCTTGTTAAGAGTACAAACTGAAGCTGCAATACTCAAAGTTGTTTTTTTTCCACAGGCACCTAATGTTACTTACTTTTCTTTTAATAAAAAGATATACCCCTTTACCTAATGATACACAGCACCTAACGTTACTTATTTTTCTTTTAATAAAAAAAACATACCCCCTATTATTAGGTAGGGGTATATATTATTGTATTAAAATAAAAATAAAAAATAAGTATAAGTAATTTCAGATGTCTGTGGGGAAATCCTAAAACCTGTTTAGGAATATTAAGAAATTAAATGATAAATGTAGAATACAACTTTTTTTATTTTACTGTATAAAGTTGTAAAGCCACACACATTTCCTACATGTAATCAGTATAGTAATAAGGATCTTTACGAAGTATGAGGTTTTAGAGTTTTCCAATTATTCTTCCACTAGAATGCTCCTTAACCAACCGTTGTTGTTTTTTGCAACAACAACAACAACAAAAAACAAGATATGTTTTTGTAACACTGATGCACCCGTATGGCAACATATCGAAGATTAAACTTTCCTTAAATGCAAATTTAATATATGTGGTAGCCAAAGTAAGGTATTCTCACTGGAAATACAATTGTTAAATATGAAAGTAGGCCAAGGTTAAAGTTTTTTTTTCATAATTACAGAAATCTCCAAGGTCAAAAGGTCAAGGTAATTGGTATCCGATGAAAGGTCTTGCCAAAAATAATACATGCGTGAAGTATGGAAGCCCTAGCCCTAACCCTTCAAAAGTTAGGGGCAAGATTAAAAATTTCACAAAGTAGGTCAAACTCCTAGGTCGAGGTCAAAGGGTAAAACTTTTTGATATCAAATGAAAGGTCTTGTCACAAGGATTAAATGTGAAAGGTATGAAAGCACTAGTCCTAACCCTTCAAAAGTTATGACCAAGGTTTGCTTTTTAAAAGTAAGTCAACTCCAACGTCAAGGTCAAAGGGTCAAAATTCTTGGTATCCAATAAAGGATCTTCTCACAAGGATTACATATGTGAAGTATGAAAGCAATAGCTCTTAGTATTCAAGAGTTATGGCCAAGGTAAAAGTTTTTTCATAAGTACTGAAATCCCCAAGGTCAAGGTCAAAAGGTCAAGATAATTAGAATTCAATAAAGGTCTTGGCACAAAGAATACATTTGTGAAGTATGGAAGCCCTAGCCCTAACCCTTCAAAAGTTATGGCCAAGATAAAAATTTTAAAAAGTAGGTCTGACTCCAAGGTCAAGGTTCTTGATATCAAATGAAAGGGCTTGTCACAAGGATTAAATATGAAAAGTATGAAAACACTAGCCCTAACCCTTTAAAAGTTATGACCAAGGTTTGCTTTTTTAAAGTAGGTCAAACTCCAAGGTCAAATGTAAAAGGGTCAAAATTCTTGGTATCTAATGAAGGGTCTTCTCACAAGGATTACATATGTGAAGTATGAAAGCACTAGCCGTTACTGTTAAAAAGTCATGGCCAAGGTTAAAGTTTTTTCATAAGTACGGAAATCTCCAAGGTCAAGGTGAAAGTTGTTGGTATCCAACGAATGGTCTTTCCACAAAGAATACAAATAATAAGTATAATAGTCCTGGTATCTACTGTTCAAAAGATATGGCCAAAGTTTGATAAAGTTAAAGTTAAAGTTAAAAGTTTGAAATCTTTGTGTAAAAGTGGGTCAAACTTCAAGGTCAAGGTCAAAAGGTCAAATTTGATAGTACCCATAGAAAGGTCTTGTCACAATGAATAAACATGTGAAATTTGAAAGTCATAGCTAGACTAAATCAAAGGTTATGTGCAAGATTAAAGTTTTTGCGGACAAACAGACAGACAGAGAGACAAACGGACGGACACGACAAAAACTATATACCCCCGAAACTTCGTTTACGGGGGCATAAAAAGACTTATTATGAAAAATTTGGGGTTTGCTTAATTCTTTTATCCACTGAATGTTTGGCATATAGTGCATGATTCGAATGCAACAAATTCCAAGAAACTGATATTGAATAGTGCATTCAGTGCAGCTAAGCAGCTTTTAGTCCTACAATCAATGACAATGTCAATATAAAGCGTTGTGATATTTAGAAAATGAATATCATTAGAGCGCATATTATACATTTTGGTGGATCAGAATCTATTTTCAGGATGAGAGGACAGATAAAAACTTTAACGAGGTCCTCTGTTGGCCTATTCAAGTTTGCCTTGATCCAACTAATAAATAATATACGATACATCATATGAATAATTCCCGATAACTGTGGAATCATTAAATTGGGAGGGGGCAATTTTTGTCGATTGTGTCACTGAATTTTGCAGGTTCATGGGGTCGTAATTTCGTGAATTATCTTCTACCAAAAGTGAAATTGACTTTGAAACCCTATTAATTGTACTCGTATTAATTAGTTCATTGAGGATGCTAATTCGTACGTGAGATGTATCAACGAAAAAAGAATTACCACGAAATCTATGATTCCACAGTAATCGGTGTAAATTGACTAATCACCTTTTTGCTATGTGTTAGTCAAGTGAGCTAATTCCCGGTTATCCTTAAAACTATTCCATTCTATTTTTATCGTCTGCGGACGGAAAAGTTTTGATGCGGAGGTTACGAAATTAAAAACAAACAAATTAATATTGACAAATACAAATCTTTGAAACACATTTAACTCTTTTAGGATCAGTATCTATATAGTTCTCCATTTATTCAAGAGTTGTGCCAAAAAAATTGTGTTAATACTTTACACAATATAAATAAATTTTAATACTTTAACTTAGTTTCAATGTAAGAAGAATTTTCAAAGGATGATGGGAAATGCTAGGATTGTGCTTAAAACATTTTTTTTTTAATTTTTATTTGTGTTTTTTTTTTCGGATAGAAAGATGCATATGGGTTTAATTTCGAATAAAGGGGGCGCGCCGAGCAAAGAAAAAAAACTTGGAATAATCTGATCCTATAGATTTTATCTTTGAATTGATTTCCTTGCGAAGTCAAGTGAGCTAATCAAAAAGTCAACGCGTTGTACAGGCACATAGTATTGCCGGTGGGGGGGGGGGGGGGGGGGGGCTGTATTTCGAATGTGGCCTTTTACTGTTGAAAATGTTCATTGAAAGGTTGGTAACATATTGTCACTTTAATTCAAACAAAGTTTTATTATGAATCAAACATAAAAGGATATTTGACAACAGCAAACTCTCCTCTCCGTTGACCGGATTATTGTTACCCCATGCATTGGCAAAGCTATATACTTCCCTAGCTTTCAGCTCTTTGATTATATCGCTCTTTCACCCAAACAAGGAAGAAGAAAAGGAACCAATACAATACAAAAAAATGGGGTTACAAAGATTTCATCATGTTTTTTACATCTCCATTTCAAGACCAATCATGAAATTGTTGAGTGCATATTCTCTCAAACACTATATAAAAAAGGGACAAAATATGTTTAAAATGCTATTCTTTTTAGTTATCTAAAATTTTATAATCTGTTTGTTTAGTGTGAAATCCATGGTTGTTGGCAGAGTTTTGAAAATATTTTCCAGTCTGGGACATATCGGAGTCAACGGTAGATAATGGGACATAAATTCTACCTATTTGATTAGATTTTACATTAAATTTGCCATGATTTCCATTAAAATATATAAATTTGGGCTTTAGGCCAGAGAGTTACTATTATTTTTTTTTTAGAGAACATATGACTTTTTACGATTTATTGAATGCATATAATATACATAAAAACGCCAATACAATGTATGTGTAATATGTGTAATTTCTATTTCACCCCCCCCCCCCACAATAAAATCAAATTTTCTACAGCTTTTTTTTTTAAAAGGAACGAATACAGCTTTCGCGTATTGCAAATAGCGAGAAAGCCAGTGGCAATTTTGATCGGGTTCGTCAATCCAATTATTTTGTTCTGAAAATGTCACTTCGTCAGTTCGTGTTGTTATCGAGACGATGGCCAAGAAATCCGATTTTCAGCTATATTTATAAAGTAACCTAGCCAAGGAATAACGTTTTGTGAACCTTAAGGTACCAGAAGAACCAATCTTTACGACAAATTTGGAAAATGTCGAGGACAAGGACTAAAGAATACGATTGTCTGATTATTTACGATCATGCAAGATCACGTTTAGCTTCAACTGAGGAAACTGAACTATCATTGAATGTTGTTAAGAGGGCCGATGAACATCTGACAAGATGGGGATACGATAAAAATAATTACTATGACAGAGACTGCATTCCTGGAAGAAATGTTTTCAGTGAACTTTTCAGAGTAGTTGATTCCTCTCAATTTGTTTTGTTGATTTTAACTGAAGGTTTCTTGAAAAACTGTTGGGTGCGTTATTGTCAGATGGCTGCCTTTAAAAAACTCATCGACGAATCTATACGCCCTGAGTGTGTAGCATCCCACCGTGTTATTCCAGTATCAGTAAATGTACCAGAGGACAGAATTCCTCAAGAATTAAGGCAGCTCACCTGTATCTATTTTGTGAACGATTGGGAGAGTAATGAACAAGAATGGTTGAAGTTAAAGAGGGCCCTAGATGGACCTTCAACACAGGAGACTTCACAACCTAATGGTGAACTTATAGTACCTTCAATTTCCCAGCATATGACACAAGGCATGAGAGAATCTTCTGAAAATACAAACATATCTGCAGCAGCAAGTAGATCAAATGGAACAGTTGGGACCACCCCATGTGGCAGCAGACCCTCATTAAATTCTCGCCAGTTAGCAAGAGTTACTCCAAGTAGTGGAAGCACTGCATCTTTATCTGACAATGGCAGCAGTCAAAATAGATCTCAGTCAGCTACCAATGGAAATCCATTTTCCCCTACAGATAGCATTGATAGCAATCTTTTATTTGAATCACCATTAGGAGGACATTCAGATTCTTCAGCACAAAGAACAACAACGACATCTGAAACAAGGTTACCTCAAATGGACAGGAGTGTACAGCAACATGTGCCACCAATGCAGCAACCATACCCAAATCAATCAAGTAACATAATGCATATACTCAAATTGAAAAATGATTTATTGATACTCAATCTCTTTTCTTTTGATATATGGATCATATAGGAAAACATAGGTAATGTTACAAATATTATGACATTTAGCGTGTTTAGCAAACACAAATATTTTTTTAAATTTCAGATTCAGGTGAAGACTATGTCACACTAACTGTGTCCAGATCTCTGTCTTTAGAGCAACAAGTAGAAGCTATTAGAGCCAGACTGAGTGAGACAAACCATCCCATCACTCACACCAGCAGTTACATGGCCAGTGGTAATGTTCTGAATGAAATTTACACTTGTAATACCGTAGGTTACCTGTCATGCAGGGATTAATCTAGGCTTTTTGGGGAAACTACCCAAATAGGGAAAATCAGCGGGGTCTGGGAACCACTCAAGTGAGTGCAGGGCAGGCCCTGCTTGGGGGCCAATTGAATTTCAGCATTTTTATAACCATTTAAAGTGCATAAAGTAACGAAGTTAAACCATATTTCTCATATACTAAAATTTTTTTACTTAAAAATGAATTTTTCAGTTTTTATGACGGAAAAAAAAATTTGAGATTTTTATTATTGTAAGGGAATATTTTACTCATCAAAAGAGGAAAATAAGATCTTCAGGGGAAATTTTCTCTAAGGGGAAAAATGTTAAATATTGGTAGTAGATATTCCCTAGATTAATTCCTGTCGTGAATGAAAATTTGAGTAAAATCAGAAGGAGCCTTTCAAGTTAAAATTTCACCGTCACATTCTGTATTGCTATGTAGTACATGTATACTGTAGATATGCAAGGAATTAATTATCAATAGATATAAGGTTAATGAGAAAAGATGTTCAGTTCATTATTTAATATTTACATTTCTAAATATTTTCCCTATTTTGTAACAAAAGACTTTGGTAAATATTTTTTGAGAAGAGGAAATTATTCTTTTTTGATACCGGTATTCTTTGCAAGGTGATGGACGACATATATACATGCAGGCAGTGCTAGCTGTTCAATTTTTTAAAATGATTATTCATAATAAAATATTATTTAAATTTAAAAAATACATGTATGTTAGGTTTATCAATCTTAAAAAAAATCGGTTATCACCGATGAAAACCAGTGTACCGTGACAAAACTTAAAAACAATAAATCTGTATTTTGCAGCATGTGTTTTGTGTAATCAGCTTCTTTTTGTGACCATTATCAATTTTTAACAACAGTTACTGGTATAAAAAATCACAAAACATGGGCAAAATGACCATTGAGGGAGAGCCGTTGGAATGTTGATATCTGGATCATCCTTACCACACGTTTTATTCACTTTTATTTTATTGTTTATTTGTCCTTGATATTACTTTTAAAAATTAACAGAAGTATAAAAATCCATTTAAACACATTTTTCTATAGTTTTGCATCATTTTTTATCGTCAAATTGGACAAAATTTAATCAAACCAGAAGTGATCTAGATCTTCATCTGAAGCCAATGTTTTGCGTCAAATCCAGCTTAAAATATTGTCATACATGATCCTAAACCACTTCAGAAACATTTCAATCAGCGCCTTCAGTGGTGTAAAAATGGCACCAAATTGATGCTCATAGCAGTCTAATATCATATCAAACAGTCTGAATCATCCATAAAGAGGTACACTTATGTACGAGATGCTTAAGGAGGGTCTAAATGTTGACCAAAAAGCATTTGTTTGATACACTGGCCTGCCAAATCCCCGGATCTGAATCCCATTGAACATATGGGACTTTTAAAAGGAATGTCAACCCCCCCCCCCCTTCCTACACAATTTCAACAGTTTAGAAAGATCCATGCAGTACATGTTGCAGCAGATATGTCCACCCTCCTATTCAAAGGGTACATGGTATCCATGAGAAAAGGATGTATTGCAATAATAGAGGGAGTGAATGTCTTATTCTATAGCGATTATTTTATGTAAATTTTCATTTTGAGGCTACATCATGTCCTTGACATTTTGCTTGAAAGTCTGACGAGATACTTACATGTAATTTTTGCAACATCCAACTGAAATATGCATCATTAACCATGAATTATAGAAATTATTTATTGTATGCATTTGTTCTTTATAACTTAAAAAATTGTTAGGTGAACACTTAGGAGTTTGGTTCAGTGTATACATATACAGCAATAGATTTTGTCAACTCACAATTTATGTTGTAGATACAAGTATGGATGGCCCTCCTCCTAATCAAAACTTACATCAAAATGGAGAAGAAACTAGTTTGAAAGAAATGGCACTGCAGTTTCCAGGGTATGTGTAATACTGTGACTTTTTTTCAATTACTTTATTGTTACCAATGCTGAATTTGTTATGCCCCGCCATAAATATGGCCGGGGCATATAGTGTTTGTCATGTCCGTCTTCCGTCATTCTGTCATTCCGGACCTTTCCTTTGACCTTGACGTCACTTTTCTTAAATTAGTGTTTAGCTCAGTTTTAAACATACCATTCAAGATGGTGTTATCAAACTTCAAATGTTGATACAAACTTGCACCGATGATGCATCTCGGGATAAACACTAACAGACTTGCTTCGGATGCTGGATCTGACCTACATTTTCCAGATGAGTGACCAGGTTAAAGTTTTTGGAGCAGGTCCATTTCCAAGTAACTATAAGCCCTACCCAAACCAAACTTGCACGGATGATGCATCTAGGGATGAACACTATCAGACTTGCTGAGGATGCTGGATCTGACCTACATTTTCCAGATGAGTGACCAGGTTAAAATTTTTGGAGCAGGTCCATTCCCAAGTAACTATAAGCCCTACCTGAACCAAACTTGCATGGATGATGCATCTAGGGATGGACACTACCAGACTTACTTTGGATGCTGGATCTGACCTATATTTTCATGCCCAAGTAACTATAAGTCCTATCTGAACCAAACTTTCATGGATGATGCATCTAGGGATGGACACTACCAGACTTGCTTCGGATGCTGGATCTGACCTACATTTTCATTCCCAAGTAACTATAATTCCTACCTGAACCAAACTTGCATGGATGATGCATCTAGGGATGGACACTACCAGACTTACTTCGGATGCTGGATCTGACCTATATTTTCATGCCCAAGTAACTATAAGTCCTATCTGAACCAAACTTTCATGGATGATGCATCTAGGGATGGACACTACCAGACTTGCTTCGGATGCTGGATCTGACCTTTGTTTTCATTCCCAAATAACTATAAGCCCTGCTTGAACCAAACTTTCATGGATGATGCATCTAGGGATGGACACTACCAGACTTGCTTCGGATGCTGGATCTGACCTATATTTTCATTCCCAAGTAACTATAAGTCCTACCTGAACCAAACTTGCATGGATGATGCATCTAGGGATGGACACCACCAGACTTGCTTCGGATGCTTGATCTGACCTATATTTTCCAAACAAGCAATTCAGCTGCATCACTATTCTAGATATTCTGATCAAATTTTATACACATACAAATTTTCATGTTGCTTTACTAATATATCCTCAGCGGGGCATTCATGTCCTATGGACATATTTCTAGTTTAATACATGTTCATGTATCTTCAATGTTTCATAGGGGACTACCTTCCCGTTTGAATTCTACTGATGTAGAACCAGATGCTCAATGTTCCACAGTCAGCCCTGCTGTAGCAACAGTTACTCCATTCAAACGCAGTTCACAGAGTATGTTTTCCTTGAACAGTCATTCCAGCACTAGTATGGTCAGTGACCCTGGGCCAGAGGAAAGAAGTCCAGTTAATGGGCCAGACGAAGAAAGTCCACTTAATGGGCCAGAGGCAGAATCTCTCAGTATTAGCTCATTTCTGGAAGATTCCACGGGCCAAGATGAGGAGTTTCCTAGCTCTGCCCCAGAAAATGAGAATGTCAACCCAGCTGTACAGAGGGAGGAATCTGTTACTACAGCGACACAGAGTGCTGAGGGGCCCACAACAGGTAGAGGGTTTTAAATTAAACTATATGCAGTAAAACTCGTTTAGTACGAACACGGATATAGTGAACTCACGGATATAGCGAAGTTTTTCTGGGTCCCCGGCAAAATTTCTAACAAATCTTTGTAAAATTTTACGGTTATAACGAACTCTGATATAACGAATTTACGGATATAGCAAACTGATTTTGAGTCCCGTTGAGGTTAAATATAATGAAATTTACATCTTTTATAACGAACCTTCAAAGATTATAAAAAAAATGATAATTAAACTTACTTTATTTCCTTTTAGCATTTGTAAATAAAATTCAATTCATAAGAAAACCTTAGTTAGCGAAGATATGTCTTGTAATATTTGCTTTACTAACATAGTTGGTAGTAATACATAAGAAAAACATGCATAGTGCGAATTCGCTATAATGGTTATACGAATTCGTTATACGGATATAACGAATTACGGATGTAGCGAATTAAATTCACAGGTCCCCAGGACTTCACTATAACCGTGTTTTACTGTATAGTGAAAGAATTTTTTTCACAAGTTCGAGAGATATAAATAATAATTTATGAAATTTTTGTTCGAATTTATGCAACCCTGTCAAAAACTGTTCCTTGCAAAAGTGCCATTATCCAACTTTCATTTTACAGATTCATCATTCTGCACATATTTTGTCATTACATTTACTGGTATAAAGAAATAAAATGGGCAATACTGATTCTGTATGTGTAATTTTTAGTGCACTTTAATAATATAAATAAAATTTTTCGAAGCTGTCTTTCCTTGGTAGCCTTGAATTATAAAATAGGTCTCGTTATATATTAGTAAACATCTGTTCTTTCGCCATACAGTTTTTTTTCTTATTTCTTTTTCAGCAGAGAGAGAGGGACGGCCTTCAATGTTTGCTCAGTTCATTCATTTCTCTCTCCATGCTTTATTTCAACCAGACAGACCATTCGAACCATTATAGTAATCTAAATCATCCCACACAAAGATTGGCAAAAAACATATGACAGTATTTTAGGAATATTACTTTACTGGCCCAAAATTTTGTTAATTCTGTGGATACTTTCTATAATTTATTCATAACTGTATTGGATAAGAATTTAATTGTGTTATGTGAAACATTTCCAGTGGGAAAAAACAGATTCAGAATATTTTCTTTGAACTGCAAATCCTTGAAAAAAATGCATATTTTTTATCAAGTGTCTAAGTGCCAATCTGCTACATACATGTAGTATATTGTTACATGAGACGCTTTTTTACTGTTACCTAAGGTTATAATAAAATGACAATCTTTTAAAACTGTTATAGCTTATAGATATTAATACTTTCCTCATTTTGTTGTAAGGGGCACAAACCCAAAGAGATTGTGAAGAAAATAGTTTTTAATGAACATATTTCTTTAAACAAATAAATTGTTTGCTTGTTTCTTGGTGTTAACTTAATGTGCACAATATGTTGTATACTGTTATTTAAAATCTAGTGGTAATGAGTGGCTTTTATAACATTTTCTTTCGGATGAAATGAAAGCTCGGTCATCTATCTAGAAAAATAAAATACCCGGTAGCTGGATTATAATTTACTGTATGTATGTTTTGGATTTTGTATGTACCAAAACATGTGAGCTTTGATATAACTTTTCTGATGCTGGTCATCAGATTGACTGTGATTTAATTGTTATATTCATCTTTTTTCCTGAATGATAGAAGAATAAATGTAAGTTAGAATGATCATGTTAAAGTATTTTTAGCTCACCTGAGCCGAAGGCCCAAGTGAGCTTTTGTGATCACATTTTGTCCGGCGTCCGTCCGTCCGTCTAGCTGTCTGTCTGTCTGTAAACTTTTCACATTTTCGACTTCTTCTCAAGAACCGCTGGGCCAATTTCAACCAAACTTGCCACAAAGTATCCTTGGGTGAAGGGGATTCAAGTTTGTTCAAATGAAGGGCCACGCCCTAATTCAAGGGGAGATAATTGGGAATTAATGAGAATTTGGTGGCATATTTTAAAAATATTCTTCTCAAGAACCACTGTGCCAGGAAAGAGGAAACTTATGGGGAAACATCCTCAGGTAGTGTTGATTCAAGTTTGTTCAAATCATGACCCCCGGGGATAGGGCGGGCCCAAAATGGCCGACCAAAGTTTTAAATAGAAATATATAGGAAAATTCTTTAAAAATCTTCTTCTAAAGAATGACAAAGCCATAATTCATCAAATTTATATGGGAGCATGCTCAGGTAGTGTAGATTCAAGTTTGTTCAAATCATGACCCCAGGGGGTAGGGCGGGGCCAAAATGGCCGACCAAAGTTTTACATAGAAATATATAGGAAAATTCTTTAAAAATCTTCTTCTCAAGAATGACAAAGCCATAATTCATCATATTTATATGGAGCATCCTCAGGTAGTGTAGATTCAAGTTTGTTCAAATCATGACCCCCGGGGGTAGAGCCGGGCCAAAATGGCCGACCAAAGTTTTACATAGAAATATATAGGAAAATTCTTTAAAAATCTTCTTCTAAAGAATGACAAAGCCATAATTCATCAAATTTATATTGGAGCATGCTCACATAGTGTAGATTCAAGTTTGTTCAAATCATGACCCCAGGGGGTAGGGCGGGGCCAAAATGGCCGACCAAAGTTTTAAATAGAAATATGTAGGAAAATTCTTTAAAAATCTTCTTCTCAAGAATGACAAAGCCATAATTCATCATATTTATATGGGAGCATGCTCAGGTAGTGTAGATTCAAGTTTGTTCAAATCATGACCCCCGGGGGTAGGGCGGGGCCAAAATGGCCGACCAAAGTTTTACATAGAAATATATAGGAAAATTCTTTAGAAATCTTCTTCTCAAGAATAGCAAAGCCATAATTGATCATATTTATATGGAAGCATCCTCAGGTAGTGTAGATTCAAGTTTGTTCAAATCATGACCCCCAGGGGTAGGGCGGGGCCAAAATGGCCGACCAAATTTTTACATAGAAAAATCTTCTTCTCAAGAATAGCATAGCCATAATTGATCATATTTATATGGAAGCATCCTCAGGTAGTGTAGATTCAAGTTTGTTCAAATCATGACCCCCAGGGGTAGGGCGGGGCCAAAATGGCCGACCAAAGTTTTACATAGAAATATATAGGAAAATTCTTTAGAAATCTTCTTCTCAAGAATAGCAAAGCCATAATTGATCATATTTATATGGAAGCATCCTCAGGTAGTGTAGATTCAAGTTTGTTTAAATCATGACCCCCAGGGGTAGGGCAGGGCCAAAATGGCCGACCAAAGTTTTACATAGAAATATATAGGAAAATTCTTTAGAAATCTTCTTCTCAAGAATAGCAAAGCCATAATTGATCATATTTATATGGAAGCATCCTCAGGTAGTGTAGATTCAAGTTTGTTCAAATCATGACCCCCGCGGGGTAGGGCGGGGCTTAAATGGCCGACCAAATTTTTACATAGAAATGTATAGGAAAATTCTTTAAAAATCTTCTTCTCATGAATAGCAAAGCCATGATTGGTCTTTGGACTACTTTTGGATTTAAGCTTTTCAAGTATAAACCAATTCTGCTTTTTCCTAGCCACAGTGCTCAGGTGAGCGATGTGGCCCATGGGCCTCTTGTTCCACATGCTTATTACTGTTTATCTTGACTGAAAAATTATCGTTGGGTGTATGTGTGGATGAATTTTTGGATGAATTTTTATCCTCTATTTATTTATGGGATATAGTTGTGCATCTGTATGTTTTTAGCTCACCTGAGCCGAAGGCTCAAGTGAGCTTTTCTGATCACAATTTGTCCGTTGTCTGTCGTCGTCGTCGTTGTTGTTGTCATCGTTGTCGTAAACATCTCAAGAACCACTGGGCCAATTTCAACCAAATTTGGCACAAAGTATCCCTGGGTGAAGGGGATTCAAGTTTGTTTAAATGAAGGGCCACGCCCTTTTCCAAGGGGAGATAATAATGAATTAGAGAAAAATTAATGGCATTTTTAAAAAATCTTCTTCTCAAGAACCACTGGGCCAGGAAAGATGAAACTCATGTGGAATTATCCTCAGGTAGTGTAGATTCAAGTTTGTTCAAATCATGAAGCCCAGGGGTAGGGTGGGGCCAAAATGGCTGATCAAAGTTTTACATAGGAATATATAGGGAAAATCTTTAAAAATCTTCTTCTCAAGAACCACTGGGCCAGGTGAGATGAGACTCATGTGGAATCATCTTCAGGTAGTGTAGATTCAAGTTTGTTCAAATCATGACTCCTGGGGGTAGGGTGGGGCCAAAATGGCTGATCAAAGTTTTACATAGGAGTATATAGGAAAAATCTTTAAAAATCTTCTTCTCAAGAACCACTAGGCCTGGAAAAATGAAACTCATATGGAATCATCCTCAGGTAGTGTAGATTCAAATTTGTTCAAATCATGACCCCCAGGGGTAGGGTGGGGCCAAAATGGCTGATCAAAGGAATATATAGGAAAAATCTTTAAAAATCTTCTTCTCAAGAACCATTGAGCCAGGAGAGATGAAACTCATGTGGAATCATCCTCAGGTAGTGTAGATTCAAATTTGTTCAGATCATGACTCCTGGGTCTAGGGTGGGGCCAAAATGGCCGACCAAAGTTTTACATAGGAATATAAAGTAAACCTTTCAAAATCTTCTTTTCAAGTACTTCAAAGCCATGATTAGCGATATTTATCTGGAATCATCCTCAGGTAGTGTAGATTCTGGTTTGTTCAAGTCATGACCCCCTGGGGGTTAAAATTCTAGCCCCCCCCCCCCCCCCCCAGTAAACTTTCAGTTCTGATCTGATATGTGCTTTTTCCTAACCGATGTGCTCAGGTGAGCGCTGTGGCCCCTGGGCCTCTTGTTTTTTGTCCTTGTGTGAATGGGAATTAACTTTATTTCCATCGGGGGCAATGTCAAATGCTGCTTTGATTTATAAATATGGTCCTTTGGAGGGAATGCTTCTCTTTGTGGTGCCTTTGTACATAATTGTAACCAAAGAGGAAGAAAATGTGAGGGACCAGACAAGGACCCCGGGCCCAGCCCCCCAAAGTTTCAACTAGAGTCAACTGAGCTATCTGGCCACCAGTGATTGAACTTGTCTGTCCATCACATTCCAACCTGCTTACCAAACAACTATAACAATCGATGAAATCCCTTAATGGGATTTATCATGTAAAGTATCTTTTATACTGTTATGATTGTGTTGGATTTATGTAACTTGATCTTTACTTCGTTGTTTTATGTGTTTGTTTTTTTTTTAATTGGTAATTTTTATTATTTCTTTGCAATCATGTTGGGTTCTCTACTATTGATATTCGATAACTTAGAATTTTGTTGGAAAGGACCACTTCATAAGTTATTCATTACCGGTAATTTCGTTAGGTTTGTTACATGTAATAATGTATGTACAGATTATAATTTTTTTTTGTTAAACATGAAATACAAACCATGAACTGAATATTAATGTCATCATAATAAAAAGAATTTCATGAAAGCTTGAATTGTGAATGTTATTGATGTTTTTTAGCCGGGCTTATTGCTCAAAGAGCAATTGCCGGCTTATGTGATCCTGTTCAAGGCAGGATGTTGACCCCATAGTCGCCATTTTAAAGTTACGTGCAAAAATATAGTTCTTGCTCTCAGCCGCTTTTGAGATAATACAAACGCTAAATAAAGCAACAAAAATAAAAAGAAGTTTTTTTCTATATAAAATAAATATTAGTAGTAATGACTTTGAAAACTTCATAAGTGAAAAGTTCATTAGCGTAAGGAATTTTGATAATAGTGTTTTCCCGCGTTTCGTAGTATAGCGGGAAAACATTGTATGATAGGAACGTATTTTATTGGTTTTTGCCTGTATAGTAGGCGTGGTCAAAGGAAGGCCAATGAGAAAGCAGTATTCAGTAAGGTGTTCGAATCATTCTAAGCCAGTGCTCTTCAACACACACACGTGTTTTGCGGAGTCCTCGGGAGCATGGAGGCGGCTAATCTCGAAGTTCTTCTAAACAGAGTTTCCGACATGATGGATAACAAGTTGCAATCTTTGGAAGCGAAAATGGCTAAGCAACAAAAGCAGCAACACGAGCAGCAGTTGTCAAAACTGCAGTCAGTCACCGACAAAACTCGTATTCAAGAAGAAAGGAAATGAGGCACAATTCAAATTCAACAATACTGTTAAGGAAAAACTTTTGGGGGATAATTCAAGTTTAAACGACGGAGACGCAGAGTCTGCTTTTCAACAGATAACAGACGGTATTCAGCTTATTAATAATAGGCAAAAGTTAGTGAAGCTCGCTGATTCCTCTAAAAACGGATGGAGAACTGTCCAAGAATATACACAACACGAGCTGGCCTCTGACGACGAAGACGAAAAAAGAATATTAAAGGCAGAGATTAGGGCAGAGAAAAAACTGAAAGATGAAAGAATACAG